AGGAAGATATGAATCAAGATTTGGTGGAGGTGGTTCTTACTGATCTGGCAGTGGCCTTGGATATGGATAAAGGAGAATTAAGCAGAGAAGTGGAAAAAATGTATAGACTTAACTCTTGGATTGCCAAGCAGAAGAATTTGCCTAGAGATGTGGTGATTTATTTTACAAAGAAGTCCCTGCGGAATGAGGTTATACAAGCCTTTTACAACAAAAGATTCCAGATTGCTGCCCAAGATGTTATCATTCTAAAGGAAATCCCATCCAAAATTTTAAGAAGCAGGAAAGATTTTGCTTTCTTAACCAATGAGCTTAAAGCCAGATCGATGCCATTTAGATGGGAAATTCTGATGGGTATCGTCTTGAGCCATGCGGGGACACGTTATAGATTGAATACAGTTGACAAAGCTAGAGAGTTTTATACTTCGGTCCTGGGTGCAGGCTCAACTCCATCTGGTCAGAAATCTCCGAGTGGCAAGGAGGACGAGCAGCAATCTGAGGCATTAAGTTTGGTTTCCGCTGGGATGATACAAGCTGAAAGGCAACACCAGATGGAGATTAAAGAGCAGAGAATGACTCGTGCAGCTTACAAGCGTAAAGAGAAGGAGCAACGTAAAAAAGAGTCTAAAGAGAATTCTTCTGGAAACGCATCACCGCCGGTGGGAGGAGCAAGACCCAAGAGTTATGCAACACATGCAGCACTTTCAGATTTTGATGGTGTCTTCTCCAGGCTGCGTGCCAAGGGAGATGGCAAAGTTTTTGACCTGGAATGTTAATGGCTTGAATTCTCCTCAGAAACGGAAAAAAATCTTTTATTATTTGAAGCAACATACCAATGACGTTATTTGCTTACAGGAAACTCATATCTTACTCAAAGATCAGAAATATCTAGTCAATGCTCGTTTGGGATCTCATTTTGTATCTTTTGCTCCTGGAAAGAAAGGGGGAGTTGTTATATATGTCAAACAAAACCTACCAGCTTGTCTGGTAGAATCAGATCCCCAGGGGAGATATGTGATGATTGAACTTGGTATATATGGTAAGAAAGTACTTATAGTGGGACTCTATGCTCCAAATCAGCAACAGGAACAATTTTATAAGCTGTTACATCAAAAAATAACATTGCTTGACTATAGATCAGTGGTATTAATGGGTGATTGGAATGGTGTCTTAGATATACAAAGGGATAAGAAAGGTTCCTCTCCCTTTCTTAAACAAGCAAGGTTACCTAAAGCCTTTTTTGATATGAAGGAAGACTGGGAATTAAGGGATTATTGGCGGGAATGTAACCAAGAGGAGAGAGACTTCACTTTTTTTTCTGATAGACACCAATCTTTTTCAAGAATCGACTTTTTTTTTATTACTACGGATTTGTATAATAAAGTAAAGAATGTAAAGATTTTTCCTAGATCACTGACGGATCATAGCCCAGTCTGGATGGAGCTGATTCAAGAGAAAGAGGAAAGGAGATCCTGGAGAGTTAATGAAAATTTGTTCAGACAAGAGAAGAATGTTCAAAAGTTAAAGGAGTGTTTAAAGGATTATTTTGTTTTGAATATGTATAAGGGGACCTCAATGTCAATGGTATGGGATGCAGGTAAAGCATTTATGCGTGGTGTTTTGATAAAAATGAATAATTGTCATAAGCGGAACCAGATTCAGAAACGTAGAGAACTTGAAGATGAAATTAAATCAAAAGAAAGGTCCTTGATTTTAAATCCTTCTGATGAAAGTATTAAAGAATCTGTAAAGTTATTAAGGTCACAATTTAATATGTTGATAGCGGATCAAGCTGCAACTAACTTATTGTTTATGAAACAAAATACATTTTGTAATGCTAACAAGCCTGGGAGATGGTTGGCTTATCAATTAAGAAAGAAACAGAGACAGAGAATAATAGAGAAAATAAATTACAAGGGTAAACTAGTTTTTCAGAAGGAATTGATCAAAAAATCTTTTTTGGACTACTATCAAAAGTTATACAAATCTACTAACGTGCAACTTCTAGATATAAATAAATATTTAGCTGAGGCAAGTTTCCCCAAATTAACTGAGGATCAGAAACATGAAATTAATGGCTTAATTACTAAGGAGGAAATTGCCTCAGCAATTCAACAATTGAAACTAGGGAAAGCACCGGGTACGGATGGGTTAACAGCTGTTTATTATAAAGCTCTAAAGGAGGAGATGATCCAACCATTAAGTGATCTTTTTAATGGTATCTTACAGGGTTTAGAGATTCCTCCTTCATGGCGTAGTGCTTTTATATCATTGATTCCAAAGGAGGATCAAGATCTTACTTTACCAAAAAATTACAGGCCTATATCTCTTTTAAATGTGGATTATAAGATATTTGCAAAAATTTTGGTAAATAGGCTTATGAGGATCGTGCATCATCTTGTGCATAAAGATCAATCAGGGTTTATAACTGGAAGGTACATGAAAAATAATGTTAGACAAATTATTAATTTATTAGAATATTTAGACAAGAACAACCAAGTTCCTGCAGGGCTCATATTTTTAGATGCTGAAAAAGCATTTGATCAATTGAATTGGCATTTTATGTTAAGAGTAATGGAAGAAATGAATTTTGGCGAAAAGATATTACAAGCCCTTACGGTAATATATCAAAAACAAACGGCACAACTTATTGTTAATGGAGGTTTGTCGGAGGTTTTTACAATAGAGAAAGGTACTAGACACGGGTGCCCTTTATCGCCATTGTTGTTTGTTTTAATATTGGAAATATTATTGATTAAAATTCGAGAGTCTCAGGAAATTAAAGGAATAGAAGTTAATAAAAAAGAATATAAGTTGAGAGCTTTTGCGGATGACTTGGTTGTTACTTTGTCGCAACCTGATTATTCTGTAGTAAACTTATTACAGTTGATTCATCATTATGGTTTGGTTTCGGGTTTTAAGATTAATGTAAATAAGACTAAAATTTTACCTAAAAATATGTCTAGTCAGGAGAAGCAGATTTTGGCCAACTTGACGGGTTTTGAGATTGTTAATAAGGTAAAATATTTGGGGGTGATGCTGTCTGTTTCTAATGTAAAATTATTTAAAAATAACTATGAAAGGTTGTGGGTCAGGGTACAGAAGGACTTGAAGAATTGGGAGAAGTTGCAATTATCTCTCATGGGAAGAATTGCAGTGATAAAAATGAATATTCTACCCAAGTTTCTTTTTCTGTTTCAAATGTTACCGATTTTGAAAAATGAGATTAACTTAAGTGAGTGGCAGAAGGGTCTTAATAAATTTATTTGGGCAGGGAAAAAGCCAAGGGTTAAGTTTAAAATTATGCAAGACTTCCGTGAGAGGGGTGGACTCAAGGTACCAAATTTGAAATTATATTATGATGCGGTGGTTTTAACACTAATTAGTGATTGGGTAAATTTGACAAATCCGGAGATACTTCATTTAGAGGGATGGGATTTACTTTTTGGGTGGCATGCCTATTTAATATTTAATAAAAAAATGGATTGGGTTTTTAAATCTCATATTTTAAGAATCTCTTTACTTAGGACTTGGAGAAAATATTATAAAAGTGATTTTAAAGTTCCATTATGGGCTATACCTTGGCATGCGATAGAAGGAATAAAAAGAGGTGTAAGAATGGATATGGTGTCTTATAGTCAGCTACTTAGATGGGATGGGCAAAACTGGCAGTTAAGATTACGGGAAGACTTAGCGCAAGAAAATATTATTTATTCTTGGTTCCAATATAGGCAACTAGTAGATAAATGGAAGGTGGATTGTAAATTGGGTTTTCTTAGAGAAGATGAAAATCTTATTAAGCAAGTTAAGGATCAAAGACAAACCCATATTAAGAGAATCTATGGGGTATTAGTTGAAATGGATTCAGAATCGGAATTAATTAAAGACTGTATGATTAGATGGGCGCAGAATTTTGGTGTCCCAGTCTCATTGGATATCTGGGAAACCATCTGGGTGAGAAATGTCAAATTTACACAAGCACAGAACTTAAGGGAGAATTTTTATAAAATGTTTTATAGATGGCACCTTGATCCACAAAAAATGTCTCTTATGTACCCTGACATACAACCCAAATGTTGGAGATGTGGCTATATGGATGCTTCTTATTATCATATTTGGTGGTCATGTAGAGAGATAAAAGCATTTTGGATTAAGATATGGTGGAATATCCAGAGAATTTTTAAAAGGAGGGTAAAATTTACTCCGCAATTATTCTTGCTGGGTATAGTTACAGATTGTGATACAAAGGAGGTTGTATTGATGTTAAATTTGATTACAGCCGCGAGGCTGTTAGTTGGACAATACTGGAAGAAGGAGTCTTTGCCTACATTGCAGGAATGGTTTCTTAAAGTAGCTTATTTGGCGGAAATGGCAAAGATTTCGGCTTTCCTAAAGCAACAAACGCAAGAGAAGTTTCTTGTCGTTTGGGATAAATGGATAAAATTTATACAATTTAGATTGGGTACAAAAAAATATTATATAGCTTTTTCATAATTTTTATCTTTATATATAGAGAGATATATATACTTATATATATATATTGATGTTATTTATAGATATTATATAAATTTTTTAACTTAATTTTCTATTTGTTAATTTTCAATTAAGCCTATATTCTGCTCTGGGAAGCTCAGGGGGGGGGGGAAGGGAGGGTTTATGGTGAGGGGTGGGGGATGGGGGTTTTTTTATATGTAATGTTTAGTTTTTTTTTTGTATATGTTGTTTTCGTTTTGTATTGTTTTTGTCTTTTTGTAAAATTTATAAAACTTTCAATAAAAAAAAAAATAATGAGATTTCGCTAATGCAGTGTTTCCCAAACTTGACAATTTTAAGGCATGTGGACTTCAACTCTCAGAATTCCACAGCCAGCGTTGCTGACTGTGGAATTCTGGGAGTTGAAGTCCTCATGCCTTAAAATACGTTCTGTATTAGAAGGGAGGAGAAAAGGAGTATCCCTTCCATCCCCTCAACCTGCAGCGGCTGATGCCGTTTCACCGGAAATTCAGGCTGGTTCGCCGCCTCTTTGGAGCCCGCAGCGCCTCCCCTCCGAGGAACCTCAGATGTCGCGCCTTTATTAGCCTCGGCTCCATTCAGGAGCCGCCTCTTCCTTGGGACTGAGCAATTGTTCCGCAAGAAGCAAAGCGAACGGACCAGACAACGGGGCGATGATGCTGAGATTCCTGTGGTCCGTGCTGCAGCTCTGGTTCTTGGTTCCTCTTTCGGTATTTATGCTAGTGCCGTATATCAGGTTTGTAGTGGAATTGATTTGACTAACTCTTGTGGCCTGGAAAACTCTCGCCAGTGCAACTTCAAAAAGAAAAGAAAAAACTAACATTTTAAAAAATCTTTAAATCAGTTACCTATATAATACTGTCCTGAATAATGATGTTTTCTCTCGATTTCTGGTGAATTGGGGTTGTCCCTGTTACAAATAATGTATGTGCAGAATATTCCCTCCACCACCATCACCACTCCATGAGTGTGTGTGTGTGTGTTTGCGTGTGTTATAAATGCATGAGAAGCTAACTTGGATTTCTGTGACAAATTGCATAGCTTTGCACTGTGAATACAATGGAAAGCTCCTCTCGCCAGTGCAACTTCAAAAAGAAAAAAAAACTACTGACATTTTAAAAAACCTTTAAATCCGTTATTTGTATAATACTGTCCTGTATAATGATGTACTGTATTAGTGCTCTCTCGATTTCTGGTGAATTGGGGTTTTCCCTGTTACAAAGAATGTATGTGCAGAATATTCCCTCCACCACCACCACCACCACCCCGTGAGTGTGTGTAAGTGTTTGTGTGTGTTATAAATACATGAGATGCTAACTTGGATTTCTGTGACAAATTGCATAGCTTTGCATTGTGAATACTGCAACGTGGGACTGAATTTTAAAACCTCAGCTATTCAATTAATTTATATTTTATAGGAAGTATTTTGGAGGAAGGGTGTGCAAGTCTACAGCACAACTGAATGGAAAAATTGTAGTGATCACAGGAGCCAACACTGGTATAGGGAAGGAAACCGCGCAAGACCTTGCAAGAAGAGGCAAGTTATTCATATGAGCTTATCCTTTGTAGCCCCCAGAATGGTAGGAATTGTAATAAAAGGAATGGACAGGGAACTTTGTCTTTCCAGCAGAATCAAAGTTCATCAGTAGAATGTAATACATTCTAGGAGATTCAGATTTTGAGAAAAATTGTCTCCTCTTTTTAAATAGATTGTAATATAAAGTCAACATTGACAGTAATCCTGTGTAAGCTGCAAATTCTCAGCCAACACAACTCAACCTTCATCCTTGCAGTCAAGGCTGAATTCCTGTCTCTGGCAATTGACTTTTTCTCAAAAGTCAACTAGTAACACTAAAGATGCTGCAGCTTTTCAAGGTTTTTATTGACATGTTCAGTGGAATTTCTCAAAATGTACAGATTGCCCAATTTGTTTGTGTCACAATACCTCTTGTTAGTATACAAGAATATACTTTAGCTGATTATAGAATTAAGCCACTTTTTTATTCACTTAGTACATTATGCCATGAACTGAGCTTGCACAATATACTGAGGCACAAAACAACAGCTAAGATTTGTAGCTCACCTGGGTAAACATATTGTATGAACACAAGTAAGGTCTCCACTATAGTATTTCACTTTATGAAATAGACTTGTTTCCATTAATGTCCTGCTGCTGATTTTGACATTGAGTGAACTGCAACAATTCAGTACAGGTAATTCTTGGTTAACAACAGCAACTGAGACTCAAATTTCTGTCTCTCAACAATGCAGTTCTAAAACAAGATGTCATGTGACTGTGTTGCTCAGTGGCAGCAGTTCGGGCATTTCCAGTGGCGTTAAATCCCACATTGTCATTGAACAAGGATGGGTTGTAGTTGCCATTTGTGATCTCTTGCTGGTTTCTCCGTTGACTTTACTTGTAGGAAGCCAGTGAAGAAGGTCACAAATGGTGACCACATGACCATGGGATGCTGTGATGGTTGGAGTTCCTTCAGCAGCACTGCAAATTTCAGTGATTGTTGAACGAGTGGTTATTAACCAAGGATCACCTGTAATTCTGACCTAGTTTACCATTTATAATTGGTACCGTAATTTGAGCTAGCTGGATAAGTGCTGACCTCTAACCATGGAGATGGGGTAAATGATAGTAGTTGTGTTTTTTGCTTTTCTTCTTTTTGTGTCATAGCTACACCCTGCTTCCCAAAGAATGCATCAAAAGCTCTGTATTCAGGTAGTGAACTTATTATGGGGATGTGGATTGTACTTATCTGGAATTGTGCTATCTGTACATAAGAAGAAAGCTTTGTCTTATTTAGAGATCTCAGCATTTTCTCATGTGATACTAGGTGGCTGCTTGTACTATTTATGTATATATGTATGTAGCATATGGCATACAATGTCAGGGAAATCTACACATGCTAGACACAAGTAGTCCTGACAGCCTAGATTGCTAGTTCATTCTGTTCGGCTCCAGGTCCAGTGCCAGCTTCTGCTCTCTGCATACATAACTAGTTTTCTACTTGCAATATTGCGTATCTTTGACTTGCTGGATGTGGGCAGGAGAGCAAACAGTGGGCACTCACTCTGTCTCATGGAGCAGGCTCAAAGTGCCAGAGTCCAGACCATTTCTGGCCAGCAGTTCTGACATTAAGCCACATGTTATATTTCTATTCATCCATCTATCCATCCATATTCTCTCTCTCTCTCTCTCTCTCTCTTTCTCTAAAAGTAAAAGATAATTACTAATAAAACATAAAAATATTATTTAAAAAACCCTGGTTAACCTGTCCCTTCCATATCTTCTACTTATTTTCCCAACTGCTAACCACTACATACCATACTTTGCCTGTTAAACTTATTGCTATAAGCCATTTAAGTCATTTCTTTTGTTTTTCACTAGTATTTTGTAGTTTAAGTTCAGAGTTTATGTTTAAAACTTCATGATTTGTTCCAATATTTTTGAGATTTATTGATAACCATCATGTGCCATAAGATGTTTCTTTAGTTGTGGCATTTCCAGTGTTTGTTATATGATTTATGTATCTTGGTACTCATAAATTTATTGTGTTTTCCCCAATATCTTTCCCATTATTCTACTTGCATCTTGAAAGTTTGCATCAACTTTATCATTCAGTTTTTAATTTGTCCCATCTATGTGTTATGTTCAAAAACCTTTTATATAAAAGCATCCTAATCTTTTCAAACTCTTCTTTCTCAGGTTCCTTCCTTTTTTCTTGAGATTACAGGAAGTGCTTGAGTTGCAACAGTAATTGGGATTGGGATTGCCATTGCTAAACAATGTTACAACTACATTGCTTAGAGCCAACAATCCCAGAATTCCAGTTGCTGTCATAATCTCAAGATACATGGGTTGTTTATTTATTTATGAGACTTATATACCGCTTTAAGTACAAGCACTCTCTAAGTGGTGTACACCAGTAAGCAATGTATGTGTGTATATATATATATATATATATATATATATATATATATATATATATATATATATATCTGAGGTTTTCGCAGGTGTTTGTATGTAGGTAGGTCTTTGGTTGTTCGGGTTTTCTCCCGCGTAAAATTGGAAGTGTCTTGGCGACGTTTCGACGAAGTCCCATTCGTCATCTTCAGGCTGGTGTTTTCAGCTTCGTGCTTCGTGCTGCTCGAAGCACGAAGCTGAAAACACCAGCCTGAAGATGACGAATGGGACTTCGTCGAAACGTCGCCAAGACACTTCCAATTTTACGCGGGAGAAAACCCGAACAACCAAAGACCTACATATATATATATATATATATATATAATATATATATATATATATATATATATATATTTTTACATTGCCCCCAACAATCTGGGTCCTCATTTTACCTACCCCGGAAGGATGGAAGGCTGAGTCAACCTTGAGCCGGTGAGATTTGAACCGCTTACCTGCTGAACACAGTCAGCTAAAGTGGCCTGCAGTACTGCACTCTAACTGCTGCGCCACCTCGGCTCTAAGGAAGAATTGTTAAGGAAGAAGTGGTAAGGAACATGGGGGGGGGGGAGGCTCTGGAAGGCCTGGCACAAGGGAGACCTGACAAGATTTTGGAAGACTGAGTATAGAATGCGTGTGAGTTTAGGAAGAGCTTGGGAGGCTGAGCACAGGCCATGCATGAGTTAAGGGAGGCCGTGGGAAATTTCAGGAGGATGAGTACAGGTTATACAAGAGTTGGGGGAAAGTCAGGGAAGGTTTTTGGGAAGCCTAACATAGGCTGTGTGTGACTTGAGGGAGGACAGGGGAGGCTGCGTGCAGGCAAGTAGGATGAGTTGTGAATGAGTTGTGATCTTCCCTGCCAGCTTCCCCATAGGTAGGAAGGCAAGGGAAAGTTGCAAATGGTGGTCACATGACCATAGGGATGCTGTTAAGGATGGGACTTCAGAGATTGATTATAAGTCCATTCTTTGCAACGTTGCCATAACTTGGAAATGTTGCTTTACAAATGAATGTAAGGTGAGGACTACCTCTAACTTTTGTTCCTGTAGCAATTTGTAAATATATCAACCATGATTAGTTTCTAACTTCATTGAGTCATTCTTGCTGTGTCTTTACTTTGATTTCTGAATATGGATTGGCATATGTGATTGAATTCATCTTACTGTAGCTGTCCTTGAAGTAAGAGGTATTTGGAGGTGACACTAATGGAGAATACTGGATTTATCATTTTTTAGAAGATTGCATATTTTTTAATAAGCTTTGCTTATAATATACTCTTCAAATTATTTTCTTGTTTCTTTGTACCATGTATACAATATCTATGAAATCTACTGACTAAGCCAGATTCTTGTAAAACTAGTAATTTGCTGCACTATGATATTCATAGATAGCTTGCTTAATAATATAATTTAAGGTTAGGAAATGCAGATCTCCTCTTTCTTTTGAGTCTTGCAAATTCTTGAATCTTACTCTTATTTTTCCCACTTCATGTAAATCTATTGATTGTTCTTTGCCAGTTGGGCAAACATTTCTCTGAGATTATAATTTGGGCCATTTTGAGTGTTCATCTTGAGTGATTAATTTAGTGATATTACAACATAGAATCATAGGGCTGGAAAGGACCTTGGAGGTCTTCTAGTTCAACCCCCTGCTCAAGACAGTAGACCTTTTATCATTTTTGGTCAAATGGTTGTCCAGTCTAGTATGGAAAATCTTCAGTGATGGAACACAAACAATTCCAGGAATCAAGCTATTCCATTAATTAATTGTTTTCACCATCAGAAACTTTTTCCTTACTTCTAAGTCGGATCTTTCTTTAACCAGCTTCCACCCATTACTATTTGTCTTGCTCTGTAGTACTTTGGAAAATCAGTCAATCAATCAATCCTCTTCTCTTCAAGTTCATGAAGTTTTCATGTCCCCTAATCCTTCTCTTGGATAGATTAGATATACCTAACTCCCTCAACCGTTCATTATATAATTTAACCTCCAGATCCTTTATCATCTTTGTTTCTATTCTTTACACACTTTCTAGGATCTCAACATTTTTTTTTCTTTTGTATTATGGTGACCAGAATTGCACGCAGTGTTCCAAGTATGGCCTCACAGGTGCAACATAAAGTGGCACCGAAGACAAATTCCTTGTGTGTCCGATCACACTTGACCCATAAGAAGTATTCTAACTCTAATTCCATTCCTATTCCTATTCCCATTCTATTCTTTATCATATCTTGTGATTTTGATGTTATCCCTCTGTTGATGCAGCCCGGGACTGCATTGGCTTTTTTGGCAGATCCTAACAAGATTTTTGGTAAAATTTTCCACTTAACCAATATCTATGTCTTTCCACAATTTATTATAACTGTTTTGAAATATGTCTTGGTTTAATGCAGTCAGGGAAAGTCTCAAGATTTTTGTTGTTGTTGTTATTTCACCATCACTCTCTTTTTTCGTAAAGTCATATTCTTCAAGGGTTATGTCTATTGTTATCTTTATTTTTTGCATTAATTTTGTTTCTGGAAAATTGGCCAAAATTGGAATTTGGATAGTAATCCTCTATACATGTGATTTTTTTGGTGCTACTTTTAGTATTTTAATGGTTGCAGGTGCAAAAGTCATCCTTGCTTGCAGAGATATGGCAAAAGCAGAAAAGGCAGCCCATGAAATCCGGATCAAGACGGGAAACCAAGGGGTTATAGCAAAAAAATTAGACTTGGCAGACACCAAATCTATCAGAGAATTTGCCAGTAATTTCTTGAAAGGTATGTCTCAGGCACGTTGTTTTCTTAAGGGTAGTTTACTTGGGGCAAAATGATACCTGATTATTTGTCTAAAAATCCAGTATGCATGATGAAATTAGGGCATGCTTTTTATTTATTATTTATTTATTAAATGTATATCTGCTACCCATCTCGCTATCCAGAGCGACTCTGGGTGATTTACAGTGCAATAAAAACAATTCTAAATATAGAAACAGTTAAAAACAGTTTTTGTCTTTTAAACTCCATTAAAATGGTTACTGATTTTAATTTTAAAATTAGACTTTTGCCTGCATAGCAATACTTCAACTAATAGGATTGCCAAAGCAATCCTAAAGGAAGCACTCTACTGAATGAAATAGAAAGGGATCTACTGCTTCCTGTCCTGCTTTCTGGAGTAATTTTGTCTGAGTCGGATAGGACCAAATTTTACCTTGTCAAAATGTTCATTGGAAAAATCTGAGAAAAAATGAACTCTGACTATGTTTCCATTACCCCAGTTCCAGTATTTGTATCTTGGGCTTCTTTATTCATTTGGCCTATGTGGCTTTTTTCTTGCAGAGGAGAAAGAACTCCACATACTCGTCAACAATGCAGGTGTTATGATGTGCCCCTATTCAAAGACAGCTGATGGTTTTGAGATGCATTTTGGAGTCAACCATCTTGGTAAGGTTGCTAAACTTTATCTACTTGATCAGTTTTTCTCTTAGAAAGTTTTATTTAAGGCTCCCCCCCTCCCTTTTGTCTTAAAGTGCTATAAGAAGTTAGAGTTTGGACCCCATGTAAAGATTGGAAAGATTTGTGTGCTTTTGCATGTTGGGGCATGCAGGGAGGATAAAAAAGAAAATGAGTGTTGCAATGTTGCAATGCTATGTCTGCCTCTTTTATATATAAATTGTAATGTTGCACCTGCATATGGTAAAAGACCAAGCTTACATTGCAATATTTTTTTTTTATCTTTATGAAGTGGTTGAATTCTGCAGAGGCCTTTCAGAAGATTGTAATTGTTATGTAGAGTAGCACACAGGTTTTCCTTAAGGCTCTATGAGCCCTGACTGAAATAAGAATTATTGCTGCTCATTTGTTTAAATTAATGGTAACATGGGAAGGGTGAGATAAAACCATATTATCATAATTATTCTCACAGGGATTACTGTTCTCCTTGATCACACTGTGAATTTTTTAACGCATCAGATTCTTCACCAAGTTTTAAGGAGCTATTTGAACATGCATAGTCCTTAGTTGATTTAAGTAATCAGAAAGTTATTATGCTTTCAATTATGGGGGGAAAATGGAAACTTTGAGAACACAATTGCACCAGACAATCTTACTTCCTAAAAATCCAAAGGTTAGTAGTACTATCTCATCCAATTTGGAAAGCCAAGTTGCTCTTGATATCTGGTGACTTCATGGAAATATTCACATAATTTTCTTGGCAACAATATGCAAATGATTTGCCATTGCCTTCTCCTGAATTATTTTTAAAAATGTCCCAGTATAGCCTATATTCCTGGTATTATCGGGTAGTTTACCATCTATGTTTTATCCAATCCTGACCCTCCTTACATATTTGAATTCAACCAAGGTTTAGAGCACAGAATTGCTGAGAGCTATCTACATATTTTAAACAGTTCTGTGAAAGAAAATAACTTCTTTCAGATTTTCTGAATTCTTGCTTTTCTTTTCTGTTGAACGTTGTTGGAGTTTCATATGCATCTTATTGATATATAAATTGATATATAAAGAGAAATTAAGGAAAAAAAAATATTGCCAGATTTTCCTGTTAGATTCATTCATTTCATAAACAGAACTATTCATTATGTAGTTTGCTAATCAACCTAAATCTCAATTCATTTGTATGAGGGCTCTTTTAATTGGGGCTGAGGCCTGCCTTGTATAAAACTCACAAACTTTGGCTTTGGCTGAGATGGTTATCTTAGTCATGATTTGATTAGGTTTTGTTTACCTTGGCTTCTAGTTATCCATTTTTGGTGTTTTGAACTATTATTTTGCTCAGAGTCACCATGGTGAGATGAGCAGCCATATAAATTGAATTAAATAAATCACAGGGAAGTTATCACCGTACAGATTCTTGAAGGCATTATTTATCCTGCTCAAAAGGCCTCTGTTAAAAAAAAAATGATGTATCAGTCTGGCAAAGCTTACAAATTCATTTCTAAATTGGGGGGGGGGGTCCACTAGTCTACCAGGACTCTTGAAATGGAGAAGATTTGGGGAAACCATGAATCTTCCCAAGAGTAAAAACTGTTTGCATAAAAGATATCGTTGTGTAAAAAATATTTCAAGACCATAGTATAAAGTCACTCAAGAAGTCACAAAAAATGCTAGACCAGTGTTTCTCAACCTTGACAATTTTAAGGCATGTGGACTTCAACTCCCAGAATTCCACAGCCAGCAATGCTGGCTGTGGAATTCTAGGAGTTGAAGTCCACATGCCTTAAAATTGTCAAGGTTGAGAAACACTGTGCTAGACGGTATCTCTTGCTTTGGCTAAAATCAGTGCTCATGATTCCTTCATCAGAAAAGCTCTGAGCAAAAATTGGACTCATGAGAGAGTAAAAAGGTAAAAGTCATGGGTCACTGGGAAGAACATCAATGGTTGCCTCAAAAATCACCTGAATAGCCCTCCAGATATCTGAAGGATTGTTCTGTATGTCAAAAGTGTAACACATGACATATGGAACAATTGGTATACCAAAACAAATGCTGCATTCATCATAAAGCCTTCATACCAAATGCCAAGCATGGGAGGAGTGAGGATACTTTCCTATCTCAGATCTGGATAATTTGCCACGATTGAAGAAAGCTATGAGAGAACATCAGACCATTTGTCCATCAGCTGAAATACAGGCAGGTCACACAACAATCTCAAAGCAGTAATTCCAAGTATATGCACAGGTCTACAAGGGTAAGAACACGTTCACTTCTGTGGAAGGGCCAAGTCAAAGTCTAGATCTAAATTGTAGAGAAATGTTATGGCAGGACCCAAAATGCCAAGTTAATGCTAGAAAACTTTTTAAATGTGACTGAGTTCAGCAGCCAGTTACTGAATCTAAGGGGCATTTTTTTTTTTTTTTCATATATCAGGCTGATGAGTTTCGGACCTACATGAATTACTGAGTGACACAAATATTCAGAATATTGAATATTCAGAATATTGAAAGGGAATGAATTTTTTTTTAAAAAATGGATGAATTCCTTAAGGACAATTACTCAGTTTATTATCAGCAACCTCTTGAAAATAGACCTTCCTCTCCCCATACATTTTTGCTTTAGTTTTGTTAATTTTTACATTTTTATATAACACATATGTTTAATGAAAACCAATGCGTGAAAATCTAACCACAACGTTCAAATTACTGTTCATAATCTTTCCTATTAGGACATTTTCTTTTAACGTTCCTACTAATAGAGCGTCTGAAACAAAGTGCACCAGCTCGTATTATAAATGTGGCTTCAGTGGCTCATCATATGGGGAGCATTCATTTCAATAATCTCCAAAGTGAAAGGTTCTACTTCCGGGGCCTGGCATACTCTCATAGCAAGCTGGCCAATATTCTTTTCACACGGGAATTGGCTAGACATCTGCAAGGTGAGCTGGAAGTTTGCAATGTCTTTAGTTGACAAGGTTATTTAGATGCAAAAACTACTGGGAAAATTGGGGTACTGGTATGGGAGAAGTCCTAATATATTTGAAGTAAGATCTTTTCTTAAACTCCAGTTGTTACTACCCAATATGTAAAATAGAATGGCAAAAATTGGCCAGGATTGAGCTGGACAGAAATGTCATCTTGAGAAGCAAAGATAGCAGTGTGCTGGAACAGCCTGTAAAAGCCCTAGTATTTCTGTCCTATGCACACACTTACAAATAGTCCTCAACTTACAATCATTCGTTTAGTGAAGGTTTGAAGTTATAACAGCACCTAAAAAGTGACCTATGACCGTTTTCATACTTACAAACTTTGTAGCATCCCATGGTCACATGGTTAAAATTCAGTCATTTCACCACTGGCATGTATTTATGGCAGCTGCAATGTCCCGGCGTCATGTGATCATCTTTTGTAACCTCCTCAGTTGGCTTGCAGCAAGCAAAGTAAATAAAGGAAGCCAAATTCACTTAACAATGGCACAATTCACTTAACAACTGCAGTGATACGCTTAGCAATTGGCAAAAAGATCACAAAATGGGGCACAACTCATTTAACATCCGTCTTGCTTAGCCACAGAAACTTTGGTCTCCATTGTGGTCGTTAGTCAAGGACTACCTGTTACTGAACTTTGTAGGACTTTTTCCTAAGTAATTTTAAATAAACTAATGACAGAGAGAGATACTTAGGCTTCTACCATAGGTATAAAGACTGTTTGCACACAAAGGAAGCCGTGGTCACCTTTAGTCCAACTGCCATTGAATGGACTACAAGTACGATTTATTTATTTTTGGTTTTAATGTGCATGTACTTCATATGGACACATGTGACATAAACTCTAATTTGTGGAGTCCTTGGTATTTTCTGAGCTTGGTTATGTGCTTGCAAGCATTTCATTCACCAACAAGATAACATCATCAGTGTAAGTGAACATCATCAGTGTTCATATATAGTAGTTTGCCCTGCCAGTTTGGGTAGGAATGTGATTTTTTTCCCCTTGGTAGTTCTTTAATTATGGCATTATTTTGTGCTTCATTGTTTGCCTGGCATGATCTAGAGAGGAGTGGTTTTTTTTTCTGTTTCCTTCTTAACTTTTTATACGTTCTTAGGCTATTTTTATAGCCAAAGTCAGCATAACCCAAAAAACTTACAAAAAAGCTTTGATATCTCATCCTACTACTGTGCCTCCAGAAAATCAAAGACCTAAAAATAGAAATCATGGTTTCATTTTATGTTGCAGCACTCTTTATGTCCATAGATCCAGAGCTAGTGAAAAAAACCATGACAGCCCTTCTACACAACCCATGGCTAGCTGTTCTAGCCAAATACACTAAATATACTGTATACAGTATACACAAATATACTGTCAATTTTAAGGACAAATATATGCACAAATCAAAGGGGATCCATGGCATCGCCATTCTCAGGACTCAGAGCAGAAACCATAATATAGCATCTAGAAACTATAGTAGTCCCACTTATGCAACTAAAAGTATGGCACCAAGGACTCCACAGTTTAACCTTGAGCTACATATATTCTCTTCTATTGAAACTCTTAAGTTTACGCTGGCATCATATTTTCCTTTTTGTAATTCAAACAAAACCCTTTGCTTTTGTATAGGCTGATCCCATTAACAATATATTTTTGAGTACATGCCTGGTTTGTCTCCTGCAGGTACTGGTGTCACTGTGAATGCTCTGCATCCAGGTACAGTTTTGTCTGAACTTGTTCGTCATTCCTTTACACTAAAAGTTTTGTGGAACATATTTTCTATCTTCTTGAGGACACCTTGGCAAGGAGCCCAGACCAGCATATATTGTGCGGTGGCAGAGGAACTGGAGACAGTCAGTGGAATGTATTTCAGGTGGGTTGATCTGGGATGACTGGCATTGGGAGGTGGTGAGAGAGAACAAAGGTTTGACTTCCAATCTAAGGGACAACATTGTTCTGGTTGTACTATAACGCTTAGACACCATAAAAGCCTTCGGATGGGGAAGGAAGCTTTGGATAATCATGTCAAAATAAACCAGGATGCAAGCAGGAGTTATGATTGCTATTGGTATTATTTTAAAGCATCAGTGAGGCTCCCCCATGGGCTCAGTGCAAACATTGGATATGGGACTTAGCAAGTAATGAGTCACTGATGGGTTAAGAATTCTTGTACCTCTTTTTGAAGTCATTCAAAAAGAATGAATCTCACCTGCTGATTCTTGCCTAACAGCACCAGGTGATATCACTAGTTGTCTCTTTAAAGCAGCAGTTTTCAACCAGTGGGTCATGTAGATGCTGCATGTGAGCCAAACTACGTGATAGGAAAAGTGCTACATAGATGCACAGCAGAATCCCACCTCTGTGACATTGCCAGGGGGCAAATTGCCTCCATTTCTCCTCCTGAGTCCCAGCAACTTGTGTTGCCGGGGCTTCCAGTTTTGCAGGCTGAAAGTCCTGCCTGTGAGATGTGTGCTGTGAGATGAAAAAAGTTGAAAACTACTGCTTAAAAGATCAGAAATCTAAATCCAGTCCCACTGCATTCATGGTGACATCAGTCTTAATGACTCCCTTAGCTAATGCTAAGGATAAAGATCCATAGTTATGTGATACACACATAGCAGCCATTCTAGTTGAGCATGTTTATCTTTAAGCTATGGGCATATGTGTGCAAATGAATGAAGAATTTTAGTATATTAAGTAGCTTCTAAAATATGCCAGGCTAGTGTGTAAAAGGAGGCCCTGTAGTCTATTCTAAAGTGTGTTTTGATGCATTAAAACTTATCCATGACGGCTTTGTACAAGGAAAGTGCAAAAGATTCTGGGCATGCATTCTGGGTTTCCACAGAACAGTCATTTTACAGCTGGTCCGTGCTTGAAACATATTTTTAAGTTTATAACATGAACAAACAAGGTTGCTGTGGATACAGAAAGAAATATGGTTGTCCTGGGTGAGTAGAAGAGTAGGAGAAAGCCAAGGCAGTCGAAGGGGCTAAGAGGAAAAGGAGTGAAGATGAGGTGAACTATAGGAGAGGGCTGCGGGGAGAGGGAATGACAGATGCACGAGCTTTGCTGGTTTGGTATGTGTGGGGGGGTAGGGGGCGCAGTCTTAACTCCTGGCAACCACCTGGACAAGGCCCTGCATTTTTCTTGGCAAGATTTTCAGAAGTCGTTTGCCATTGCCTTCTTCCTAGGACTGGAAGAGAATGACTGGTCCAAATTCACCCAACTGGCCTTGGGCCTAAACCAGAACTAGAATTCACAGCCTCCCAGGCTCCAACCTGGTACTTTTAATCACTATATCAAATTGGCTGTCAATCTTGCTGAATTTCTCTTTTAAAATTCAATAGAGGTAGTCCTCAACTTACAACCATTTGTTTAGTAACTGAAGTTACAATGGCACTGAAAAAGGTGACTTACGACTGTTTTTCACACTTACAACCATTGCGACTTCCCCATGGTCATGTGATCAAAATTCAGATGCTTGGCAACTGGCTTGTAAGTAATGTGCTGGTGCCATGTGATCATTTTTTGAGACCTTCTGACAATCAAAGCCAATGGGGAAGCCAGATTCACTTAACAATCATGATACTAAACAACGGCAGTGATTCACTTAACAACTTTCTTTGGTAAGAAAGGTTGTAAAATGGGGCAAAATTCACTTAACAACTGTCATGTTTAACAAGGGAAATTTTCAGCTCTATTGTGCTTGTAAGTCGTAATATATATTAGCACGCTGCTAATATATACCGTGTAAATCCTCTGTTAGAAAAAGGAAAGAATGCTAGTAACTTGTATTAGTAATTGAGGAGTCCATTATTCAGGCATATTTTGATTGACACAGTTCTTTTATAGTCAGGTGAGCTTTAATTTGTTTTTTGTTTGCTAAGTCTGAACATACTAATTATTTTATATAATTAAAATTATATGACGTCTGCCTGAAAAACATGCTCGTAGACTGGAGCGAAACGCAGAACAGACTGATTTATACTTGGTAGACCGGGTGCATCACCCAACAGATATTAAAATGAATACAATTAATTATAATTAATATTTAGTATTAATGCAAAAGAACATTGCTAACATGCTTTCTTCCTTTACATAACAGTGATTGTAAACCAGCATATGTGTCATCTCAAGGACGTAAGGATGAAACAGCAAAGAAGCTTTGGAATGTGAGTTGTGAACTCCTTGATATCCAGTGGAATTGACCTGCAAAGGCCAGCTACACCTGAATCCCATATTTTGTATACAAGACTATGAAAAAGTGTTGCTTTCATGTAATTTTCATACTTGATAGGACATGTCCATTTTTAATAAAAGTGTTCATCTCAGCTTTTCCATTAAAATAGAAGCTCAAGCAATTGTTTAGTGTATGGAACTAACCATGATAATACCATTCTGAAGATCTCCTGGTTCCCCCCACAAAAAACCTTAGTTTTTCTGGTTTTTGCATGGCAGTGTGAACTATGATTTGTTTGGTGTGGTTTTACACAGCATTCTGGGCTAAAAGTTTGCTGCTTCATTTGTGATTCAGCATGCTACGATTAATGCCAGGCTACAAAATTACATCAGTTATCTTGTTTTGAAAATTTTAAGATGTTTACAGTGTGGTTTTGGTGACTTGGTTTCTTTCATTTGTTGAAATTTGTTTGTGGCTACATATTTAACAAAAAATGATATTACAGATCAAAACACCAACTTGCCCAAATTCTTTATTTTCTCAATGAGAGTTTAACACTTTTGTTCATTGGAAGTTTAGAATTCCTCCATTGCAATTTAGTACAGGATAGTTCACAGGACAGGTTTTGCTGGTGAGAAAGGGATCCTTTAAAAATCCTAAAGAATCCGAGTAACTAACAATATAAAGTGCATAAAATGCAGTGCAAAGAGTGGCCCCAACAATCGTCTCAATTTTCTCTCCCCCACAAGTCGTTCCTTTCTTCCCTTTGGAAGATATTGATGAGAAGAACTTGGAGATGAAAGTACAAGCCATATTGCACACTCAACTCAATAGGCAGTATAGCTTAACACAGAGAGGATAATGAATTCTGTTTTTTTCTTACTTCTGGAAGAAATAATCAAAGTCACAGAAAGTCTAGTCAGACTATTACCTGGGACTCATGGCAGTTGAGCTCGATAGACAGCAAAAGCAGAGTTTATAACTCTTAGATTCCTAATAGGATAATCTCCAAGAACCAAAAGGTATGAAAAGATAGAAGCTAAATATAGCCCTCCCCAGTTACTTAACCTCAAAGTTATTTCTGGCTGCCAAATCCAATGAATTAAGGATTACTACACTTGTAGGTGTGAAATATGGCTGCTGTTTCCCTGGAAAGGATAGCTTAGACCGTTTGCTGAAATTAGTGGCAACGGATGATGTTCGTCTATTTAAAAAAAAAGAAAACCTCAAAGATAAAACCATCCTGAATAATATCTTACAACCAATACAATTTTGATAACAGTTTGAATTTTTCAAATTAAAAATGTCATCAATTACAGTCATATCCTCTTATACAGATCATGCTGTGGTCTCTGTTTTCTATACTATGTCACTGAAAGGACAATGAGAACTTCATACTGTTTTGGGGAGGGTGGCAAATATGGGTACAGGTTCCAAATGGCAGCTACTATTCATCATTTGTTGCTCCATTTTCTGTGTTAACTGGTTATTTTCTCGCCTCAGATAGTAACAGGTGTAGACTTACAGGCCTGTTATCTCTTATGCACAGAATTCAGCTCCAGCTTTTTCTTATGAAAAGCAATAGAACACTGTACCCATCTCAAAATGCTACTTGTTTCTTTATTTATTTGGCTGTAGCTTTGCAGTGTTGGGAATCACAAGCTGTTATTAAACTCTTGTTGATGTGGGATTTGCATTAATAAAATAGTGCCTAACGGAGAGATACCTCCATGATCATAAAGTAAAAACACAGCTGAAGCAGCACTGAAAATATGAAGTATGTAAAGAATAAACCCCCTGAAGTAGAGGTAGTTGGTTGTCACTGCATCATGACTGGCACTTTAAGGAAGTCGATCTTTTCCTTTTGAATAAAGGCATTCAAGCAGCTTCTTTCCAGTTTGCAGCCATAACTGACTCTAGCACAATGTAACATTTTCCCTTTCTAGAAACAAACATCCCAACAAATTTCTGGGAATCATTTCTTGGAATTTTGGGTAAGCCAGCTTCTCGGCTTAGTGTGATGTACCAAAAGCCACTGGGTGCAGATGGCCTGCACTACATCATCCCCACCATCCTCTGCCATTTGCCGTATGTGTTGAACCAGCTGCACAGCTCTTATGTTTTCTTGTTTTACTGAGATAAGATAGGCAGAACGTAGTTTATGGCATTTCAAGTATGCCTGAATCTGAAACAGAAAGAAAAATAATGAGGCTTGAAATTTTATAAGAAGGGGTATTGCTCTTGGGATGCACCAGTTTTCCTTCACTTCCTAATGTAGCTCTGATAAAATATTTTAACCTAAGTGGAGAATCTGTAGAAGACTGAGAGGTGTGATATAAAGGCTGCACCAGGAAGTAAGTATCAACAAGTCCCTTTGCACACAGACTTACTGGAAGAACTTACTTTTGGGATTACCGCCAAAAGATGCTTATTTTCTGCAAGGCAGCAGAGCCTATATATAGTTTGAAACAATGCATGCATTTAGAACGATGGTAGAGTTGCTTTGTAGGCCAAGCACTGGAATGTATTACAAAAGACTTGTATGTTAGGCTTATTAAAATAACTTGATGCCAAACAAATACATTTCTGCCTAAAGCTTTTAAAAAAACTCATCTTTTCTTGTTCCTTATATAATCATTCTTCTATAATCATGTTTCTCAACAAAAAAATCACACCAAAATTAAATAATTTAAAAGTAATATCTATTCCATAGAGCTTCTATTACAAAAAGCAAATGTTTCAGTTGTAAGTTTCTCTGAAAATAATAGTCCATTACACTGGGAATTTACTGAATTGGAAAACACAGTGGTTTATTCACCAATAGAAGAGAGAAAGAATCATTGTGTGGAATAACGAATGGCCCAGAGTGCACATAATGTTTATCATTATAAATGATATATATGGCTATCAGTCTAAATATTTATGCCCCAAATTCTAGATGAGCCTCCTGGGTTTAACTTTGTGGGATTCTTGTCACTGCTGGTAAAGATGGGGAAAATGGCATCTTCAAAAACTGCTTGAACAATTCAGGATGCCATACAGACCTTTCATCTTCTGGATATTCCTATTGTACAATGTCAGATTGTACCAGGCTGAATAATGAAAGTCTTCATGTTAGTGCACACCTTGATTTATTAGTACTCGTGCTCACTGATTTTATGTTGTTTCAGTTCCTACCACTTAATGACTCAAGATCTGAAATTCAGATAGGGCAGAAATACATATTTGTGTCCCTTAACCTTTTATATATTCTGGAAATGCACCAGAAGAGCTCATTTCAAAGTAGTTTTCTATTAATACACATCACTATGATCATCGTGTTCAATGTTAGTAAAGAATTATCAGTAACTACATTCATACACTTGTTGAATATGATGGTCCTAGAACAATAGGAGTAGACAAAAGATTGTATCCACAAGAATGAATGAGCAAAAATACACCATATACATAAATATTTCCAAAAATTACTTCATATCCAGGGAAAAAATTATTTGTTTTACTCACTTTGTTTTCATCACTGTCCATATCCTGGATCAAATTATCCAACTCCTAGATCCCAGCAAGAAAAATAAAAATGGTAGAAAGATCATGAGATGAACTGTTAAACATTGTTTACACTGTTATGGTTGCCTGTACTTGCCCCTATAGATCACTTTTAATTTACCAGAGAATCAAGGAAGCAATTATAAACAAAGTCCTACCCATTGAAAAAAGATACAGTAAGCAGCTATTTCATTAGCTTTTATTGGATTATGTGACTTAATTATGAGACTTAAGGGGTGTCCACAGTCGTGGGATAAACATATACCCAACCCCTTTCCAAAATGAAGACATCCTAACTATCCTCATTTAAGCACTAGATGAGGTACTTGGGTATCCCATTAGCAAATTATAAATTTAAGACTACAGGGATGACATCATTCATTCATTGGTTATGAAAGAATCACTAGCAAAATGGGACTTATGGTTGGCTTTCTAAATACTCAATTTAGGAGAAAGAAAAACATATAACCATGTCTCTTCCCTAACACTACAAGAAATACAAGCAGTGTCTCCCTTTTTTGTGTTAGTTGGTATTTTAATGAATGATGTTAAAACCTAATAAAGATATTTTTAAAAAAAATAAACCAAAGTTACCTCTGCAGGGATAGAATCAAACTCATCCAAGCAACTGAGGATGACATTGTCCCCATCATTTTTATCTGCAGCACCAGACTCCTTGATACATTTAATGAGCTGCCTGATCTCGCTGTAGCTCTGCTGCTTCACCAGCTGCCTAGCTACTTTATTGTATATAGCAGCAACATCCAGCTGGAAGTCCTAAGAAGGTGGACAAAATAAGTATTATTTGAGAAAGATGATATACTGTATGTATAAATAAATTGGTTGAGGTGTCAATCAATAAAACAAATAAAAACTGAAAGAATGATTTGGTTAACTTTTCTATACTTTATTTACAAAAGATACTTGTTAAAGTTTTGAAATGTTTTCTGAGAAAGAAAAAGGACAAAGGAAAAGAAATCCAGTTCTCGGACTTATTGGAAGGGATTAAAAACCAAGTTAAAAGTAAAGAGAAGACATATAAAATTGGTTTATTTGATCAAGATTAAAATAGATATGTGGTTATCCCTGATAACCTCTAATGTTGATCAGGAATGAATGATGAGGTTTTAAGATTTAAGAGATGAGATATGAGGAGAAGAGAGCTTTTGTTGTATTTTAAGAGAATGTGATAGGTTATACTTGTGACGAAGGGGAAAGTTACTTCTTTATATATTTCTTTTTCTTTTCCATTTTTTATTTTTTTCATTTCATTTTCTGCACTTTTTAATTTTTCTTTGTAACTCATACATATTCTTAGTTTGTATTAGTTTTTATCTTTTCAACTGTAATCTTTAATAAAAGTATTATTAAAAATTCAAATACATATCTAGAATTACATAAAACAATCTGAAATAATGCAATGGTTTGCTTCAACTATTTCAATGTCATGTGTAAAGAGTCAATGTTAGATATAAAGCTTCTTCATTCAATATACCTGCAGTATTCTAAATGCAATCCCAAATCCCTCTTCAATGTTTTTGCCTTCCAACATGACCTGAAAAAAAATTGCAGCAGGAAAAAAATAAAAAATAAAAATTGAGCAACATACAAAGCCCCAAATAATAACAACGTGTTCTATTTTTTTTCTGGATTTCAGCCCTAGAACTGGTATGTTAAAACTCCAATGAAATATTGCTTCTCTGAGTCATTGTTATTCTTTCAAATCAAGATTCATAATGAAAATGGTATGTGACATTTTTGGGTTAACTTCTATAAACAATCTACATGTTTTTAGTGTAGAATTCACCAATCTCTGTTCAGTATTCCATTTCAATATGTAAAACCACACTAATAAATTTAAGTGGTACTCCATACCTTGCAAGCAACCTCAATCTTCATTTGATTGTTTCCAAACAGGGTAGGCACAGGTAAATCACCTATAGATAAAGATCCTGACTTTTCACAACGATGGAGGAATTTTGTTACTTCCATCTGGAGCTCAACTGTACTGATGTGCCTAATGTAGAGAAAATTTGTTTCAGTGCATAGTCTAATAAATAAATCCAAAGGAGAAATTTTAGATGAAATTCAAAACATGAATTAGAAACCCTCATTAAAGTTAGCCCTTCAGGTAAGTCTGTGTGCTCTCAGAAAAGTCCTGAATTATATCTTATTACATTATTACTAAGTAGTTTAATAACAAATGGTTGACTGATAAAAATGTTGTCCAACATTGTTTTGTTAATACCTTGATACATCAGGAGCAGACATTTTCTTGCGAAAAGAGCATGCAAATTTTTTTCTTCCTGAACTCCTAGAAACTTCTTGAAGGTAAACTTTAAGATGGTCTTTGACCTTTAAGAGCCATTTTTGCCTTTCTTTCAACTCAGTATAAGACTTTGCCTTGTCCGTGAAAAATCTAATGCAGGTCATAGCAGCACGAACTTGATCCTGGAAAACAGATAGGCTTCTGAACACAAATGAAGCTTTCAAATTATTTTATCTGGTCAGTGAGATGACATTTGGGCTATATATTAAAAAAACAGGTTCTGGACTGATTTTTAAGTTTAGGGAGCCACTGCTTAACAGATTTTACTATACAGTAGAATCTGTATCTGCTCAGAAAACTGTACATTTATTAGATACTTCATGCAATCCCCTGTCTCCATTGTAAATACCGAGGAGGAGGAAAGTGATACCCAGAACTCTTTGTAACTCATTTATGGCATTGTTGTTTATCTTTTTGTCCTTTCCAAAAAAAAAAAAAAACTATTTAAAGAGGAAAAATTCTAGAAGATGCTCAAAAGGAAGCCTCATTTGACTTTTGTCTTTTTAAATTCAGAGAATCTTCAAATATACAGGAATACGCACATATGAACTTATGGCGTAAGTCCACCATTCATAAATATCTTCACACATCAAATATTTCTGAGGCCATGAGTCTACTTAGCCTTTAAATTTTTCATCTGCAGCAGTTTTTCCCAACCTAAGGTAACTCCATCATCCACAGGTATTTTTTTTTAGTGGAAATAGTTTTGAAAAATCCTTCCAAATAAACAAAAGTATATGTTCTAAAAAAGCAATATAAAATCTCCATTTTGTACAAAACAACAGTCCCGTGAGGTGGATTAGGCTGACACAGACTGGCTTAAAGTCACCCAATTGGCTTTCATACCTACTGGTGACCTATTATAGAACTTACGGTCTCCTAGTTGCTAGGCCAGCACCTAATTACTACAACTAACTGGCTAAGTGCTGTATTTTTTTAAAACAAAAATTTTCAATAATTTTTGCAATGTTTATGCTATAAGAAGAAATTTCAACTCTTACCTTCATAAACTGCTGCACTTCATACAAGATATGGTAATAATTCTTTTTCTGCAAGTGTTTGCAGGCTGCAATAAGATAGACACCCCAGCTCTCTAGTCCTGGATCTATGGTTTCCAGCAAGTTCTCCAACATGTGAAGTTTTCCACTTTTATAACTTGGGATAAAGATGCCTTCAATGAATACATCTGGTGGACTTTCCTTAAACAGTAAAAAAAAAAAAACTATTAAATCATCTATGCCATTATTCTGATAAGAAAAGCTTACATGGTCAGAATGTTATTAGTTACATACTGTTCATAAACAGAACTCCATTTTTCTCACTATCAAAATGTTTTTTATGTGAAAAAGAGCACAGCCACTTAGATTCTAAACAATCAATGAATAAGTAAGTAAATACTCATTCAGACAAGCTTTTCTGAGATTGTCCAAGAATTTAAATTTATATGTTTGCATGTTATATCTAAACACACAGGTTTTATTTCAAGGGGAAATGGTATCACCCAAAGAACTCTTTTATACCAATGAAAATTTGGGCAAACAAAAAGTTTGATTAAAATGCACATTTTTTGTTATTATTTTTTTTCAGTTTTCTTGTCACTTATATTGGTGTTTTAACAGAGTATACTTAAATTGTTGAAGGATAACTGTAATTATACACTCTTGAAATTTTCAAGAGGTAATTTGATTGAGTATAAGTTCAATAAATGAATAAATAAACACTTGATGGACTTGTTGCCCCCTCTCCCATTCCCACGGGTCATTCTCTAAGAAAATTGCAAGGGTTAACAAAAACAAGTTTATAACCAATAGAATATATGAGATTATGAAACATGTTCGGGTCAACTTACAGACATGGATTTATTTTCTAAGTCTTTAACCAGATTCCAGTAGAATGCAGTTTTCCTACCTTATTTAACAAATGCAGCAGAGCTTCCCGCATACAATCATGCCTCATATAAAAACTAATGATTGCTAGATTGGTGCCATAATTGTGCAAATAGAAAAGGCATTCTTGATAATAGCTGTTGTGTTGCATCTTCCCCTCTGGCGTCATCTCTAGAGAGAGGCTTCGTGTCCTCAGCGTTGCTTCCAGTTCCCTCAGAGTGGCCAAATAGTCATCATCCTGCTATTAAGCGAGAGAATCAGAAGTCACAGGTTGAACTCAGAATATGTACTGACAGAAAACTCAAAGCATTTTCCTCCTTGAGGAAATGGGCCAAGTACCCCACAACTGCTATGAAAAAAAACAAAACAAAACCCAGAGATCTGAAACTCTTTGTGAAGTACAGCAGAAACTTCACGAGAAAAAGTGGTAGGAAATCTGTCATATTCTGACAAACTGTCAGGTTTTAGTAATGAGCCATGTCTTGTTTTCATATTCAACTGCACATTTTTACTGTAATTAACAACTGATTAATCTGCTATACAGCTGATTAAAGCAAACATCCCAAGACAATTTATTAAATTTATATCACAGCCTTCCTCAAATAGGTCATAGAAACACACAGAAACACAGAGTTACTCTCTTGCCTTTTGTTTTAACAACCCAGTGAAAGCTGGATATTCAATGCTGCCCCTATCCCCTCAACAGGAGTACAGCCTTACCACTGAAAGAACGGGTTTCACTGTGGTTTCTAAATACTGAAGTACTTCCTGGATCAGATGGGAACCCAGACTGAGCTGATTCAAGTCAAGAGGTGATTTTAAGCATCGACTGAACTTTTCTCTGGCAGCAGTCAGATTTCCAGCTTTAAGGCAAGCCATGCCCCACGCATGCCATGCTCCACCTGGGTCCAGGCCAGTCTTGGTAGAAACCTAAAAACCAGGTTACCCCAAAGAAGATAAAAAATATTTTTTTATTCTTACTATGGTTAAGTTTTTTAAAAATATATATATAGACCAATACAACTATAATAGCATTTCATAAGCACTGTCCATATATATCAGAAGTTTATATTTTTATGGATAGAACAAAAACCTACTGATCATCATTAGAGGCACCCTTTGCCTAATAAAGGTTAGAAATGTACAATTTTCTGTAAAAAGAAAAAAAAAAACACACTGAGAATTTCTGTTCAGAATACAAGATTTTCCTCTCACCCAAGAAGCATTTGTTTGGTTGAAACTCGGATGGCAGAATACCCTTTTCATTAAAAAAAGGAACTTTTTCAAGAGCATTAGGGCTAAGTCACAATTTATAGGAAAAGGACTATAGCTTAGAGGCTAAGCACATAGTAAAATCCCAGAATTCAAATTTTGGCATGTTAAGGTAGAGGCAGGACAGCGTTCTGCAACAAGGTCCAAAAATTTTTGCCAATTAGTAAAATAAAATACAAATTAGATGAACCACTAGTAAGATAAGAAATACAATTAATCATGACTGTCTACCTATTTAATTATGGAAATCATACCATAGCCTTCTCCAGTCAGAATTAAGAGGACCCCAGATTAGGAAAGGCTAGCCTAGAAGGTTAACTACCACTGGGACTGTAAAGTTTTCAGCTACTAAATTAAGTGAGTATAAATGATTATAAAGGAAGCTGATTAATAAATTATACCTGAATAGGAATAGCATGGTATCAGAAATTCAATCTTACATAGCCTTTTAAAATATTGAGGAGGTATTGGATAATTTACAGTTTAAAATACATAGTTCACTCTTAGCAGAAAAGTGATATCTAATACACTTTACAATTTATAATGGGACAATAAATGTCTTAAAGAACTTACAGACCCAATTATTCAAAATAATATTTGATCAGTTAGTTGTATTGTATTAATCTATTTATAACTTTGTAGTACTAATTAGTTTTCGTTAATCTCTAGAATCAAACCCAACAAATATTTCCAAGGCTGAAAACTTAATTCAAAATCCTTGGTAGGAAAAAGAATGAAGATAAAACTCTTTTCCATAGAGATGCCTTCCCACTAAAGATAAAAGTGTGTTAAGGAATCCATAGTCTATGCTTCGCAATTACATCATTCCAACAGTGTTACCTCTACAGACAGCTGATAGTATTCTGCTTGCAAAAGTTGATTTCTTAGCCTACTAACTGCTGCAGGCTCTAATATCTGATCCAGGGATGGAACATGACGATAAGCAGCAGCTACTAAAATGTTCAACACATCCACCTTGCTGAGGTAACTGGTGTGGGAAGAAAAAAGGGAAACAAATGAAATGCATTTGATTCATCTCACTCAGTTTAGTTTTTGAAAGTTTCAATTGTACTTTAATTTCAAAAGGAAACTTGTAATTCAAAAGAGGCAAAGATTATGCCATTTTTTCTTTCTCAGGCTATCTCCTGAAAACAGCTCACAGTTTATCCAAAATAGCACACAATTAGGGCCTCACATCCTGATTTTATTCTTGTGAGAAGAAATCCCAGGTGTAACATTTTTTTTTCATATTGGCTAATTTTGAGGCAATATTTTTCCAAAGAGGTAGCTATCTTTGTTTGTTTTTGGTCCAGAAAATTAAATCTTCAGATTTCTTCTTAAGACTAAATATAACAGGATCCATTTTATTAGATGCATAAATGGTTCAGTTCTGCAGCTGTTCAACATAAATATGTGCTAAAATCAAAAGCCCGGGACAGATATTAGCAACTAAATTGGCTGAAAGTGAGCAAGTCAGTGTATTGTTTCGGTCTTTGTTCCAAAGTTTGCATAAATATATTCTGTCACCTGGCAAAGTAGGTTTGGACATTTTTAAAATATAAAAGTCATAAACTCTGCACACAACCCTTTAAATATAATAAACAGCATAAAACATACAAGGGCATTATTTGTGAGACAGCTTGTGATTTATCTTGGAAAAAAATCTACAAAAGGTTAATCAGCAACAAATCATTACAATGAAAAAAATTTTTCAGGAGGCCAACTGAAATCTTACCTATCACAAAGAGCTAACTCCTGGCTCCTCCCAGCTGTTACAAACATCATTTTGGCACTGAAAAGCAACTGTTTCATGATATCTATGAGAAGACCAGCATCCACTTCAGGGTTTGCCAGGCTTCGAGACAATTTGCAGCAATAGTCTATCAACTGTTGACCACAGGCAATGCTGTCAGAATGCAGTTTGAAGATGGCAATACACAAGGATGCACTAGGAGCCTGAATATTAGAACAGAGAAAGAAATAAAGAAAAAAGTGTGACTCTCTCTGCTTGTGGATGAAGCCAAAAGAGCTCCATATAGGTTAGGGGGAACAAGTCATGAGACAAAGCCCAACACAGTAACAGAATATTCTCTACTTTAAAAGGCAAGGAAGTAATCATTTTTCACTCTAGTTTCAGAGAGATGGGTCTCTTTGTCTATTGTCTCTCATCCATCCATCCATCTAGTTTACTCCTACCTCAGTCCAGATGGACCTTAAGACACTTTACAAAAAATAAAACATAACAAACCAATAATCAACAACATTCAACTATTCTGCAATGCAATAATCTAGAGATCTAGATTATTTCCACTCCTTGAAAATTATTGTTTCAGTAATTTCCTAAAACTTCAGTAATGTCCCTTGTTCTTTTCCACCTGTCACAGGCGACCACAGGAAAAGCAATTTAGGAGAACTTACTTACCTGTTCATAAAAGAATTCACTGCGCACCATTTTATTGTCTTCTTCCATCAAAGAAAGCTGCCATTCAAATTCTGTTGGCTTTGGTATTTGTACCACTGCAGAGTAATCTGGGCATTCATTATCAGAAGATACAACTGCTATGAACAGCAAGAAAAAATACACTTTAAGATGAGTGCAGGTTAAGAAACCACATTCCACAAGCAGCTCAGCAATTTGGAGGAAGAATACACCTTGATAGGAAAGTAACAGCATACGGTCTTTCTTACCTTAAACATTAAACTTTTATATTTTTTCACCTTTTGCAATGGGCATATTTTCTTATTGCATATTTCAAAAACTCCCCCAATCCCCCGACATACTCTGCCTTTAAAAAAATCTGACTTTAACATCAGCATTGTAATTTTCGTGTTATTCCAGGAATAAAACAAAGGGACATGATGGCTAAATTCCTAGCAGTTTTTTTTACTTCATTACTGACTTCACTGATCAAGTGACAAAAATGCTAGCTATTTCTATTTCTCTTGAGTTTATTCTGATGACATTTTCTTGCACTATTTTGTTACTAGCAGCCTTGTTATTATAGCATTTATTTGGTTAGTGGTCTCTGTATAAAAAGTATTTTTTGACTAAGGGAGGGATCTTTAACCAAGTGTAAAGAATCATATCTCAGCTTTATGACCTTGAAATATTTTTAGGAGGCAACTAGTTTAATTAATATTGTCATCCGTTTTATCAGTCCTGCAGCAACATAGACTAGGTTTACAATTCTATTACAATGGGGTTGTTAAAATGCAACAAGGTTTTTCTTGCATCTTTTTTTTTGTTCCCTTTGGGCATGTACCAGAGAGAGATGTAGAATTATGAACATGTCCTTATTATGTGTTCTCACCTTCTTGATTCTGATCCTCTTCATTGGAACTATTAAAAAGAAAAGAAAGATGCTTCACATCCATTCTAATAAGTTTGGAAAACTTAAAAATTTGAATACCGCAGTCAGTAGCTAATGAAATTAAACCACATGTTTTTCTTACATACTGATTCCTTCACTAAAGAAAACTCCTGGCAATTAAGTCTATATAAAGCCCATGAACACAGCAGCTGTCCTGGAAGCATCATAGCAATTGTTTGAGGATTATCTCTAGTTCAGTGGCACCAGGGACCAGTTCCATGGAGAGAGGTTTTTCCATGGACCGGAGGGGGCACGGTTTCATATACTGCCTGCATGCCACGGATAGGGCTTTGCTTATTTGCGCAGCCTAGTTTCTGGCATGTTGCAGCCCAGTGCCGGTCCACAGATCGGGGGTTGGGGACCCCTACTCTAGCTATATGCACAATCACTAGAGCAGGGGTGTCAAACTGCCGAGCGAAACCACGCCCACCCTATTGCCAGCAATGGCAAAAAAGTCGCAATATGTCATGACACATCAAGTGACGTTGTGAGTTTGACACCCCTGGAGTAGAGAAACCAAATACATGTACCTCTTTTAATTGTTTGCATTGTCCTATTAATAGTTTCTTCTTAAGTAGAAGGGGAAATGTCTGCAGGTTTGTTAACAGTAATCAACTAATTAATTTCACACTATAATTCAATTTGCCTCAAGCTGAAGAATGACTGTATAGATCAGGGGTTCTCAACCTTGGCAACTTTAAGACTTGCGGACTTCAACTCCCAGAATTCCTCAGCCAGCTTTGCTGGCTGAGGAATTCTGGGAATTGAAGTCCACAAGTCTTAAAGTTGCCAAGGTTGAGAACCCCTGGTATAGATGTTTAAGAGCATATTTGTACTGTCACTTTTTATTTTACATCAGAAGGGGAAAGTACTATAATATTTTTAGCATTGTTTTATGAATTAATCTTGTTAATTTGTAGTTTTATGTCCATTCGGATTGTCTCAGAAAAGGCAAGACAAGATTTGTACATAAATAAATGTATTCTGGGAAGAAGAGATCTCTTTTCATGATTCTAACATTCTATCAGTGGACTCATAAAAAAGCCTCTAACATGTTCATTCTTCTTCTTTGCCAAGCAATTAAACAATGCCCATTTTATTCATGAACTATCAGGACCAATATTCACAAATCAAACCCCCCCCCCAAAAAAGGAAAAATGTGAAGAGGTATGTTTCTGCACAAAATGTAGCCATTTAAAAAATAACAAAAAAGCTAATTTTTATAGACAACAATAAAAACAATATACAGTCCCCCCTCCAAATCTGGTGCTTTATAAACTAAAGTCTGCAGAATCCCTTGTCACTAGAGTCATCAGGAATTAGGGAATCTGCTATAAAACCGGTTCTCACACCGAGAACTACCGTAAATGCCGGCGTACAAGGCGACCCGGCGTATAAGACGACCCCCGTCTTTATAGCCGGGCCGCATTCCTAGAACGTCGTCTTATACACCGGAAACTACCAGTATTTCCGGCGTATAAGACGACTCGGCGTATAAGACGACCCCCGTCTTTGGCGCCGATTTCAGCGCTCGTGGAAGTCGCCTTATACGCCGGCATTTACGGTATTATTTCAAAGAACAGAAAGATGTGAAAAAATTCTTTACACACATTTCTGAGTCATGGGATGTAGTTGTTGAATAATCCTTGTTGAAATAACTGTAGCACTGATCACACACACGAGCTGAGTTTTCGTTACAAGATTCCACAACCATTCTCTTGGTAGAACAGGAACTGCACACTAGTCGCCCACAACGTCTGCAGTGATGCCTCCTATTAAACTGAGACATAAAAGAAGACATTTGAATGAGCAACAGCATTCCTGCAGTTCCTGTTTAATCCATATAAGAAATCTAATCTTAGGATCTTTTGCAGTTATCATTTTGACTGAAAAGTGCTATATAAAGTTCTCCAAAGACATTAGATAAATACTTATTCAAGAGCTTTTGTTATACACTTACACCCAGTTCTGAAATTCAATTACCATTGTAAAGCGTTCTGTTTTGCAAACCATGCATGTGACTTCAGTGTCATCTGGGATCCACTGCTGTTTTGGTGGGGGCTTCTCTGGTGGTACAAAGTCCTGCACAGAGGCAGCTTGCTGGAGACTTTTCTCTCTTGGGTTGGAAGCATGTGCTGTATCTAAAAGATACAGAAGAGGCAAACGAAAGCCAGTGTAAAGTTGAATTGCTGCTATCATAAAGACCAGATAATGCATTGGATGTTCTATTACAGAAGACATTGTCCTTAAAAAAAAACTGTGCTCCATCACCAACAGAAAGAAGGCTCAGCTCTCCAATCATATAAGATTGTCTTGCAGACAATATATACCAATATATGCTCCATCAGCATAGCATTTATATTTATTTGAATGAAAGAGTAGGTTTTCCTCCAAATCAATCTTACAAATGTTTAAAAAAATCACAGGAAGTGTGACAATAGAAGCAAACTACTTTTTCCTCCCTAAACATTCCTTTTTGCAGAGTTTTACATTAAGGGGCAATTTGATTTGATTCCTCTAGTTTTTAAGAAAAGGAAATGTATGTTTACATGGGAAACTGCAATATTAACTTGTCATTAAGGTTTTGCTTGGAAACAACCCAATTGTTGAGAATTACATGTTAACATTTAAGTGAAAAGTACAGGCTTCCCAGAAAAACAAATATGTTTTTGTTTTGTTATCTATTGCCCAGGAAATTAAGAAATTGACGAAGAGTTAAAAATTGTTCCAGATCAGTTAAAAGCTACTGAGATTACATCATGAAAGAAAATGGACTTGTTTCCATTTGAATAGCAAAACTGAACAATTGCAATTGTCTATGGACATTCTCAATTAGCCAGGTCATGGTTGACCTTTGGGACAAACTACTGCAACATTAAATATAATGTTTTTACAAAAATCTGAAAATCATTACTTTTACCCTCAGGTGGAGGCCTCAAAATCCTTCATAGGAAAATTGATAAGAAATAACATTAACAGTTGTATTATTATTACATTGCTGTTGCTTCACTGAATTTAAATACCTGCTGACTCCAGATCAATTCTGGGTCGCTCACAACATAGTAAGGTAAGATAACTATGCAGTAAAATGCAGAGAATAGAAAACAAGCTAGTGAACTCAATCAACATCGAAAAGAAATACAAACATATCCACCAAGTGGCTCTAAATATCTTAATCCAAGGCCTGAGAGAACAGCCAGGTCCTTAAGGCCTTGGGATTACAGCACCAGATTGTATAAATAGCTATATTTTTTCCTCTACAGCCCTAAAAGCAAATAGGAAAAGAAAAAGAAAGGAGAAAGAAAAGAGTTTGGGTTTTAAATCTTTCTCTCACCAGGAGAACTAGCTGGAAAATGCTCTGTTGACTCTGACTTAGATAAGGTATCAGATTCAGATCCCCGACTCAAGCTCTCTCGAATCAGAATAAGAGAATCTAAGACAAAAAGAGAATGCTGTTAAGAAATTAAGCAATCTATATTTATCTGTAAAGATTAGGTGAACTGATTCAAGAAACAATTGCTCAAACTTGTTCAAAAGCTCATGTGACAGAAGTGACAAAAGATTTTGTACAGATTACAGATAAATAAGATACAATAATCTTGTCACTTTTTTCTGTGAACCCATGGGCATTTCATTAAAAAATGAAATTCTGATACCCGCTCTCAGAAGAAAATAAATATATAACCACACATACACGCACACACACATACATATGCATACACACACAAATAATTAATCAAATCTATGGTTTAGATCTGTCTCCAAGCAGTAAGAAGAAGATTGATGTGTAGGGATTTCTATACGTTTTTTAATGTATTGTTTCCTAAACATTCTTTAGTTTTAATTTATTTCTTTTGCTTTTATAAATGCAGACTGTGCTATATAAGAAGCAATAACAGTAGTGACTTCTGTTGCAATAAAGTTAGCTGTTTCAAAGAACATGAGATAGAATAAGTATTAGTTTCTATATCAGGTCCAGCACCTATTATAATTTTCTCAATTTTCAGAGTAGTTCAACTCCCATAGTTCACGTGCCTACTCAACTATTGTTGAGAGCTTTGTGTGATGAAGCCCGTTCTGCAAAGTTTTAAGATTGAGTAAAGTGGCTCTATGACAGTTAAGAAGCACGTAAACCAATTGTTTTCCCATACTAGTCACATTTTGAGGATTTTTATCTTTAGGATTAAAGTGGGAAAAATAATCTGGGTGAAGAGAAAAGTCTGACTTATTTAACTTTCTGCAATATAAAGCAGAAAACAGCAATACGAATGAAACAGAAAACTTGGAAAAAAACGAGTATGGAAAAAACACAAATGTGGTACTCTCTGTTTACTTTCTATACGTTAACAGTTCTGAAAATAGACTGAAAAGCGGTCTGTGGTTTTCCAGTGGTGCCATAAAGACTTGGTTTTTCACCATCACCGATGGGTGGTTTTCAAAACATGATCACCTGATCTCTTCTCTTTTAGAGAAAATGGAAAATCAAGAGCTTTTCCAGCATAGTTGGAGAGCAATGCGTCGATGTCTTCTGTGCTGAAGCCTATCTTCTGACCAACCAAGAGCTGGTGCAACATCTGCACAGCCACAGCTGCCCAATCCACTTTCATGTTCATCAATAGCTGTTCCAGCATGAGCAGGGGCTTGCAGGAGAGGTGGGAATAGTTAGATCGGGAAGGCTCAGGAAGAGTCAGCAATACCTTGACAAAGGAGACAAAGTAATACAGTATCTTGACCTACTGAGAAAAGAATTTGCAACTCAAGAGTAGAGAACAACAGTTGTGCAGCAAGTTCTTGAAATTGTTCTCTGCTACTTACCTTGGATCCCACGTAAAGAGCTTGAATTTCATTCTGGCGCATAACTGTCAGGTGCTGGTTGAAGTATGTTGTGAGATAATCCGCAAGAAAATGAGAAGCTGCTAAGCTAGGATATGTATCAAGACACCGTTCACTTATGACAAACTGAATGTCTGGATCATCTATCCTTTGCAACAGCTACAAAAAATATACACACATATACACATGAAATGGATTTTAATGGATCATATCAACACAATATATTGTGCTGCCTAGACCAGTGATGGTGAACCTTTTAGAGACCGAGTGCCCAAACTGCAACTCAAAACCCAATTATGCATGGCCGGGTGCTGGGTGGGTGTGGCCCATTGGCTGGGTGTGGCCTATTGCTAGGTATGCCCTATTGCTGGGTGTGGCTGCGGTGCTAACGCAGACTGGGTGGGACTAAAAAGTTCAATCAATCAATTCCAACTTTGCAAGATCTTTTTTTTCCCTCCAAGAAGTTGAAATTGACTGATTGATTGAACTTTTTTTTTTTTTTTGCACATGGCTGTGGAGGCCTAAAGCGAAAAGGTTTTATAAAACCCAGCTGAAGGCCTAGGACTGGTGCAACAGCATGCGTGCCGATAGAAAGGGCTCTGAGTGCCGCCTCTGGCACCCGTGCCATAGGTTCACCACCACTGGCCTAGACAGATCTACCTTGTCCCTTTCTAAGACAAACACTTTTCAAAGTCTTACACAGTTTGGACAATAATTTCTGCCTTAATCAGTTTCCTCCACCATGTCACAATTACTTGAAGCAAATTCTTTTACCCTTCTGCATACATACTATGATTAGTTTGTTAGAGTTATGCTGCAAAATCAAAATATTTAATACACATTCAAATAGCTTCTTTGTAAAATAACAATGTATATACAAAGGAAGTCTAGCAAAATTGATTCTTGCACACACACACACACACACACACACACACACACACACACACACACAGGACTAAAACATGTCTTCATCTATTACTACTTAATTGAGACCACAGTTCTCTCTAGGGACACATGCCAAAATAAGCATAGTAAAACTAAGGACAGTTATTGCCAATAACTGTTGTGACTGGTCATCAAGCATATTTCTTAGCCCCAAACTCTTGCATTTCTCTCTGATTGTAGCATTACAAGTTCATAATCACAGTCACAAACTTTTATCTCCGAGATTCATTGCTCTGAAAATTAGCTCAATATTTTGCCTTCCTAATGAAATATTTACAAATTGCTCAACGTCTTAGGGCAGCACAGCAGCAACCTCATCCTGCTCCATATCCAAAGTCAACATTTTGGCCTTTGAAGAAAAAAAAAACAAAGCAGCACCCAATCTTAGAAGCAGATGTCCCTTTTTGGCACAAAAGGAAGAATCCTGGAATACCTGAGAGACCAGTTACCTGGAGAGCTTTTTCCATATCTCCCATTTCCAACAAATGAAGGAGGTGCTCCTGGTGAAGGCTGATCAAATGATCCCTTGGGATAGAATATAAGCGGCCCAATTCTTCACATAGTTCATAATCCTGCAATAAAAATAAAGAGCACTTAAAGACTGTAATTTGAAAAGGGTAAAACCAAAACCATTTGGCAAGGCTATCCATTTATTCTGCAGATGGCCTTCCTCTGGCTGCTATCCTTCATTTGTACCTGATGGGACTTCCTGTTCCCAGACAGCATGTGGACCGACACAACTGGATTTAGAATGATGATATTTCTCTAACTGTTAAGGTCAGACTCTCTACTCCTGGCAACTGCCTAGATCAGTCCCTTCAGTTTGCTTGCCAAGTTTTCTTGAAAATGGTTTGCCACTATTTTCTTCTCAAGGCTGAGAGAGGCATGATTGGCCTAAAATCATCCAGCTGGCTTTGTGCCCAAGGTAGGGCTAGAATTTATGGCCTCCCACTTTCTAGCCTAATGCATTTAACCACTACCCTAAACTACTTTCTTAGTTCTTTTCTGCAACAGAATTGTTATATGGGCTAAAGAGAAAGCTCTGCCTTTTACCTTTTTAGAAATAGTTGTCCTCAGTAAAGAAAGGGATGCTGAAATAAATGGAATTATTTCTGGACAGAGAATACACGAGAACAAGCCTCTAAGAGAAAAGTACTTAACATGGCTGTAAATTTCCTACCTTTGCTTCTAAAATCATTGCCACAATGGCCTGGGGATCTTCTGTACAGGTCCTCTTCAGATCTTGCCAGTCATGCCAGATGGGGACAGTCTGTAGTCTAAGAATCTGATAATTCAGATCAAATAAAACTGAGCAAGCCTTTTATAAAAATTATTCTGCAAGGCTGGCGAGTACCTGGATTTCTTTATTAGTGACTGTAAGTTAGTCTCTCCTTACAGCTTCTTCCAAGTTCTGTTACCTCCAGAGCTGTCAGGCTCAAGAGATAAGGAGCCTCTGGTCTCTCCTTTTCAATGCAAATAACCTTTCCATTCTTTCAATGCGATTAACCCTTCACTCTCCCTAGTCAGGTAACCAGCTTCCTCTTCCCATCAGTAGGTTTATCGCATGCAGTTTGGGAAACAGAGAGTACCCCTCATTCCATTCATACTTATATGAATTCACCAATCTCAGCCTCACGATCTATTGCCTTGGCACTGCATCCTGGCTCCAGATGCAGGGGGGAGCCTAACAGTATGAACTTGAGTGCTAAAGAACCCAGAGTTACAGACATCTTTTGATGAAGTGCCTCTCCTGCCACTATCTGTCATGGCGGATCCGAATGAGAGTTCCCCTGTGTGAATATGCTGCTCCTATTGCTTAATAAAGTTTTATATGTTGCTGCAATCCTGGCATCTCTTGTTCCTGGTGGGGAGTTATTGCCTTTCCACAAACAGGCACTTAGGCTCAAATTTTTATTTCTTTCAAAACGACAGCTGAACAGCTGCCCCAGGAATAAGTCTAAATTAGAAATGAGCAACTTCTCATAAGCAGAAATAGTTATCACTGAAATTTTTCCTTTAGTAGTACCATCGGCGTATACTACATTTTCCATCCATCCATATGTATATAAACTAAATCAGACTATAAGAATAAAGGAGACAAGAAAATGAAGAGAGAACAGTGGAACGGTCCCCTGTGCCCCTCACTGAAAAAAACCTCCAACCCAGAGATCCTATCAAGTAATAACCAAGTAAAGAAGGAAATTGCATCTTAGGGTACGTCATTGTTCAAGAAAATAACTTCCTGAAGGACACATTAGAAGCACAAAATTAGAAATATGTATTCTGGCCAATAATACATCTAAGTGTTGAAATAGTGGCTTCCAGTCACTGACTTATTACAGTCGGTCACTCTTACTCAACTTAGCCAACCTCGCAGGATTGCTACGGTGGGGAAAATTGGAGGAGAGTGTTATGACACCCACTTTGAGCTCTTAGAGAACAGGCATAAATATTCCAATACAGAGTTTGTGGAGAGCGCTTGCCTAATAGGTTTTCCCTTTAATAGGAAGCAAGCAGACTGTGCAGAGAATAGCAGTAACTAAATAACATTGAAGAATTATTCTGAAGTAAACGCTAGTGGAGCTGATGCCCAGCCACCATAGTCTCTGCTTGGTCAAACCCAGTTCACTCAAGGTAACAATGTTTATTCTGTATACTGGTATAAGGAATCTCCTTGAATAACTAATATGTGTATGTTTATTCTGCCTTTTTTCTTTTCTGGTGAAGTGTTTAATAGCCATTGTCCTTTTTTTTTTAATGAAATCAAGGAGCATTTTATCTCTTCAGCTTCTTGGCAATTTTACTTGAGATAGTTACTGAACAACGCTTCTCCACAGGCTCTAGAACAGCGGTTTTCAATGTTTGTGTGATGGCAACCCCCGTCACACAAACGTTATGCGCATGCGTGGCATGATGCGCATGCGCGGCGCCCCCCGAGGCGCACCGGCGGCCCCGTGCGCGGCGCACATGCGCGGCACCCCCGGAGGCGCGCCGCCCCCCCGCGTGGCGCGCATGTGCGGCGGCGCCCCCGGAGGTGTGCCGCTGCCCCCACGCACAGTGCGCATGCGCGGCGGCGCCCCCCGGAGGCACGCCGCCGCCCCCGGAGGGGACAAAATGGCGGATCGCCGCCTTTGGCGACCCCCGAAAAGAGGTCGATCGACCCCAAATGGGGTCGCGACCCATAGGTTGAGAACCGCTGCTCTAGAAAGTTTACACCCAATAAACAGAAGCAACAAAGAACAGATGCCTCAAGTATTTTCCACATTCATCTAAAAAAATGGAACAAGTGCACGATGAGCAGCAGAAGAGGCAGCCAGGCATGCTTCTCAAAACCGAAGCTTTGATGCGCGCGCGCGCGCGCACACACACACACACACACACACAGACGGATATTTCCACATTCAGCAAGAGAAAGGGACAAAGGAACTCAAGAGAAGTACTCTATCCCAAATGCGATGCCTCCATACCTTTTGATAAACTTGAAGCTCTTTGATCTTGCCCTGCAGGTCAAATTTGAGATCTTCAATTACTTCGGGGTCACAGGCACAATAAGCTAATATTTCCAGACAAGCCTCCAGAGGCCATCTATCTAGACACCGAAGGGCCAGTCTGCTCCTCAGCATGGCATCTCTCACTGGAAACAGGTATTGCCACCCATCCTCATCTGAAAAGGAGGCATTTTTCAAAAATAGAGAAGTAGGCTCAGGGCATTTTAGCAATGAGGGATAAACCTTGTAATGAATAACCTAGAACTAGGAAAGTGGTAACAATTTTTAGGAATGCAGAAAACTTTCTTACACCAACCACTTGCTCATGCGTTTAGTTTTGGATGCAGGAACTAACATCTCTATTTCTAAAGGCTTCTTTCCTAATTCTATCCAAAAAAAGCCAGAGATTTCACATGGGTCCCCAATGCAAAATATACGATCAATTCTAGCTTCTCCCTTCATTAACAGCGGTATGCCTCTCTCTCATTATAAAACAGAAATAATGGAAGAAATGAATATATGTGTCCCAGGATAATGTTGCAGGATCCAACACACTCGGCTTGAGAGAAGTTCCCTGAGGATGGGGGCTCCAGCACAAGTCCAAAAGCTTGGAAGACAAAACCTCTGGTCCCGGTGACCGTCCCACATTGGATCCTGCATAATTGAAGTGATTTATTTTCATTTCTCCTTTTATCCTCTCCTCTCTACCTCAATCAGACCACCTTTTGTGGCCTGCTAGAAGACCCAGCATGAGCCCGTTGCTAGATACTGTGGCTTAAAGCATTTTCCCTCAAAAGCTAGAAGCTTAAATCACTCATCTGCAATTTCATATCCAAAACACCATCTGTCTAAAGAAAGAGTATAGATTTTTTTTTACCCTCAGCTGTGGCACAGCTCAATACAGCATCCCGAACGGTGACTAGCTCCTGCATATCCTGGCTGTAGAAATCCAAGATTTTGAGGGCCCTGGGCCAATCCCTTGCTGTGAGAGCTTGTTCAAAGGTCTCCATTAACACTTCAATAGCTAGGGAGGAGTGCAATCCCAGGAAAAGCAATGAGATGTAAGACTTGCCACAAAGCTCACTAGCCAATCCGATTCCTTTATCCTGAGGCTCCTGTAGAGGCTCGCACATAGCAAGAAGAAAACTTTCTAGAAAGGGGAACTCCTTTAACAACATTTCACATTCTTTGGAAATCTGGTCCATAGACAAGGGCGCTTCCCTTTTTCCTCGGAACTCAATCCACGATAAGCTCTGTTTGAGTGGCTTTTGCACTTTTAAGGCAGTAAGACAAGCCATCGTAGCTAAGAGTTTTGATTGAGATTTTAGAAAATTGAGGGTGGACGCGGTGAGTGAATGCTGATTAAGATCAGAGAGTGAAGAGATGGGATTATTGGAAGTGTTCTCAGACTCCATGGCTGGATTACGCACTGGAACCTCAATATCTGGCAGACAATGATATGCGTACAAATGCGCTAGGCTGCTGATGTTTGTCAAAAGGGATCTAGTCTGGTTGCTTTGCATGTTGGTGTAGAGAGGCAATGCCTTACAGCAACACTTGATGATCACTTGCTGCACATTTAAGTTCAGTTCTTCTTTAGCTAGCAGCGAAGACAACCTGCAGGTTTGAGAACACATAAAAATAAATTTGGCCTTATATTATGCATTATCTCTCACATCACACAAAAGGAAAAATTGTTATGGATGAGTATACGTCACCAAATGCATACCAAACATCCTCAAATAAATGTACCCAGTAAGCATCTAAACATATAATGATTGAATAAACAAGGGGATGGTGGTTGAGCTGTCTGTGATTAATCATAATTTAACTGGAACATCAGGATCTCTCTGAATTTTGTCATACATTTCTTTATTTTACTTCAAACATATTTTTTTCAATTTTTAAAAAACAGGATTTCTTAAAACACACACACACACACACACACACACACACACACACACACACATTAAACTCCAAAGAGATACTCCACAACTAAATGGGTTTTAAGAAACAAAAAGTACATATTTATCATCTTGTTTTAGTTGGAGAAAAAATTACATATTGAAAAATTTCACATACAATTAATTAATTGCCATACATCTAAGAGCCTAGAACAGATTCAGTGCTGATTTATATAGAAATTATAGAACATAATATGTGTGTGAAATAACCCAAGTTTAACATTTCCCATGTTAATAATAAGTACTTCTATATGGAAGACTGACAGATCAGAGAGTGGATCATGCAAAAATGCATCTCTTTATAACGGTTGTTTTCACCATGTCAAAAAGATTGTTTCAGAAGATTTCGTACTGTAAATAACATATGTTAATTATGAAACTCATTTGATATTCTCTGCTATAATCCCTAATTTTCCTAGTATACAAAAAAAGACTTTGAAAAATATTTTATCTTTTATCATAGCATCTAACATTACCTCCAAATAACATACAGTACTGACTTCAGTCTCAGTTCTACATTTGAGGATTATATACTAGGACATGTATAAATTACTTGTTCAGATCCCATACAGGAAAACTACATTAATATTTAGAATAGTTGAAACTAAATTACAGGTAGTCCTCGACTTAGGACCACAAATTGGGATCGGAACGTCAGTCATTAACTGAATTGCACCCAGTTCTACAACTCTTTTGTCACTTTAACAGTTGTTAAGTGAATCATGTGGCTATTATGTGAATCCAGCTTTTCCGTTCCTTTTGCTTGTCAGAAGCCCCCTGGAAAGATCATAAATGGAGATCATGTGACCACGGGATGCTGAAACTGTTATAAAGACAAGTCAGTTGCCAGGCACCTGAATTTTGAGCATGTGGCCGCAGGAATGCTGCAATGGTTGTAAGCGCAAGGCCTAATCATAAATCACTTTTTTTGGCACTGTCATAACTTCAAACGGTCATTAAGTCAATGATCGTAAGTCAAGGACTACTTGTGCTTTACATCAGTGGAAAACAATGTATATAAACTACTCTACTGAGATACCTGACACTGCTATTACTACAACAAAAACATGCCAAATCATTTAATAGCAATTGTATTTAGGTGATTGTGAAGTCTTTTGTAACAAAAGCTTAGTGATCTAAATTCAACACAACACAGTACTTGTTTAACAATTGCAATTGATTCTGGTAACACGATCACTAAGCAACACATGATTGAAAGAGAAAGAAAGTGAAAGACAAAGACAAAGAAAGAGAGATGCTGCAAAAATTGCTGGTTGCTGCTGTCTCATTCAGATAAAGTTCTCTCATACTATGCCAGAATTAATTCCACTCCAGCGTGCAGTTTAGTCAGGTGCACAAATCTGAACATAATTGTGCATGTTGGTTGGGGAAATGATTGACTATGCTTTTCTTATTGCTGCCATTTGCAAATGGCCACTTTCCGAAACAGTTGCTAAACAAAAACTATCTGTAGTATTTCTGAAGAAGCATGTTCAGCCATTGAGCACCTATATGAAAGACCCTTACCTGTCAGGGGCAATCTGTTTCTCAAATAGAAGCTGGGATAGCAAATGAGATGGACTTTGTTGGAGCAAAATAAATGGATTTCCAACTTGTATATCTGCAGACTGATCTAGAAGCAAATAAAGTTATTAAAAAATAATGTATTGCTCAGACTTCATTTCATTGTATGCCCCCAAACCCATCTTCCACATCTTTTGACATGAAGTAATGTTGACAGTTTGTTATGATGTTTTTATAGTATTCCAATTTCTGTTACGAATCTGCAAATTAGTTTATAGATTTTACCTATTGTCTTAATAAAATAAAACAGTTGAATAGTTCACTGTGAACTGAAATATAGACAAAGGTGAATGCAATCATTTAAAGTTCCCATGAATGTTATTTTTCTGCTCTTTATTGTTCTGCTTTCTTTCATTATTAAAAGTGGATTCTCTTGAACTAAACCTACATACCTTGCTTCAATAGGGCGCAATCTCTCACCTATTTCTGGCGTGAGGCTTCGAAAGATAATGGCAGCCAGCTTGTTAATATAATCAAAAAATGTTTGTAAATAGGCAGTCTGCCTATAGCCCTCCTGCATGGTCACAGCGTATTGGTCCAAGATTTTTAGGAGATGTTTGATCTGACCGCAAACTGGATGTGCCTCTAATTCTGCTGGTTTCAGAAAAGCTTGTTCTACCAAAGAAGCAAGCACGCTTCCTTTGGAGTCTGTAAAAACAAAAAGGATTAGATGTTACAAATCTAAGAAATCCAACACTTTCCATCAATAAGAGAAATCTCCCACATTTACAGTAATATTAACCTGAAAGAATTTTAAAAATGGCTATTATATCTATATTTTTATATTTCAAGGGTTTAAAAATTCTTTTATTGTTTGAAATGTTAAATCCTATTTTAACTGCAATCCTATTTTTGAAAGCTGCCCTGAGCTTTATGCAGGTGAGGCATAAATCTGAACACATTTCGAACCAGATTAATAGAGTTAAAAATTCATGAGCAGACTTCCGCTTCCGGATCATGGCACGTTCAGCTGTACAAAGAGATCTCTCTCTTTGTCGGCTGTTTTCCCTCCGCTGGTAGACCCTTATGCGGGTCTTAAATCGCCCTGGAGGGGCGACTGTCGAGAAGGCTCTTGCTCGGCTGCGGTGGAGCGGCGGCTCCCCCTACAGTCCGAGCTAACTCCATAGGGCCGACGGAGAAGATCGGCCAGTAAAATGGCCGATCGCTTTGCTGCGCCAGCTGAAGTCAAAAAATCATCTAAGCATAAAGAACCACCATGGTGAATCCGGGTGAGACCTTTCCTCCCTCTCTCTGTCCTGACTATTTGCCTGTAAAAAGTTTTTGATCACTTCCCTGTCTTAAGAGAGCAGACTGTCTACTTGGGAAAGAAAGTTTTAAAAGAACTAAAATAGTTAAAGTTTTATTGACTACTTGATTTTTTTTTTGGGATACCTAAGGGCCCTGAAAAAAATAAAAAAGAAACGCTATATTTTTTACTTTATCTGTTATACTGGAGATACCTGCTTTTGCTTTTTATGTTTCCTGGAAGAGATAAACTTTTACCTACTTGGAAGAAAGAGTTTACAGTCCACTGAGGATATCTTGTGGCGAAAAGTGCCATTACAACTGTATAGGTGGATATTTGTTGACCTTTTTGAAATATAGCCTCCACTAAAAGATCAAAGACTATTCTTGATCAAAGTCTATTTCACCATTGAAATGGAAGAAGCTTATCCACAGCTCGACTATGAACTTATATTGGAAAAGATTTTGGAAACTACAAACTATATGAAAGCTTGTATCAAATCTTGGAGAAAAATCAGAGATGAGAACCACAAATTGACTTTCAACCATCGGTTCAAACTACAGATCAAAGAATAACGGAGGAAGAACAGAGCAACCCTGGAGAGGTTCCCACTCAGCAAGTTATACAACTGAACGAGACAAAGGAACTGCACTTACAATTCAATTATGAACTTACAGTAGAAACTACTGAGCAAATTAATTCTACACAATCCTACTTACGACCTATGGAGAACACTGACGATCAAAGAATAACATTAACTGAACTATTTGATCTCCCAAAAATAACAGAGCTTGACATTCAGGTACAAGTTATTGAAAATTGTGACAATGTGGACAATCAACTAGCAATTTTAATAAGGAATAAAATTGAATATACTATTCAAACGATATTGGAAGAAAGAGAAGAGAACTTTGACTATTTTGATGTATTGAGAAATAGCTTTACTCAAATGTTGAGGTTTGATGATGCTGAGGCTTTATCTTGGAAACCGGTCTGGCATAGAAAGAAAGCTAGAGTTAGGTTTAAAAATGTGGTTTAAAATTCCACTGAATGGGTTAAAAAGGTTGTTGACACTTGGATTGTTTTAACAACAAATGAAATAGATGATTCTGTAAAAGGATATTTTTGTAATAATATTTGGTATTAGAGGTGATAAATAGTTGATTGATAGAATATATATTTAAAATAGACAGAAATGTAGTTCTTTGGACTAATATCTTTATTTTAACCAAGATAACTATTTTCTAATAGAGGGAGAAGAGGAGGTATTGGTGATAAGAGAAATAATAGTATTAATAAATGATATATTAGTTTAAGCAATAGGCTATATTTTAAAAAATGTAAGGATGTTGCTTTTTGGGATAATATATTTATGTTAGATAGAATCATCATGATAGGGAAAAGAGAAATGAGGGATGCCCGAAGTGTTAATATGTCTACATAAGCTTAATTGGAATATGGTAATTTCTAAAATAGTAAAGCTTAAAAACAGGACTTGGATTCTTATAATTGAAATGTGATTGATGACCAATTGGATTGATTGAGCTTTTTTTTATAAATGTAATAATTTTAATTGGTAAAATAATATGTGGGAAATAGAGAGGGAACTTTTAAGGAATTAATCTGTGTAGGTATGATTTTGTTCTTGGATAACTGATAGCCCAATCACCACGTTGTTTCTCAAGCACCTTTATGTAAAAATGAAAAAAAAAACAATAAAATTTCTTCATTAAAAAAAATATTCATGAGCAGAAGAAGTAGTTCACCCACGTATGTTACCTGGGAAATCTTCTACATGTGCCAGATTTTGCAGGATTTCATCCAAATGCTGTGACAAAACAAGCTGATTAGTAATACAGTCTGCAGTGAGATCTGGGTAACAGGTCTGCAGCAAATCCACAATGCTGCAGTGGAAATGACAACTTATTTTCTCATCAGAAATTTCTGTTAGAAAACAGTGGGAAAATTCATTAAGATAAAACATTTCAGTCTCACCTGTGACACACAACACATATGCAAAAAGACATGAAAGAAATTAAATGGGGTGAAATAATGAATTCTTTCAAACCGTCCTACTATCAGCTCTTTGTGTGGTTCATACACCAGAGTTTATAGTTCAGCACTGACTTGAGGAGGAGGAGGAAGGGGAAGGGGGGAAGAAGAGGAAGGAAGAGGAAGAGGAAGGAGGAGGAGGAGGAGGAAGTGGAGGGGAAGGAGAAGGGGAAGGAGGGAAGAAGAGGAAGGAAGAAAAGGGAGGGAGGGGCAGAAGCAGCATATGCAAGGAGACACAGAAAATGGGCAATGCTGTAAACCAGTTTGTTACATACTTGGCAATGTTAAGATGTATGGCTGAGGAGTTTGGGAAGCAGAATCCACATATCTTACAGTTGCCAAGTTTGAAAACAAGCTTTCCAAAATGGACTGCCAAAAATTATTTTCCACAAGTACCCTTCTGGCAACTCTCAGTTGGCAACCAGGGAACCAACAGCTAATCAAGCAAACCAATCTTGGTGCCGAGTCTTTTTAATTGCTGAGGTTATATTTTTGTATATGCAAGCAAGGAATGGCTTTGTTGATACAAAGACATCTATGTTTATAATATAGTTTGTAAACCAGTCACTGTTGAGGGATTCTTAATAGAGATCTAGAAGTGAGGACACAAGATAAGACTTAATGTAACTGATTTAAAAAAATGGGAGACCTGCAACATAGTGTATATATAATAGGGATATTTTAATATACATGCACTCTAAAAACCAGTTTGACTGAAAACATTTAATAATAATAATAATAATAATAATAATAATAATAATAATAGTTGGAAGGGACCTTGGAGGTCATCAGGTCCAACCCCCTGCTCAGGCAGGTAACCCTATACCATTTTGGACAAATGGCTATCCAGTTTCTTCTTAAAAACTTCCAGTGTTGGAGCATTCACCGCTTCTGGAGGCAAGTTGTTCCACTGGTTAATTGTTCTAGCTGTCAGGAAGTTTCTCCTTAGTTCTAGGTTGCTTCTCTCTTTGGTTAATTTCCATCCATTGCTTCTTGTCCTGCCTTCAGGCGCTTTGGAAAATAGCTTGACTCCCTCTTCTTTGTGGCAGCCCCTGAGATACTGGAACACTGCTATCATGTCCCCCCTCGTCCTTCTCTTCGTTAAACTAGACATACCCAATTCCAGCAACCGTTCTTTATATATTTTAGCCTTCAGTCCCCTAATCATCTTTGTTGCTCTTCTCTGTATTCTTTCTAGAGTCTCAACATCTTTTTTACATCGTGGCGACCAAAACTGGATGCAGTATTCCAAGTGTGGCCTTACCAAGGCATTGTAAAGTGGTATTAACACTTCACATGATGTTGATCCTATCCCTCTGTTAATACAGCTTAGCACTGTGTTGGCTTTTTTCGCAGCTTTTTGCCTTTTATTTGGTGGCAGACAGAATTTTACAGGAGCTTGGGGTAGCAGGGAAAACAATACAACACAATCTCCACAACGTAAGTGCTTGTATATGGCACCAGAACACAAGAGCGGAAGGGCAGGGGTTGTGTTGTGACAACACAGAACACATTATTTTTCCATTGCTATGGCTAGCTATGGATACCTGTGTTTACATCTCACTTTTCCTAGCATTTCAAAATATCTAGCCATAACGACAGTACAAATCTTACGTACTGTAAGAGCAATTAAAAAAGAAAAACACCTTAAAAAGTAAAAATGTTAAAAATTAGAAGGAAGAGATTAAACAACATGAAACTAAATTCAAAAGAATTACTCAATGATACAATAAAAACAGATCCTCAGGAAGAGCAATGAAAAACAGGAAGCAAAAGAAAAAAAAAATCTTCATTCATGAAAAGATGGTTATTTAAAGAGGCCCCAATGAGCTCCTTAGGAAGCGGTACCAGAACACAACTATAAGAATGGGGAATAGTGTACGTGTGAATGAAGTAATCACTCAAAGCAAAAAAAATTACCTGATTTGGGCTGTCCTAGTGGTGTATTGATAATTTTACTTATTTGTTGGAGAACTGCTGGGAAACCTTTCAAGCCATCAGGATTCTGGTGATCGGAATCAAGTCTTCTGCCTATTATTAGATATAAGAAGATGACAATCCAGGAAGAAGATATATTAGTAGAATTATATACACACGTTACCACTATTTTCCTTGCTTAACTTCTTTGAATTTTTAAAATACCCCAGCACTAAACAGAATAGGGAAATTTACCTTTGATTTCAAGGCTATTCTGCAATTTTCTCTCTGCTGTTTCTAAGAGCTGCTTGCAGGTTTTCCATAAATTGCACTGAGTAGTTGCCAAATCGAATATGGCCATAGCAGAAGGACAAAGGTCTTCCAGAATATTATTCAAAGGGTCAGTACATTCCAACTGGACGCTGCTAGTCCAGAAGTTCTCTTGGAGCACAGGTGCAAGGCTTTCTGAAGAGGCAAGCAGCTTATCCGTAACATCCGAAATGGAGTAAAACACCATCCCTTGGGAAACCAAAAATGAAAATTGTATTAAAAGATCTGGGACTTATTACAGGTTTTGCAGTCCTCAAGCCTTCTTTAGGTTTTTCTTCCACTTTGCCTAATTTCAGAAGCGTGCAACTTTTTAATGTTTATTTTGGTTTTATTTGAAACTGAGCAGAGCACAATCATTGCTTTTCATTTTTCTGTTTCTGTTAGCAAGATGGAAATTTGTCTTACAGTTATAAAGACTTGGACCTAAAAAGATCTTATCAGTGTAGAAATACATGACTGCATACATAAGACAGTCCCACCAAATTTCTTCAGTTTCCAAGTCCTTACTGTACTTCTCCTATTTCAAACTGATTCAGGCACTCCTTTGATCTCATAGCAGGTGAGGATGGGGGATGAAAACCAGGAAATTCCAATAGTGACACTCTACAGCAGGCCTGTCAAACTGCCGGCCCACGGGCTGGATGCGTCACACCAAAACAGCGTCCACCCCATTGTCAGCAATGGGGAAAAAGTCGCAATGTGCTGTGCAATGTCATGTGACATCACGAGTTTGACATGCCTGCTCTACAGTGTGTTGTCTGAATTTGGATGAGAGCTTTGATTTGCTTTGGTTTGTCTATTACTATTACTATTCTTTGTGTGCACATATACAATATGTACACAGTAGGCGAGTGGGGAAAAAAATGAGGAACAGAAGCCAGTGATAAAGAAGACATGCTTGAATTAATAACTTCTAACATATTAATACTCAACTGCTTTGAAATTCATCGAATTTGGCACTCAATGCATTTTGATGTGAAAATTTTATTCTGGTACTAATCATTTGTTTGGTTCTCAATGCCAAGCTAGAACTTGTCGATGTCAGCTGCCATGTGACTCACTACATTATTTCTTATGGGAAAAATTTGTTTCATACTCATCATTTTTGGTACTCTTTGCGCCTCCTGGAATCAATTAATAAAGAGTACCGAAGTACTACTGTAGAGGGAAGTGAAACCCTTTTTTGCTGTAATACAATATCCCAAATCTGTCCTCCGTAATCAATTGCAGGGAGAGAAAGAGATTCAACAATTTATCTGCACAACTTCTACGTCATTAGGCAACATACAGCCCACTGGCTATCTAGGCTCACTTTATCCTTCCATCTCATTCACATATAATATATAGCAGATTGAAATATATTTCTGTTGAAGTTACATATGTACCAGACATATGTATGTGAAGTCTCATTTGTTAAAATGAGTAATCAAATTTTACCAGCAGCTGCTGCATTTCCAATAGCCTGCAGAGTTGAACGGCCACTGCCAGTCTGTTTTAAGTTTCCGGATCCCTCCGATGATTGATGTTCAATCTTGTGTTCCACTTTTGCTAGCTCCCCAATCACTTCTTGGTAACGCTCCAGGAAAATTAGCTCACCGTAGGAAGCAGAAGTTTCCAAATCAAACATAACAGCAACCTGATATTACAGAGTTAAGAGGCAACGCATGCTTGTTAAGTAAGATTTTAAAATATATTTAATTGTTGGCACAAAAAAAATAATACGCTCAGCTTTATTCCAATAAACCTTTCTAATAATTTCTCTGGAAGGATACAGTCAAAGAAGTTTTATAAGGCAGTCTGATAAGTCAAATAAAGAAATTTCTGATGGGTAATTCAATCTTTCCCAATTGCCTTTAATTTTACATATTATAACTTTAAAAAAAACATATTATTGCCTAACTGAATCGACAGATCTCTACTATTTTCTCTGAAGAAACAATGCTAATCCGGGGGTAACTAAAATGTTAATCCAGATTAATTTTGGATTAGGTTTTGAAATGTTCCATATAATGAAAACCTTCGGTCGTTCTTCTGCCCTTCTGCCATCGAATACACACTCTGACAAAAATACATCTCACTTTCCTCAATTAGCAGTACATCCTCCAGAGACTCCTTGGAGTACATAATACACAAGGAGTAGATCAGAACAATGGGGTATGAATTTCTAAAGGCTCTGTAGAGAGAGTAGAAATTTATAGTAATATTCAGGAATCCAACTGGTTTCTGTCTACTGAGCTTCTATCTATGCCATTACCTGATGAGCTTCGATGTAATTTCCTCTCAAGATGCATGCAACAAGAAGAGATTCTGGTGGGGAAAGCATGGCTGGGATGAGGGAATTCTCTGAAGGCTTTATCCAATATTCTGCATCGCTACAGTCAGAAGAGGCACCAGCACTGCCTTCTAAAAACAAACAAACAAACAAAAAATGCCCTACACATTTTCCTTTCCCCAAGAAAAATACCAATACAAGGAGGAATAGTTTTAGAACAACCCCTGTCACCATCAGATGGTTGCAAAATATAACAGAAAAAAGTAATTTTGTTTGTTTTGGTTGCAAAATATAACAGAAAAAAGTAATTTTGTTTGTTTTGATTAGTTTTAAAGAATAATTGTCACTCTTTACAATTGCTGTTTCCGTAGTACAGTATCAATGAATGAATGAATCAATCAATTAATCAATCAATCTGTTAATTATCTCTTTGAAAGCCACAATATCAAAACAGATTGAAAACTGAACTGGCATGTTCACAAGCATTTACAGAAGAAAAGAAAATCAGCCATAATTTAGAAACCAAAGCTGTCTTTGGAAATACAGGTACTCCTCAACTTACAACAGTTTGTTTAGTGACCGTTCGAAGTTACAATAGCACTGAAAAAAGTGACTGATGACCATTTTTCACACTTACATGGTCGCTTGATCAAAATTCAGATGCTTTGGCACAACTGACTCATATTTATGACGGTTGCGGGGTCCCGGGGGTCATGTGATCCCCTTTTGCAACATTCCGACAAGCAAAGTCAATGGGGAAGTCAGATTCCCTTAGCAACCACGCTACTAAATGAACAACTGCAGTGACTCACTTAACAACTGTGGCAAGAAAGTCGTAAGATGGGGCAAAACTCAATTAAACAAAGGTCCCGCTTTGCAACAGAAGTTGTGGTCGTAAGTCAAGGACTAGCTTTATGCAAGAGAAAAGGCAAAGCCTCTGAAAGGAAGGAGCGTGTGTAAAGCATCTCTTCAAACTGTCAATGCCAGCTTCTTTGCAGGGCTTGTACACCTGCACTGCAAACCACCCTTGGCTATTTCCACGTGGATCAGCACACACAATCCGCTCGGTTTTGCTTTCTTCCCAGCAACTGCACCTTTCAAAGCAACTGTACGAATTTTGCAAATGGACGGGTTGCTTTACTGAGTAAACATGAAGCATTTTGTAAAAACACACTTAAAGGTTTTACAAGCTCTCTCAGGTAATAAGCATTCCTGAGACAGAAGCCACATGGGGTTCCATGACCAAGAAAGCTCTTCCATACCTGATGTGCTGGTGATACTTAATTCACTGCTGGAGCTCTCCAGGGATGGGTCTGAGGTTCTTTTGTATTCTGAAGCAGGAAAAAGAAAAGAAAAAGTTGAGTGAAGCATATCACTTTACTTTCATTACAGCATCTACAGATTAATTGAGAGATCAGTGCTAAAGCTAAAGGTTATCCAATCTAGAGAAATTCTTACATTATTACCTTGGGCTGGCTTAGCGAATTCATACGCAGAGTACTGTAAGTTGCTCTGTGTTAGGATATTCTGTACAATTTATCTAATTTGTACAAACTTTTATTTTACACACTGGCCTCATACATTAACTTCAAGACAGCACAGCCACTGCCCAAAATATCCAGTATTGGTCTCCAGATTATGCAAATACAGGATATAACACAGGAGAAAGAACATTTAAAATAGTCTGCCCCGAAACAAAATGTTTTACAGCAACAGCTTAGCTTGTATTTGGAGGACTTTGTTCTCCCTGATACTCTCTATAAGATGTAATTTCTTATTATGATCATGTCTAATATAATTATACACATAGAATCATGACTAGGTCCCACCATGTTCTTTAACCACTACAGAACTAAGTGGCAATTTTCTTATTTCTAAGAAGCAAATTCACTTGAAAATTCAGCTGCAGTAAACCCAACTAGGTTGTCCTGGACAAAACAAGCTCCTTCTTAAGTACTGCTGAACAGTGTTTCCAACCCTGTTATTATTCTGGGTGTTTGGATTAATCAGAATCTTTTGTTGAGCTAGAGAGATGGGAGATCCCAAGATTTTAGATCCATGGAATCTATTCGAAAGTATCTGCTTCTTTTTAAAATTTTGTCTTTGCACCTAAGTCTATAGTTAATACTGAATATATTATATTTTTCTTAGATATTCCTAATTTAAGATTGCAATTATGAACCAGCATGGGCCATATGATATTGTGGTGAATAAAGAATATGGTCTTGAAAGATAGAAGGACAGGGCCCCTCCCCCAATTCCTATGAAGTTAAAAAGGGGAGGAAAGGTAGCACACTGAGGCTTGCAACATCCTTTTATTATGATTGTTCTAATAAAAGTAGCTCTAACAAAAGCTTTAGGTCTGCAGGGTGTGTTTAGTTGGCTCCCTCTTTTATCTTCATGAGAATTGGAGAGGAGGACTATCTGAGGTGTTTTCAGAAACCATTTTCTTGGCCTGGGCATAAGTATCATTTATCTGATCATGGCATTGGTAGAGGGTCTTCCCTCTGTCCTCCAAGGCCATCTTCATTCACTACAGAGATATAGAACAGATAAATCATCAGAATCTCATAGAGCCGTGAGGTTCTGACTAGCAGAAGCAGCAATACATCTGTGACAAGTAATATAAGACTCTTAGCTATTTCTACCAATTTACCTGGCTTTTGTCTTTGAGACCGAGTATGCTTTTTCAAGAAGGATGCTTTGGTTAAATTATAGTTTATTCTAGTTGGACCACGATGACTACCTGCAAAAACACCATTAAGTTGTTGTATAATTGTCACTTTATCACAAATACGTTAGATGAAAGCAAAAAAAAAAGATATAAACATGCTATCATAGTTTAATGTATATAATATCCTTTTACACCAAGGTTAAGGTTAGGGAATGAAGTTATTAAAAGTTAAAATACACTATGCAAACTCCCCATTTCATTTTGAGGGCAAATTAGATTTGTTTTTCAGAATTCCATTATGTTTCTGGAGACTTTCAGGGAAGAAATAGCAAATTTAAGATGGCTCCATGAAAAGCAGAGCCAAAGACAGCTGGTAAGTAAACTGGTTCTTCAATAAATTATTTCTGGACAAAGAAAGGACTTGGGTTTGCCCACAAGTGCTCCTGGCAGTTCCTTTTTAAGAGGACACCACAAAATAGGGGTATCTGGCAGGTTTAGAGCCATCTGTTTCTATAGATAGATTCTATCTAAAAAATGCTACGGAACAGGAACCAGTTGTACCTGACAAGATTGAGACTAAATTGAAAATAGATTTTAAAATGATGGGCTATAAGAATAGCATGGAAAAAGATGTTACACTGGTCATAAAAATAGCAGGCTAATATCTTAATAACTAAAAGGGATTTACATAGAACAAAGAGAGTGACATGGATAATTTTCTTATGCTAGGATTACAAGAGGCTTGTTTTAAAGCACTTTTTGAGAAGGAACAAAGAAAAAATGAAAAGAAGCCAGGTTTTATGACATTATTTGAAGGGACTAAAGATCTAGTTTTCTAGAAACAGAAGAAAGGAATATAAAATTGATTTATTTGATCAAGGCTAAAATAGATATGCTGTTACCTCTGGTAACTCTTAATGGACTTTTGTTGACATGAAGGGTGAAATGATAACGTTTTATGGATTTGTTTATAGATAAGAGATGGAATGTGAGAAAAAGAAATGATTTCTTCTATTTTAGGAACATGTGATAAGTTACTAAAATTATTCATACTTGGGATGAATGTGGAAAATCATATTATATATTTTTCTTTTTCTTTACTATATTCTTATTTTTTCTTGTTCTTCAGTTTCTCTTCAATTTTTTCTTTTTTTCTTTGTTTTCTGTACCTTCTACTTTTTTCTTTCTGTTCTTTTCTCTTTTTTTGCTTGTATTAGTTTTTATTGATGCAATTAGAATTCTTAATAAAATTACTTTAAAAAGTGCCATATATTTTTGAAAGGATATTGTGAAAGAAACCAGTGGGAATGCATGGCAAATAAGCTAAGAAAAGGAAGGATGTTTGAAATTGCGAAATGATTATTAAAACGGAGGAATATAAAAGAATACTTTCAGTCACAAGCCTCCAGAACAGGGTCCTTTAGATCAAAAGAGTTGCAAATACTGAGACTTCTGCTCTATCTCTATTTGGGTAACTTTCCTTACAGCTTCTTTGTTTAAGGCAGAAATATGGCTGCATCGTGTGATGCATCTTAGCCGGAAGAATGAAAGCTCATCTTAATCAGGCTTGCACCAAGGAATAATACATCCTAATCCGCTGCTGTCTTCTTTTCAGAGACTTCTAAAACTTTGTTATATTCAAATATATTTCTCTCAGGTGTACTTGGGGAAGACAAAATGAACTATCGTAACACATCAGCCCCAATACTTGGGGTACATCATACAATATGTTTAGAGGCCCATATAGGAGAGATAACATTTTGTAATAAAATAGAAATACATCACACTGTTGTATCTTCTCCCTGTTCTTTTCCAAAGCAATTATATTTTGTAGGTTCACCTGTACATACATCTATTTCTTGACTTTCTCCACAGTAGTATATAAAATTATTTCTTTTTAAGCTGTCACCAATAGAAGCACCTGTAATTTTTGAATAGTTTAAGGAGTGAAATCTCTTAATAATTCTTACCTGTGTTTTTGTTGTTGAGCACTATTCTGTGCCGCCATTGAGCTTCAGAAAGATACTTGGAGAACTGCTGCACACGGATGTTAAAGTTCTCCCTATTTATAGATAAATTCAAGCTATCTAGCAGAGCCAGTTCCAACGTAGGGACGTATCTTGAATCCCACACAAAAGAATCCTCAATTTCTTTCAGATGCTCCATGAGCATTTTGAGAAATATTTCCAACGCTTCCTCATCTACCAGAAATCCAGAGATATTACTAGTGAAGTGTTTCAAATCCAAATAGCTCAGCCCAAAGGAATCACAATTTCTGCTTTTTGATTCCAAATTGAGCAATGTTTGGCTTCCTTTGTACTCCTGGTGTGCAGAGCAAGTGGGCACGTGGGCTCTCCTTTCAGGACTGACAGTGTGCTGAGGACTTGGTGAGGTGGATGAATCTTGGCTAGTACAACGCTCTGCTCTCTTGCCCAAATGGCTTTTTTTCCTGAAGCCAGCATCTTCTGCATTATCTTCTTGTAGACTATCACCGTAGAGATCATGCGAAGAAACAAAGAGCAAAGAGAATATATTTTCCAGGAGTTCCAACCTTAGAGGAGTAGGTATGCTTCTTAAATAATTCTGACACTTGGAGAGATAGTGAGGAAAGAGACTTGCATAATCTGTTTCTGTGAAGACAAAACAATTAAGTAAACAGATTCAGAATTTTTCCCCAATCAATAACTCTGTTTGAGAGTAGCTGAAATGTCGTTAAAAAAAAAAATGGCTGACTCTCCCATAATGTACTTCTCTGTGATTAACAAACATTTCCTCACTTCTATCTTGTATAAGACAAATTCTACAGCCTGGGGATCCTGGAAGCGGATATATTCATCCCAAGGCTGAGAGCTAGGCCATAGCTGTAGAGGGACAAGCTGAGCTCAATATAATGGAGAATATTCTAAAATTCAGGGGAATCTCAGCCCTAAGTGTCTGATTCTTCTACTGTACTTATAAACTTTATTTTCTGCAAAGCAGAGGTCTCTTCTAAACTTTAAATACTTAATGGTGGAGCTTTTTATAGAAATGCCCATATTTTTTAAAATAGATATTTATAATCAATTAAAGATTGGGAATCTACAAGTTGCCATTTTAACACACATAGTGAGCATCAGGTTGGGGAAAGTTGGGCTAAATAGTATCATCCAAATAGAGAATGCCACAAGTGAGGAGAGCCCATGATGCAGAATGTGGTTATCTTCTAATTCTATAAGTTAGAGCCGTTCCCTAAAACTTTGCACACCCCACAAATACGTTAAGTTGGATAAAGGAAAGGAAGTACAATATCCATGTACAAGGAAGCTGTGGTGGTGGCACACTGGTTAGAATGCAGTATTGCAGGCTCACTTTTCACTGCCAGGAGTTCGATTCTGAGCAGCTCAAGGTTGACTCAGCCTTCCATCCTTCCAAGGTCAGTAAAATGAAGACCCAGCTTGTTAGAAGCAATATGCCAACACTGTAAACTGCTTAGAGAGGGCTGTAAAGCACTATGAAGTGGTATATAAGTCTATGTGCTATTGCTATCCAATATTATCATCAAAATGTGCTGCAATACTAGAACAATGGATAACATTTGCAATGACTACCTCTGAATAAAATTCTGAACAAAGCCATTCAAAACAAAAAGTTCACTTCAAAAAGAGCTAACGGCAGAGTGAATAAAAAGCAACACAAAATTTAGTTACAGGTTCTACGAGACCTGGATAGAGAGGTTGACTGGGAAATTCATTCTGCTCCAGAGGTTCGTTAGGGAGTTCAGTGACAAAGTAGTTTGCACAGTGTCTGCAATTTGAGCCTCTATGTGCTTTGACACACAATGCATAGGTGGCATACTTCATGGCACAAAATGCCTGGTAAAGAGTAAGATTGTGCTGTTGACTCAAAAGGCGAACATCTGGCATCACTGCTGAATCTAAAATAAAAGAGAACACAGAAAAACTAGCCATTAGTTAACGTTGGCATGCATGATTTTTAAGACTCAACAGCTGATAACTAGTAAGTTAATAGTTGTAAGACAAAATCCTACAGCCATTGGTCCTTCATCTCCAAGACCAGAGATTCCTTTGGTTTTCTTCCATGAAACAGGAGAAATAGTTTTGATCTCAAAGTGGGAAAGTCCATGTTTCATCTTGCACCATCCCTCACCAGCCAAAGCTAGTGTTTCCTGGCAGTTTCCAAATTCAAGGTCTCAAAAAAGCCATATCAAGGCCAAGATGAGCAATACAACATTAAAACAAGGGAAACAGGACTAAACATTTAAGCAATAAAGAAGAAATTTTGGCTAACTGCATTACAATGTACAATGTATTTTACCTTGAACTTCTCCGTACTTGGCTGGAGTTTTCTGGAAAAGCTCAATTACTGCTTCCTCATTCAAGGCCAAGAGGTCTGTAAGTTGGTACAGAAGGTAAAGGGAAGAATGGCACTCCAAACTATGAAGGTGCTGCAGAAGAACCTTCTCCGGGATGCAGTTACTAAAAAGAAAGTAAGCATAATTTGAATATCAGCAAATGCTGGTTTCACCTCTGGATTTTTTCTAGATAAAGATACACAACATTCCCAGAGTTGATTTAAGTTAGACTGCATAGTGTCTTTTTTTAGCCCTTAGTATCAAATAGCAATTTAAGCAACATGCAGCAAACAGAATTAACAAATTGACAAATAAAAAAAAAAATACAAAATGGTTTGTTCACTAGCAGGAGCCTACAGAATACAGATGATTCACCAAGAATTCAACTCTGCAGTAGAACTGCACCAAAGGTTAACCTCATCACATTACATATAGGATACAAATTTGCTTAAGTGGGCAGTGATGAAGGAGATAAAGACCTCCATAGATAAATAGAACAATTAAAACAGCACAGCTGAATGAAGGAATGGCTAGTAAAACATATAGATGAGAATTGTAAAGGTTGCAACCATACCCAGAGACAGCTACCAACCCTTTCCATTCACAGCTACAGCCAGAGGCCAAGCATGCACATGTTTATTGATAGTACTATCATTATATTTCAACACAAATAAGTACTATCATTATATTTCAACACAAATAAGTTTAACTGGGAGGGGGAGAGATCTTTCACCATAAAATTAAGCCAAATATTCTCATGCTGTGTTACCTATTCTGCTGTATGCACCACTCAAGAACCTCCACCTGGGCACACAACCCATCACAGAAGTCTTTTAATACAGAGTCACTGTAGAAACCCTGTTAAAAACAAAGGGGGGAGGGGGGAATTATCTTCTTTAGCCCTTGCTTCAAAAAAAGTGAATGAGCACGCTCTCTCGACTTCTCTTTTGAGAAACCAACTAGGGTCAAAAGAGCAAAGGGTGCTTTCCTCCCATGGGCAAGAATGTCGGACTTGCCTGAGATTTGTGTAGGGTCTGCAGCAGCATCTTTGCCGATTCTAAGCTGCCACACTGAGTCCAACCAAGCAATATCAGGAGGCGACTGAGGTAGCTGAATTCCTGTCTCAGTAATCTGCTGAGGCTTGAGAAGTCTTCCCTTTTCAGTAAAGTTAATGCTGTAATCTATGGGGGGAAAAATGATTTCTTTATTCTAAGACTATGGAATGCTGGAAGTCTGGCTGTAAGGTGAAAGGATATGTTTAATATGCCAGAAAATTCCTGCTGATAAAATTAAATTCATACATTCTGATATACATTTGAGCTCTTTTATTCATAAAGTATAAATTGGTACTATCTGCAGGAATGTGTATGAGAACATAAAAAATGGAGAGACTGGAGAGAACTGCATGTTATTTTTCCATCGATGGATAATAACGGAAGATCTAAAGACGAGTCTGGTGGAAAACACTGTAATATTCTGAATGAATATAATCCAGAGAAAGCATACCCTTGAGCAGTTTTGAAATGACTACAGGAGTACAGGAGATTATGGAAAAAACTCATGTATCTACTTGTATGGAGCAGAGTCCATGAGTATCCACCTTAGGGCTGTGCAAGATTTATCAATTCTGGAATAATTTATGCCAGAGAACTCCAGACGGTTCTTTTTCCAATCTGGACCATGCCAAACAACCAACACGGGAGGATGCTGACCCATCTCTAGTCTTAAAAAAGTATAAGTTCCACTGGTTCCTAAAAGTAGAATTAAGTGCACCATCTTGCTTTTTGTTTCTGGCAGCAAAATATCTTGAGCCAGGTTTAGTTCTGAAATAGTACTATTTACACAATTAACATATTCGACATTTCTTACATCTCATTATGCATTTACCAGAATTTGTTCCAAAAAGTGCTTGTGGCTGCTAAGATAGTAGAAATAAGCAGCTTTCCAAGAACAAGCCTGCTCATGATCCAAGAACAAGGCCATCACTGCCCGTTCAGCCTCCGGATGTTCAGGTGTACCTGAAGTATTCAGAAGTATAATAATTAGTTTCACATATATATAGCCAAGATACAGAGACTTATACTAGCAGTGAAAGGAATTCTTTTTTAAAGTCTTGGTGCTTGCAGTGGCATAAGAAACAACACAAGAGGCAGGGATAAGAAGAGCAGCTGTTCTTTTCATACTACGTTCAGTTCTGTATTGTTGATCAACTACGCTAGTGACAAAGATATTAAAGATCTATGGCTTATTCCACACACAAGTTTTAACTATCAATAAATGGCTGAAACCATCCTTATGTACTATGCTTCATTAGATTAGCAATTAGATTAGATTCAGCTGATCTAAATGATATACCCTTCTTACTCAGCCTAATGACCAGAGTTTAGTCCCCTTCAAATTATTATATCAAGTACAGACACCCAATGATTCCCCTCAGCATACCATGGCATCCCCTTGAAATTCAGGAGCAAAATGGCCAATTTTTAGTATTGCAAGGTTTTTTTTGAAGGGGGAGGGGTTTTTTGCTAAAATAAGAGTGGATGTGAACAAATTCTGGGAGTAGAATGCATCAATTTCTAATCTAAAACAATCTCAAACCAGTTCAAAGTTGTGCTATAAAGATTCAGCTATTTTGCCCTCAAATTTAAGAGACATGATTTTGAGTGGTTTTTTTGGGGGGAGGGAATAGCATAGAAAATGAAATGACTTCCTGTCTATTCCATCCTTAATTCTACCCCTCCCCCCCCAAATAAAATAGGTGAAAAAAAATAAGCTCCAGCTTTTCCTTTGACATCATCAAACCCTTCCTGTCATGCAGCCCTCCACCTGCTCAATGAATGGTGGCCTCTAACGTTCCAATAACTGCTGCAGTCTTAAAGCATCACCTCAGATGATTTGGAGGAGTGGGGACCACACAGAATCCTGGCGAGGGCTGGATGATGCCCCTTGGCCACAATGTGCAGTTAGAACTCAGACCATACAACCAAACCAACCTTTGCCTGGTGACTTTTGACTCAACAGTTTCTCTTTCATCTTCTCAATAAATACACTGCCAAAGAGACTAAGCAAGGCATGGCTGTCTTTTCGTAACATGCAGCTGAGTAGCCTCTCCTCTCTAAGAGGACTCTTCTCAACCCAACAGGCATCCAGAAGTTCTCTGCAGAGGAGCCTCAGCTCTCTCGTTTGATTGTCCCCCTTCAAATTCAACATACTCAGGGAGTTATAGATTTCATCGGCAACTTTATTCCCCTCTCTCTCCAGTAATTCTGGATTTAGCTGAAGACGCTTCAAACATCTGAGTGAATCCCAAAGAAAGCCAACGAAAACATTCTGTGGCAAGCCACTTTGTATTACTGAAGAACTACATTCCACAGGATCACGCTGAAGAAGTTCCAATATGGCTTGCAATTTCCGGGGAGCCTGCAAGAGCATTTTTTGAAGAGCAGACATCACCTCCACACCAAATTTCTGTACTGATCCATCTCTTTGTTTCCTATGCAACAAATGGTTGTCTTCAAATGCTTCATAAAGTTCCTAAAGGGGGGAAAATAGCTAGCTAAGAACATTTTCTTCCATAAATATATTAGATATGAAAAAATATATCAAATAAACGTTAATGGTCAGATGCATTGCTCAGTAGAAATGAGAAAAAGCCCTTGTCATGTAACTATTACTTGTCTATAAGCAACAATTTTTTTGACAGCTGATAATGTTGCAGTTAGCTGTATTTCCTGGTCCAGCCCTATGATTATGAGACAGCTGCCCCTGGTCTGCCTATTCCCAAAGGTACTAATACAAGATCAAAGAGGAAAAAGAAAGATGAATTGAAAATGTCCTTGTTTCCAAGAAATCTTCATGGTACCAGACAGTATTACAAAGGAAACCACTTAGTTCTTCAACTAATCTTGCATTCGCGGTTGTTTAGCACGAATGATATTTATAGGATATTTCTGAGTCTGGCACCATCCATATGTGTTGGACTATAATATTCAGATAGTGGCTTGCAATTAATGAGAAATCTAATTCAATCCTTCAGGATGTCACACTGCAGAAAACGGCACTGTGATTAGATGTAGGAATAAATAATCGGGTATCAAACAAGCACCCAGAAGGAAGTGGTGTCACTGTCATCGCTGTGCCAGACTGAAGTATTGGTTCCCATTTTCTACAATCTTAATGGTTTTGCAGTATAAGAAGGATCGCGATGGGGGAAGGATGATTAAGAAGATCCACATAATGAAGACTGCCTTATTCTTAAGAATTCCTAGTCTTCAACTTTCTGCAGCTCAGCAGGTTCAGGTCTACCCTCATCCATGATGATGTTGATAATAATGTGTCTTCACGTCAGTGTTGATTTATGGTGACTGCCTGGACAAGTTTTCTTAACAAGTGTTCTAGGGGGTGGCTTGCCATCGTCTTCTTCTTAGGGCTAAGAAAGAAGGTCTGGTCCAAGGTAAGCTAGCTGGCTTAGTGCCTAAAGTAGGACTAGAACTCACAGTTTTCTGGTTTGTAGCCTGATGCCTTAACCACTACACAAAACTGGCTTTTTCCCTCAGCCATAGCCACTCATCTAGTTCAGGCTTGTCACATCCCCACAGATCAATTTACCTTACAGTGTTGTTATGAGGAAACAAAACCGAACCACAAGGAAAGGCAGGATGCAAATCTTAACAAGTAATTAAGTAGCTATATGACATTCTAGCTTGGTAATACCGGGTGCTGAACTGAAGCACATTACTTGAAAGGGAGAACATAATTGCAATGAGGACATCTAGTGTTGTATTGAAAGAGATGTATCATTTGTTTCTTGCATTATCTGCTATGAAAACTCAGTGAAACCAAAGGTGAATGGAGCCAAATTCCACAGTTAGGGAATGCCAGTTCCTGATTCACACATTCTAGAAGCTGTCACCTCAGCACCTATTTATTCCTATTATTTATTAATTTTAATCTCATTTTTCTGTCTACACAAAGTTTAAGCTGGCTTGCATTGATTAAAAATACAAATATTCATAAAAAAATAAAACAAAACCATTAAAATCAGAGGTAAAATTACAAATTAGTCATTCTAAAATAATTCAGTTAAATACTTAATAAAAGAGGTAGGGTTTGCTATTTTCCTGAGTGGTTGTCAAAACATTTCTCTGCAGAGAATATTCTATAACCTGGAAAAGACACAGAAAAAAATCCAAGGATATAATCTTCTGACTGTGAGAGGCTATTCAAAAAGGCCTCTCTTGATGATCTAAGTAACCAGTCAATAATCAGGCCACTAAATTCTGATTTTAAAAGCAGTTATTTCACGGCCTATCTTATGTAGCCTTCATGCACACAAGACTAATATTATATTCAGCACTTGCTGAAACTGAACAAAACTTCTGCTTTTGTGTATATAACAGGGGAGGTGTTAGCTGGTGTTGGCTGTTCTTTCAAATTAAAACTTTGGCATAGAACTGCTGTTGAAAAAGACAAATGTTACGTTGAGGATTATTAGAAAAGGAACAAAAAAATAGAACTGCCAATATAATGATGCCTTTATACAATTCCATTGTGCAGCACCATTTGGAAATTGTAATCACTGCACTTTGAAAGAAAAACTACTAAAAGTAAATATATGGAAAAGACAATCAAAGTGCTCAAAAGGCTAAAACAACTTCCCTATGAAAGAGTCTTATATTTGGAAAGCATATGGCATGTATAAAGATGTTTAATAGGTAATATTGGACATGTAATGTTACACACAATAGAAAAAAATGGAAAGAAAGACATTTCCTCTCTCAAAATACTAACTAGAACTGTGATTGAACTGGAATGTGGTAGATTCATAACAGATCAAAGAAACTACTTATTGACATGGTGCAATCAAGGTCTAGGAGTCACTACCATATGATATAATGTTATCTAACAGTTCAAAACACTGAGATAAATCCAGGGAATTATCAGTTGCTGGTGATATGCATGGTGGCCATAATTTCTTCCTGTATCAGAGGCACTGTGTTTCTCAACAATGGATCCTCAAAGAAATGTATGGGAGGATCCTGATGTCCTCATATTCTACACTATAAAGCTTCCTTGGCTGGTCATTTACAAGTATAACAATGAATGAATTAGCACTCTTATCTATCCAGCAAAGTTCATTTTCTTATATTAGCATTCTGACTTCACATCAAACCTCTATGCAATAAATATTGTGTTCAGACACGTCTGCACTGGAAACAACCTGTTATCCTTAAAAAGGAACCACACCTTTAGAACAACAAATGGGACATCCTTTTCCAGTTCTTCTAGGAGAAGCAAGAATTCAGTTTCTCTTTGGAGAGCTACTGGGACAGTTTTCTAGAATTATTAAAGAACAGATAAGAAAATGTAAGAAAAAAATGGCAAGTACAAATAAGAATTGCTACATACTTTGTGATATATAGTTTCAGATGCTTAACAATACCTATCAATACTCATTTACTGTGATATTTCTCCAAACAAATGGACTGCAATTTTATTTGCTATTGCTCCCTCGGCTATTTACTGGTATGTATGAACCCACGTTTGGCTCAGATTCAAGGATTCCACTTATTTTAGCTATGCATAGACAGTTGTTTGTGAAAATTATTTTTGCTACTCTCAGATTATTTAATTAACTTACTACAACTGCTAAATTTCTCATTAAGTCAAGAAGTGAATCTGTAATGGCAGCTTTACAGTCAGGAATTACATATTAGATTGATTTCCAATGCACAGGAGCAAGATAATTTAAAAATATGAGTACCTTAGCAAGAATTCAAGAGCATATCCTATTATGAAAATTACATTACAGGAGTGAGATATAATAATTGCATTATTAGAGGGCTCATGGTTTCCCAGTTACTAACCTGATGCCTTAATCATGACACTAAACTGCAGCTGAAGTTTTTCAACCCATTTTTTTTTAATTTTCTGGGTTTAATACCTGAACTATTTTGACTTTTTTTTTTAAAAAAAGGAAAAAAGCATTTTTTCTACTGAAGCCATTTAAGTAAGAATGCAATATGCCTATTTAATCGCAATCCATTTTCCTTTGCACTGTTCAGAATTATTTGCCAAACTTCTTCCTAACCAGCACTATTATTTTGCTTAGAGTAACTGAAAGAAAGTCTTAAGACTTAAGACAGTAATGATTCCTATATTTCATTGCTACTGCAAAATTTCTCTCTGCACTAGACATAGTATTTTTCTACATAAGACTAAAATGTTTTTCTTTACCTGTTTGTGTGATAGCCATTCCTGCAATACAAGGAGCCAAAACCAAGCAAGTTTTTGAGGACTGTGCTTTGATTCACTCCTACAAACATAATATGTAATCAAAAATACATTTACATACTACATGTTCACTTTTTAAAAAAAATACTCTTAATCATGTTTTAAACTGCAACCATAGCAGGAATTACACAACAGTCCAGAAAACTATAATTCTCAAAATTTCACCTCAAGCTAAATATGTACATACTATAATCCCATTCCTATGACTTTCTATGACCCCAGTCACGTGGACTTCTTCCATCTGCCATAACTATACTTTTAGATAATCTGTAGCAAATGATCCAATTTAATTTCAAGAATTTTTTCCAGAGTAACCACTAGGAAAATGATTTCCCTACATGTTCAAATAGATCACCAATTGTATATACTCTAAAAATGTAGTAAACCATTTAACTGCTGACATGCAGTAGTATTCAAATTTTGTGAATATCAGTATGTTAGCACCAGCAGCAGATTTAAAACTCTGTAGTTTCTTTAATTCCTGAAAAATATTTCACATTACTTCTAAGCATCAGAAAGATTGTTCATTCTGCCTTTAACCACAATGTGAACATTAAACTCAAAATAAATTTTAGCTGGCCCTCATGGAACATGAAAAATAATTTCAGGCTGTAGTACATTATAAATCTACCTGCAAGGTAGGCAATCATACTGAAAACAATGAAGAATTACTTGTCCTTATGCATGTACAGGATTGCATTGTTACACGTTATAAATGATGAAATCCTCTTTTTCATTCTACTTTCACCCATTTGTGATTGAATATAACTTACCTCAAGTGAGAAGGGCAGATTATTAGGGCATGAAGGATTTTTTCGACCTTTTCAGAACCATCATCCTGCAACTGCTGTAACTGAGGGACACAGGCCCGTGCAAGTTCCCAGTCTCCCCTTTGCACACATTCAGAGAAGAACCAGAAGAGTCGTTCAAGGGATGCTGCTTCCTCCTTACCAAATGGATACATTTTCCTGCTTCAAAAGGCAAAACCTTGATTCACCAACTCCTACTTTGAAATATATTTCATATATACATATATATATAAAGCTGTTTCTTTTTTTTAATTTAAAAAGTTTTATTAACAGTTACAAAATAAACCCAATAACCCTCCCCCCCACCCCCACCCCCCACTTCCTGGAGCCAAATACAGGGTATATCAAACATATTAAACATAATCTAATAAATTAACAAATATATTAGTCATAAGCTAAACAAGTTTAATAATTTATACAACAATTAATATCATACTTAATCCTTAACTCCCTTTAAACCTTATTATTAATACTTATTTTTTAATCATAAAATAAATGGAACTTTTCAGTTCCATATTTAATCTGAATATAATCTATCCATCTTCTCCATACCATAATATATCTTTCTTGTGTATGATCCTTTAAATAAGCAGAAATTTTAGCCATTTCTGCCAGATTGGAAACCTTAAATGTCCATTCTTCTAATGTAGGCAACGAATCTTTCTTCCAATATTGACCTATCAATAACCTTGCCGCTGTAATTAAATCCAACATTGAAATAGTTTCTTTAACATCAAAATCCTCAAAAATCCCTAATAAAAATAGTTGAGGAGTAAACTTTATCTTCCTTTTAAAAATATTTTGAATGTTCCACCAAATCATAATCCAAAAAGCCTTAATATTTTTACAAGTCCACCAAATATGAAAATAAGTTGCACCAGAACTACCACATCTCAAACATTTGGGCTGTAAATTAGAATACATACAAGATAACTTTTTAGGATCCAAATGCCACCTATAAAACATTTTATAAAAATTTTCTCTTAAATTTTGATCCTGTGTGAATTTAACATTTCTAATCCAAATTATCTCCCATAAATCCAGTGGGATTGGTTCCTGAATATTCTGAGCCCATTTCAAAATAAAGCTGTTTCTTATGCGTTTCCTAAAATGAAAAGATTTTCGAAAAAGGAAAAAAAGAACTTTAGTCTTCCTCAAAAGTTTAGCTAGCTAGAAAACCACATAACTGTTTTCTGATTTAAAATTCCAAATTCACCACTCTCTCTCTTCTAGCTCAGCTACAGGCAGATGGAGAAAAGTTTCTTTAGTGACTGATTCCCTGGTTATTTACCAGCTTTCCAAGCCCTAAGTGACTCTGTCAAAATTTGCACCACAAATCAATAACAGTTTGCAAAACCATTCTTGTCTACATACTACTCCTTTTAATTAGCAGAACTACTTCGTTAATTCTGCTGGAAAACTGTGTACAAACAACGTTTGCAATATTATTTTTGCAACTATGAGAAATAGCAATCCCTGCTAAATCAAAATTTCTAAGCATCTATCCTTTCTGAGGTCTAAAGGTAGCCAATTCACATGATTTCCACTTCTTCAACAGGTACACTGAAATAAGTCCTCTAAACTCTAGCAGACTGTTTAGCTCTCACAAAGGGATTGTTTTCCTCTAGCTCTCGTCCAAACTCCCACAGGTCAGATCGGGTGATCCTATACCTAGGCAAATGAGGAATACTATACGGTACAGTCTGGACATTAAGCAATGCCTCACTGGGGGCTGACCGCCTCGAAAACTTTTCGAAGCCGCGCCCTCATAAGTAAGCCACCGTCTGCATCAGCAAACGCAGGCAATAACAGGAGAAGGTCTGCCCGTCTGGATTTGCTGATAGACGCGTCGTCTCCTTTGATGACAGCAGCCTCCGCAAAACTTTCCCAGATATGAAAGTCCCTGCTTCGGTCTCGGAGTTTGATTTCTCAGGGTTCTCTTGTTCCCTCAAATCTCTGCCCTGTAAAAGAGGTAACTGTTCTCGCCTCCAGCCTGACTCACCTGGAGGAACAAAATAGTTTTACTATTTTCTGCGCAACCTCTCCTTCTCGATGCCATCCAGCGTGATGGCCGCAGCCATGTTGAACAACGAATCAGGTGATCTAACAGGCCAGTGACGTCACGGGCGGACTGGAAGGGAAATACGCCATTGCTTCGTGGGGCAACGGATGTAGGCAGGCGCCGTCATTCAAACGGGCAGGCGAAGCAGGCGCTCACGCTTTTCTTTTAGTTTAGTCCAGGGGTCTTCAAACTCAGTCAGGCACGCTGACTGAGGAGTTCTGGGAGCTGAAGTCCACAAGTCATAAAAGAGCCAAGTTTGAAGACCCCTGGTTTAGTCCTTCGTCGGTGTCTCCCGTCTTCTGACCTGTTCTCTCATGCCCCGCGAGTGCGGCTGCGCAAAGGTTCTTTGGCTTGAGGGTTATCCCGAGTTGTGACGCGCGAATCCCGGCCGGATTTGTGCATCGGGGATCTCCAATACCGCGTGTGCAGCAGACGTTTCTTCTTCCCTTCAGACTCTTTTACGGAAAAAAGGCAGGAAAGCAGAGAAAGGATTTCTCTGAGTCCTGAGAGGTGGAGGCAAAGGCAGTGATCCCCATTGTCTTTCGATCCAGCGCGAATGTCCGAGAGTCACGCACTAGTCAATAGAATTTTGTTAGCCGCATACAAAACTGATTTGCTACTCTCTTGTTCTGGGGTGGTTTATTTATTTATTTATTTATTTATTTCCTAGACTGGTTTACATCCAACTAGTAATCCAGCCCAGTTAAGTTTAGCACTTTTTCCCAAGGCGAATTGGGGAGTGGAACCTGTAATGTGAGGTCTTTCAATGAAAAAGAATTAGGAGTTGCTCTGAGTGAATATCTTAACAGACATTTTCAAAGGCAACATGGCAGGTCCCTCCTTTCCTAGTGAAAAAGCTCAACACTCTTAAGAATATACACAGTTCAAAATATTGTTTTTATTTTACACCAGTGGAATTTATACTTAATGTATAATTCTACTACTATGGGTTCTCAATAAATTGTTCTGTAATGGTATAGTTTCCATAAGCGATATCCTGTCAATGGTTGTCTGCTTTGGCCTACTATCCCACCCACTTTCCTCATATGTCTAGGTTCCTCTGTGTGTGTGTGTGTGCATACACTCATAAGTTAGGAAATATTTTTTTTATAAACCTACACTACAGATACCCTGGTGTCAGCATTCTTTCATTAAAAGCGGGGATGGACCATTTGACCAGAGAAAGGTTTCACACAGAATCATGGTTGCTGTCAAGTCTTGCTGAGCAAGCTGTAAAGCATTGAAAGGAGCTACAGTATTTCATAAAGTTGGTTAGCACAAAGGGCTAATACTGCAGCTTTTTTTGGAAGAATGCTGGAACTGCTTTGAAGCAGGTCATAGCTGCCAACACATGTATGTGCATGCCCAACTGCTTCAGATCATTGTCAGTCCGAATAAAAATTATTGTTCATGTTCATGCCAGCTGTCTTCCCACATTATATCCTCTAAAACGCTTTTCTCCCTTTTCTTCTTACCGTAGCATTGAGACTCTGATATTCAGTTTAGTTTAGAATAGAATAGAGCTGGAAGAGACCTTGGAGGTCTTCTAGTGCAGCCCCCTACTCAAGCAGGAGAAACTATACCATCTCAGACAAGTGACTGTCTATTCCCTTCTTAAAAATCTCCAGTGATGGAGTGCCCACAATTTCTGGAGGCAAGCTGTTCCACTAGTTAATTGTCCTACTGTCAGGAAGTTTCTCAATTCCAGGTTGCTTCTCTCTTTGATCAGTTTCCAACCATTGTTTCTCATCCTTCCCTCTGGTGCTTTGGTGAATAACATGACCCACTCTTTTTTGTGGCAGCCCCACAAATACTGGAATACTACTATCATGTCTCCCCCATTTCTTCTTTTCTTTAGACTAGCCATTCTTCATATGTTTTAATCTCCAGGCCTTTGATCACCTTAGTTGCTCTTCTCTGAATTTTTTCCAAACTCTCAACATCTTTTTTATGATATGGTGACCAAAATTGGCTGCAGTATTCCAGGTGTGGTCTTATTAGTGTTTTATAAAGCAGTACTAATACTTCGCGTGATCTTGATTCTATGCCTCTGTTTATACAACCCAGGATTGTATCAGCTTTTTTGGCTGCTGCTGCACACTGCTGGCTCATAGTCAAGTGATCATCTACTAGGACTCCAAGGTCCCTCTCACAGTTACTGTTTTTAAGCCAGGTTTCGCCCAGTCTGTACTTGTACTTTTGGTTTTTCCTGCCTAAATGTAAGACTTTGCTTTTCTCCACATTGAAACTCATTTTGTTGGATAGGGCCCAATGTTCAAGTTTGTCAAGGTCTTTTTGGATCCTGAGTATGTCTTCTGGGGTGTTGGCTACTCCTGTCAGTTTGGTGTCATCTACAAATTTGATGAGTTCCCCTTCAAATCCCTCATCTAAGTCATTTATGAAGATATTGAAGAGTACTGGAACTAAGATGGAACCTTATGGCACTCCGCTGCTTACTTCTCTCTATGTGGATGTGGTGCCATTGAGAACTACTTGTTGAGTTCAGTTTGCCAGCCAGCTACAGATCCATCTGGTGGTGATGTTGTCTATTCCACCTTTTTCTAGCTTACCAAGGAGTAGGTTGTGGTCTACTTTATCAAATGTCTTACTGAAATCTAAGTATACTACGTCCACAGCATTTCGCTGGTCTATGAGTTTAGTCACTTTATCGAAGAATGAAATAAGATTGGTTTAGCATGATCTGTTTTTAATGAACCTGTGCTCTACTAATTATACATTTGTTTGCTTCTAGTTGTTCGCAGATCTGTTTTTTGATTATCTTGTCTAGGATCTTTCCAGGTATAGATGTTAAATTGATTGATCTGTAGTTTCCTGGGTCCGTTTTTTCCCCTTTCTTGAAGATGGGAACCACATCAGCCTTTTCTCAATCCTTAGGTATTTCCCCGGTGTTCCAGGATTTATGAAAGATATAGTGCAATGGTTCTGAAATAATATCTGCCAGCTCCTTCAGAACTCTGGGATGTAATGTTGGGTCCCGGCGATGTATATTTATCAAAGTCGGATAGGTGTTCTCTTACCATTTTCTTGCTTATTTTAATTTTTGTTTCTAGTTTGTCTTTTGCAATGTTTTTTTTTTTTTGTATGTTGGGCTATAGTTTCTTTTTGTGTGAAGACTTATGCAAAGAATGAGTTGAGCAGTTCTGCTTTCTCCTTGTTGCCTGTTATTTCTTGCCGTCTTCTCTCTTTAGTGGACCTACAGTTTCCTTGACTTTTTTCTTGTTTCATGGAATGTTCCTACCTTGCAATTTAAAGATGTCTGGTGGAAAAAAACTAAAGGAAAGGAAAAGAAGGGGGGGCATTTGCAGTAGTGTGGGCAGTGGGCTGGGAAGGTAAGGGGTGTTTGCTTCTCTCAATCTGGGCAAAAATGGAAGCAGTGCCCACTGAGAGATTAAGGATTGAATGGAGCTTCTAGGGTTAAAGAATGAGAAATCAACACAAGATGATAGAAAAACCAGCAACTGCTGGCCAGCAACAAACATTGCCCAGAGCAAAATGGATGCCCAGGGAAGGGGAATTGCCAGGCACTGCAGCTGGTCTGGGGCTGCTACCAGAATGGCACAAAGGGCTGGAAGGATTTAACACAGTTTGGGCCAGAAAAGAGGACTTTTGAACCAAAGCTCAAAACCCAGGTGTAGAGTCCATTTCCAATAGGCTGGGTCTGGGAAGAGGATGGCATTCCTTCCCAATACAGGAACTGGCCTCTGCTGGCAATGGTCCGAACAATGTGTGCAGAATCTCTCCTAAGACGACTCAGTTTGCTCCAGAGTTCTGTAATAGTTTAATTTCCAAAACTGTAACTTTTTCAATTGTACGTTCCATGAATATCATCTCCATTATTTCTATACCATTACATTTCAATGGTATTACTTAAGGTTGTTCACCTTTTTGAAATCCATGGGATTGCAATCTGAAAATCAGGTTCATAAAGACATTGGAATTGTAGCTGGTTCAGCACATTTTTAATTTTCCTGTCTATTTTGCTCTGAAGAGAGGAGCCCCTTTGTTTGAAACGTGACTGTCTCTGAATAGAGACTATCTAAGTATTTCATTATGTGGTACAATATTGTCCAAGTATTGATTTACAGGCAACATCATCTTCTCAGAGATTTTTTTCCTTGGATGGCACTATATATGGTTAGCACCATGAAAAAACTACCTTTTGTTTATCCTTGGGGAGAAGGCAAGGCAACTGAGCTTCCTTCTTACTATTCTGGTTGTGTTATGAAGATACTGACTATTGTGACTCAGCTCTATGCAAGGGTGGGGTCTAGCTGGTGTTTGCTAGAGATTATGTTCCCCATGACATCCCCTCTTTATTCTTTCTTTTTTGTTTCTTATGTGGATGTTCAAAAACAGGAACAAAAGTTTTTGGATTATTTCTAAGGAACATAGCAAGTAAAAAAAATGACAGAAAATGACAGGTGCACAAATGTAAGTAAACAAAACAGAACAAGACCTACTTCTGAGTAAATTTGTTTAAAGAGAAGGGTAAATAAAAGAAGTTTTTTTTTCATCAACTTTAAACTAACCAGAGAAAAACTGCTATTGATTCCTTGCATTAATTATCTTGTGTTTTAAAATTGAAATTAATTAAAATTACTTCTTGATATAAGTATTTTATCGAAAGGGCTGACAAAATTAAGAAACAGGAAAATTTGCATAGCCTGAAGTAGTGTTCGCTTGTGAGATCATTTGGGCTTCAGTATAGCCAGGGAGAATCACAAAGTATGCATGGTTATGATAAACATTTAGAACTATAGATTTTGCAAAGTACTGAAGTAAATGAGAATTTCTTATATATGTGGGGATTAATACAGATTAATTTTATATACAGTATTTGTATATGAATAATTTGTATTTGTATAGGGAAGGAGTGTATACAGAAAAGACATATATCCCTGGCACTTATTCATGTGAAATACTTAGAAAATGTCTCTCCATACTGTGATCAGTGTTTTTCCATTGCTGAACAAGATCTGCAATACAGTAATAAACATGTTGAACAGAAGGTAGAGAATAGATTGTAATCTTGATTTACCAAACCTGGGGAATATAATTAGTATGCAATGAAAACCTGTATATAAAATGCAGTATCACAGAAATTGCTCCAGGGCTGTGGCCTGCCATTACATCACCTAAGTTCTGCTATATTCCAGCAAATCATCCTAAAAATATAAGGGTTCTAGAGTGTTGAGTTTACTTAAAGTAGACTTCAGTGAAATCCATTTCACAAAACTGAGCTGCCCTTCCATTTTCCTCTTTATTCTGTGGATTTTCAGAAAAACAGGCAGAGTTTGAAAGCATTTACAGTTAGGAAAATAATCATTGCACACATCAGTTTGTAGGTTAATAATGAACATGATTGTAATTGTTGCCTAGTTTTCCATGTCATTATGTACTATAGAATTCTAGAGCTGGATACTGATTTCAACCAGATGCCCCACGCAGGAATCCAAATTCAAACCTTCCTTGTGGGATGGTCTTTTAGCCTTGACTTGAATAAGTAGCAAAAAAGAGCTTAACATTTTTGTAGACTATTAGAGCGATTATCAAAATGCTCAGAATCTTAGTAATTTTTTTAACGTTGTAGAGGTCATATTTAACCACATGCTTAGAATGTTTTTTAACCACATTCAGGTAGAGAAATATGCCGGTGAAATTAAGGGTGGACTGAGGCCAACTATGAAAATCACTATCATGGGCATGATATATCCTAGTCCGAAAAGGTAGGTACGTAACCTGGTATTTGAGCTGCAGTTAAATTGCCCATTAGGGTCAAAGCACATGATTTGAAAGAGAGGCAGACTGATTGTTGGAGTCTCTGATAAAAAAGACTCCTTTCTGAGAACATAAAAAGAAATGTGGAATAAAAAGACATTTCTTATTCCTGAGCAAGCCATTTTATTTCAAACAATTAGTTTTTGTAATGTAACTTCCAAATTGAGGCCAGTGGGGGGAAAATGGGGAAAAAGATGCATTCTGGGTTGTAAATATTGCATTGAGTAGAACATTGGATTAGATCAGAGGTTTCCAAATAATTGGGAGACAATGAGGTCATTTGGGAAAGGTATCCTGGATGCCATCATATACATGTATGAATGAATTTTGTACGTACATGTTTTCCGCCTTTTGATTTTTCTCATTTTCTGAATTATTCTGCCTTGTTCACTTTTACAGCAAGAAAATACATTTTCATTCATTCCTCATTCATTCAATTTATATTTATGTAGATTTATAGCTTTCTCAAATTCACAACTCTTGGTGGCTGTCAATAATTAAAACACCATAAAAATGTATAACAATTACAACACACACATAATCAGCAGCCAAGGTACAAACAGAACAACCCACAATAAATCAATACAGCCATTGCATGGTCTCTGCCACATATCTGGATCCTCAAGCTTGGTAACAAGAACCATGTCTTTAAGACCTTACAAAAGACCAGCAGGATCATTTTGCTTGAATTGGAATAACATTTAAAATAACATTCCATTGGTTAATAAACTGAACAATGGCAGAATTCCTTTGTCACCCACACCTTTTTGTCCATTGTGTCTGTTAATATAATTGCCAGCATTTATTTTTTTCTCCATTTAATTTCCTCTAAACTCTCTATTATTTTTATTTCCTTCCTCAATTTACATATCATTGAGACTCCAGATGCATCTGAAATATTGTTAAAATCTATCTGTATTTGTGCAACTTAAGGCAGTATACATAATGCTCTCTCCTATTTTTTTTGCAACAGTCCTGTAAGATGAGTTGGGCTAAAGGCGTGATCAGCTGGTTTCTGCCAAAGGAAGGACTAGAATTCACAGTCTCCTGGTTTCTTGTCCAATGCCTTAATTGCTACACAAACTAGAAAACTAATTTTATATATAATAGTTATTATATTAAAATACATTATAATAATGCATTTTACTAATACTACCTAAGTCTTAGGATGCTGTGGATTCTGTTGGTTTTTCTCAACAGACTAACATAATACCACTAAATACTTCGAGTAAGTGTAGCAGATGAATTATTTTCTGCTTTTATTACATCAAAAGTCAGATTTATATCATATTATCCAAAATGACACCACCATCCCATGACTTTTATACCATTCAGTTTTTATTGTGCAAATTGTAATCTGTCTGATTTATAGAATTATATGGATAATCCAAACAATGTTGCAAATAAATATGTAATGAGCCTTCTTTATTTTTCATTTCCAATTTCCTGTTTTTTTCCAACTATTTTTTTCCATCTATTTTCTTATTCACCCAAAAGTTAGGTAAAAATAACTGAACAATTTTGCTTAGTGTTGCTCGGAGATCTTGATCTGGAACCATCCACGCAAGTTTTTGTTGTCTAATTTTAATCATTTTTTTGACTATGAGTTTCATTCACTTTTTAGTATTATACTAACAGGCTGAGTTAGGAGAAATATAATTTTTTTATTGCTGGTTGAGTACATTATATTTGTACTTACTGTGGAAATAAATGACTGTGCACATGGTTGGAAAACATTTGGGGTGGAATTTCAAATTTTAGTGGTTGGGAAGATGCTACTTCTTTTATAGATTCTTTATATTTGAGGTGTTATTTTATTCTAGGGCAATTATGGTGTTTTATTGTACAGATTGTTTTTAATGTTTTGCACATCCCTTAGAGCCTGGTGATAATGTGTTGCATGGAATATTAGGAAGGAGAAAGTGAAAGAGAGAAAGAATAACTTTATAAATCATATGCTGTCATCCTGCATTGTTAAAATCTGTAGTTCCTTTATGCATATTATTTTCTTATAGTTTTTCAGTGGCTTTACTTTGTGACCCCAAGGATGATCACACAACCAGGGATATTGGATTATTACTTGTAGTCAGCTTTAGTGAGAAATCCATTGTGCGAAATTCGCAAATTGCTGGGAAATGGGGCAAGGAGGAGAAGACGATTCCCTACTTCCCATTTACAGCAGAGGACTCATTTAAGGTAATCTCTCTCTCTCTCTCTCTCTCTCTCTCTCTCTCTCTCTCTCTCTCTCAATCTCTCTCTCTCTCTCTCAATCTCTCTCTCAATCTCTCTCTCTCTCTCTCTCACACACACACACACATCTTAGGACTGTGCATAGCTTTGGATTCAAAGATTCAAAGGCAAATAGGTGACCGTAGCATCAAACGTCAGCTCTTTAAAGCAGCTGTACCTTTCCCTGTCATTGTGCCCCCATGTATTCCGAAGATTCTTTTTACCTTCAGATTTGAAGTATTGCACATTCTAATGAGTGGCAAACTATGTTGCCTAATTCCTGACCGGTGAGGTGGCTTAGAGATGAAGATGCTCACCTCCCACTTGGAAGATTGAGAGTTCAGTACTAGGTAGCAGCAGATGTATCTCTATCAGGGTACAAAGAGAAAATATCTGCTGTGAACTCCATTCAGACGCCCCAATTCCACCCTGAATAACAGAATTAAAAGGTTGTAAAAAAGGGGGAAAAAAACTCTGTAACCTAATTTCCATTAACTGACAATCCTCCAAAACTTCAGCAGCAACATTCTCCACCCTTCGAATCCTTTGACATTTCACTAGGCAAGAATTCTAAAAGCTATAAATCAGGACAAAAATATTGACCAAAAAAGCGTGGTGCTAAGCTGCAAGGAAGTTACGCTGTAAGTCGCCCAGAGATATTGGATACAAGATGGGCAGCAAGTAAATTTTATAAACAAAGAAACAAAAGTTGCCTGCCCTGCTTTAACCTGGAGAGTCTACATTTGTGACCACATTCATACAAAATATAGCCTTCTGCTTTAATTTTCTACAGGAGCAAGAAGAATGGAAACCTGACCAATAGTCCCAGCCTGTTGTTTAGGGTAACTGGTAATCTTTAAGAGTACTTGGTGATGGTGCATTTGTATATATGACCCAAATCTTACATCCTGGGAGATCAGTGAATATTGACATCTTAGTCTTCTTGCTTGAAATCTCATTTAACTATCTGCCAGGTGTTTGCATGCCAACGTTCCAGCAATTTCTTTAGCCTTTTTGTTCATTTTCAGATGGAACTTTTATGTGAACATCAGCAAATCCGGATCCTGCTTGATGGGCGTCAGTTGTGCAGTTTCAGTCACCGCGTGCAGCCCATGCAAAGGATGACTGTTTTGCAAATCTCAGGCGACCTCAAGCTCACCAAGGTGGCTTGAAGAAAATAATAAATCAAAAATGCTCTTCCCAATGTTGAGCTACAGCACTCAGCAATCCTAGGCAAAATGACTAACTACAAAAGATACTAGGAGTTTTAACCCAACGTCTGGAGGGTCATAAATTCTCCAACTCTGTAATAAATAATTCCATATCATTACTGCTTTATGGCAAAAGTGCTTTTTCTTTATTTCTTTCCTTTCTTTGTCTTTATGTATGCCTCTTGAAATGTTTGTCTGTTATGTAAAGATTCTTAAGATTCTCCTCCCCCCCCTCTCCCACCAACAAATTTTAAATATTATTTTTCACTTTAGCTCACAATTCTGGGAGTCTTGCAGGTCTATTCTGTTACTGTTGATTGCAAGCTTTTGGATGAGAGAGCTGCAGATGCACAGAGATTTTATAGTAATTTCTAAAAGAAAGACAACTAGTTATATGCAAAAGATGTTTTCAGCATATTTTTTTTAAAAAAGTGAAGTAAGCTACACTATATTAATTGGAGCTTGTTTCCAGGTAAATCTGTATGCCATATTGAAAAAAATGAAAATAAAATAATTGTGTGTAATTATCTCTATTTTATTTAACTCAAAGCAATATGTTTCTCTTGCACTGAACTTCATCTCACCTTTCTCTCCCATTAAGAGCAGGAATTCTCTTAGCAAAAAAAATTGGTTTTGGAGAGTAGATTCCAGTGCTGAATCTAGCTTGTGCTACAAGAATCAAATATTTTTATCCTCTTGATGGTTACTATCAATCTGCCAAAATAATTTTATCCAGACTTGTCAAATGAGAGCATCCTTTCTTAGAAGCCCAGGCTCCTACTATGTTAACTGGGATGTTTTTTACCCCAACATTATCTACACATGGTTTTCTACACAAAATTCAATCACTCTTTCTCAGCCCTGCCTATCCTACACAGTTGTTACTAAGGGGGGAGGGAAATCAAAGCATGGGTGTTGCCTCAAGCTCCTGCACAAAAGGCAGAATATAAGTCACATAAAAAAATAAACAGCAAGCATTTAGATGTTATAAAAAATGCAACTTCCATCTTCTGAAGATAATTAGCCAAAGAATAAGATAAAATTGGCACACTTATAATAATTTTAGCGAAATAAATAATGTCTTTGTACAAATCTGTGGTCTGACTATAACTCAGAAACAGTCAAATGAAATAGCAATGCTGTTGATAAGTTTAGGTATATTCTAAAATAGCTTTACTATATCACTTCAAGGATCTGAACACTAAGAAAATAATTCTTTTGAAAATTTAGAGGTATGTGTTGACATCAGTATTGGAAAACATGCTCACTCAAAGATGCTCAGCCAAAAGTAAATCCCTTTTCCTCTTAATGTTCCTTTTAAAGTTGTTTCCAATGAAGCAGAACAGAGTCCAGGCATTAGTGGAATAACATCTGGTAATGGAAAAGATTTCAGCAGAGAGGAGCAGAAGGGAGGGGAGGTTCATTTGTCCAAAATGGTATAGGGTTTCCTGCCTGAGCAGGGGGTTGGACTAGATGACCTCCAAGGTCCCTTCCAACTTATTATTATTATTATTATTATTATTATTATTATTATTATTATTATTATTATAGCAACTTGCAAAGAGAGGAATTATACCAGATTTAGTTCAGAAACTTTGAGGAATTAGGCAATAAGTTAATTGAACCACTTGATACTAAATTAACAGTTTTTGTAAAAGAATGGATTAAAGGCTTTTAAAAATGAAGAGATGAAAAAAGTTAAGAACAAAGTTGTGCAAAACAAATACCGAAAGATGTAAAACTAATGACAAAGTGGAAATTCTAGACTCTAGACAGTGGTTCTCAACCTTTTTAATGCCACGACCCCCAACCGGTCGTAAGTTGAGGACTACTCAACTGGTCGTAAGTTGAGGACTACTCAACTGGTGAAGCACCGTTTGCAGAATGGGACTTTTGGCGGGCTCAGCAGGGCAGAGACAGCCTGGACAATTCTATTGGCTTTTGAAAGCCAATAGAATTAGACTCTATTCAAGAGACTCTATTCTATTGGTTTTCAAAAGCCAATAGAATAAAAGGGAGTAGCACAGCTAAGGAAAAGGGGGAAAAAATGGCGGACTGCGTTGTTTGGCGACCCCCGTGAAATGGTCGTTCGACCCCAAATGGGGCCCCGACCCACAGGTTGAGAACCACTGCTCTAGAGGGTAAGACAGAAGTTGTAGATACAGACTTCGAAAGAGAACTAGATAATTTGGTTCGATTGGAATTAAGAGAGAAGGAATTTTGTTTGAGAATTCTGTATTCTGGAACATTTGACCGAGCTTTGAGGCATATGGTATACTTGCCTAACTTTTTAACCTAGCACTGCTCAAGATGCCTTCAATTAGTGTGATCTCAGAGTCCCCAAATGGTTACTTTAAAAAAAAATTTTTTAGGAAGCTAAGGAATACGAGAGTAAAAAATTGGTTTATTTTTTAAATAAAAATACAAACATCTAAATCACTATTCAGTGTTTACACTCATGCAGGATAATATACAATGAAGAGTTGGGATGGAGGGGGGGAATGAAACATGGCAGCATCTGGAGTCCACCATCACAGTGGTGATGGTAAAAACATAACTGATCTTTCTAACACCAGTTCTAAGTATTTGCATGCCTTATGCTCAGATTATAAATATGCATTTTGTCTTAAGACATTTTTCCTCTTCCACCCTATGAGAACAGCAGCAGTGTGGGCTACACTGTATGTTCAGCACGTGAGACTTCTCATCCCAGTATATTTCACAGAAATGTCCCTTTTCCAAATAATGTAGTCCCCGATAGCTGTTCAGTTCATCTCTATTTTTATCATTACAGGAATCCTGTAGGACAGGTTAGACTGACAACATAATTGATTCAAAATCATGCTGGGACTGGATATGAACAGGAGGCAAAAAGCAATTTTGTTGTCTCAGGATATCCAGAGCACTATAAGTCAGAAATGGTAATATGGTAATATTAATATGGTGAATTTCTCCCTGTCTTAATATGTAAATACTAAGCTTTCTTGTATCACAGCAACATTCTTGCCTCCAGCACCTTCCTAAATAATGTTGTAATCCCTGAAACTTCCCACTAGTGAAATAGGATCTGCAAGTATAGAGACATATAAAAACATACAGTAGATTAAGGAATTTGCATTAAATCATTTTGAAAGGGCCAGATTTGGTTCCAGGATGTTGGTTTTGCTAGTTTCTCCTCAGTAGCCAATTTAGGTCTGTTTCAGATGGAGGTATGAGATAGCATATGCCAAACTGCAGAATGGTGCCAGGCAATCAACATGTTATCATATTGTCAAAATTTGCAGAACTTCTGATGAAGTGGATATGTCATCATAGGCTTCCTTGTTTCAGAGAAAAAGCCTAAATACAATAGACACTGCCAGGTGCTAACATCATGCCAGGCTAAAACAACTCAGCCAGCAATCTCAAAAAGCAGCCCCTTTTAATGTCCTAGAAATGGTATTATACTGTCCCATAAATGCACTTTGGTACATCTCCTATGTTAGTGGCTTGATGGCCTCAATCCAGTTAGCTCTTTCTGCCTTGGAGCTAGCCTGTATGTAGTAGTGAATGTCATTCTTTGTAATAATTTTGAAGAGGTTGCCCTGCACATTTCCTTTCACTCCTGCAAAAGAAAAAAAGAGCAGTTATTTAATAGAACATACAGGTGGTCTTCAACTTAACAGCCATTTGTTTATTGACTATTCCAAGTTGCAACAGCACAAAAAAACTGACTTGTAACCAGTTGTCACACTTACAACCATTGCAGCATTCCCATGGTCATGTGATTAAAATTCAGACACTTGACAACTGACTCATATTTATGACAGTTGCAGTGTCTCAGGATCATGTGGTCACCTTTTGCAAACTCCTGACAAGCAAAGTCAACGGGGAAACCAGTCACTTAACAACCGTGTTACTAAGTTAACATATGCAGGATTCACTTAACAACTGTGGCAAGAAGGGTCATACAATGGGACAAAATTCCCCTAAAAACTGTCTTGCTTAGCAATAGAAACTTGGACTTAACTGTGGTCATAAGTTGAGACTAACTGTAAAAGAGAGACAGTTTGGTGAAGTAGTTAAGGCATCAGGCTAGAAACTGGGAGACAGTGAATTCTAGTCCTGCCTGAGGCATAAAGCCAGCTGGGTAACCTTGACCCAGTCATACTCTCTCAGTCCCAGGAAGGAGGCAATGGCAAACCACTTCTGAAAATCTTAAGGTCCATTTGAGCAACTAAGCAACGCTTCTTTTGGGAATCTATTATATTCCACCTGAGAATAAGGTTGCTTAAGTGTTTCATTCCTGAAGAGAAATCACAGCCATTTCTGCTGTGTTTGCCCTCCCCTAAGCTATCCTACTGGTGTTTAAGTTAAAGAAAAGTGTGAGAGAGGGGGGCTGGCTTTTTACCTTTTAGACAACTTTTGCTACATCTTTGAGAAGGATGTGGCTTTTTCATGTATAATGTGGCTAAAACTGGAGGAAGTTGGGGTGTGGATCCTGCATATTTTATACAGCCCACCCCTTTCTTCTCTATCATTTAAGAACAGGCCCTAGCAGAAAATCTGATGCATTAGATGGGCTCTAGGAGCTCTTTATCACAAGCAATAGTGGGATAAGATTGTGTAACTCATGGTTTGGAAATGGCAGCAGAAGGGGAATGGGCTGCATCTAATGCCCCTGCAAATAATGAAGGACCACTCTAATCTTTCTCAATGAACAAAAAAAAGAAACCTATCAAAAGAGCAGTAAGAATGGATCTTGCAAGGTAATAACTTGCCTGTTGGGACTCCATTGTCTTCCAGTGCTGAAACAAGGCAACCACGGAGAGAAAATCCCCCCACTGGTTTGTTATCCTCCTATAGGAGAAAAAAAAGTGGACCAATGTGAGTAAAACAAATATAATAAAATATTAAATTCCCTCCAATAAATTTGACACAAAGCAAGGGAAGTTTTGCTTGAGTCTGCTTCCGTTTAAAGAGATGCTCTACAATCCTTTCCCAATTGTTGACTGTAATAGCTATTTAACAGAAGTACAGGCAGGATTTCGAAGAGGCAGAGGAACTAGAGATCAAATTGCCAACATACGCTGGATCATGGAGAAAGCTAGGGAGTTCCAGAAAAACATCTACTTCTACTTCATTGACTATGCAAAAGCCTTTGATTGTGTGGATCACAACAAATTGTGGCAAGTTCTTAAAGAGATGGGAGTACCAGACCATCTCATTTGTCTCTTGAGAAACCTATATGCGGGTCAAGAAGCAACAGTGAAAACCGAACACGGAACCACTGATTGGTTCAAAATTGGAAAAGGAGTCCGGCAAGGCTGTATACTGTCGCCCTGCCTATTTAACTTATATGCAGAGCACATCATGAGAAAGGCAGGGCTAGATGAATCAAAAGTTGGAATTAAGATTGCCGGGAGAAATATCAACAACCTAAGATATGCAGATGATACAACTCTAATGGCAGAAAGTGAAGAGGAACTAAAGAGCCTCTTGATGCGGGTGAAGAAGGAGAGTGCAAAAGTTGGCTTGAAACTCAACATTAAGAAAACCAAAATCATGGCATCCGGCCCTCTCAATTCCTGGCAAATAGATGGGGAAGAAATGGAGGTAGTGACAGATTTTATTTTTCTGGGATCCAAGATCACCTCAGATGGGGACTGCAGCCAAGAAATTAAAAGATGCTTGCTCCTGGGGAGGAAAGCTATGGCAAATCTAGACAGCATTCTAAAAAGCAGAGACATCACCCTGCCAACAAAAGTGCGTATAGTCCAGGCCATGGTTTTCCCAGTTGCAATGTATGGCTGTGAAAGTTGGACCATAAGAAAGGCTGAGCGCAAAAGAATTGAGGGCTTTGAACTATGGTGTTGGAGAAGACTCCTGCGAGTCCCTTGGACTGCAAGGCGTTCAAACCGGTCAGTCCTAGAAGAGATCAACCCCGACTGCTCTTTAGAAGGCCAGATCCTGAAGTTGAAACTCAAGTACTTTTGCCACCTAATGAGAAGGAAGGATTCACTGGAGAAGAGCCTAATGTTGGGAAAGATTGAGGGCAATAGAAGAAAGGGACGACAGAGAATGAGATGGCTGGATGGAGTCACTGAAGCAGTAGGTGTGAATTTAAATGGACTCCAGAAGATGGTAGAGGACAGGAAGACCTGGAGGAATGTTGTCCATGGGGTCGCGATGGGTCGGACACGACTTCGCAATTAACAACAACAAGCTATTTAAAGAGGCAGTGCTAAAGTAGCTATGTTTGCATGACATGCTAAACCATGGTAATGTTAGCATGTGGACACTGCCATCTAAGCTCTGCTACATGTGATTGATACCATCTTAAAGTGGGTGCCCTTGTCAACTTGCAGAAACTGAAACTGAAAAGCAGAGGCAATGTTTTGCCTCAGATTTTAGTTTCCACAAGTTGAGAATAGCAGCAGCTTTAGGCTTGCAGCAGCACATTAGGCCTTAGGTATAATCTCCACAGTTGATTAAAGGGTTTCAACAACCTGGGGATTAAATGGCACTTTCATGAACACTTTACACTGCCTAAAGGCACTCCTATGCTGCCAACAATTCTATTTTTTCAATCCTTTAAAAAGCAATCTGAAGACAGTCTGGACTTAACTTCTCTTCTGCTGACTCACAACACTGAGAACAAGTGCAAAGAATCACAGCCATGTCCTGAACTATCACTATGGTTCTGGAGAAAGAGAAATTCTTACCATCTACGCACAAGGCAACATTAAAAATCCCTTACAGTAGGTTCCTCTCCCCATCTGGCTCCAATCTTGATGTGTTGTGTAACTGTTTTATCATATGAGAGTGGATTGGGAGTTGGGGGGTGAGGCTACATCTTCTCTTTAAAATATCTGTTAGGGCCAGCTGATGGCTAGGAATTAGGAGTTGGGGTAAGGTAAGACTTCCTGCACAAAGGTCTGTCCACAAGCTTCAAAGAATTGCACAATATTTAAAATACATGATCTCAGGTAGACCTTACTTAATGACCAGCACTGGGACAAGCAACCCTGTTGCAAAGCAAAGTGATCATTAAGTGAGACATCATATTTTACTCTGGCTTCAAACACACATTGTTGAGTTTGCCCAGATCCCAAACAAGCAACGTAGAATTGCAGACTTCCAGAAATGACCTGAGATCTAACCAGAGTCCTCAGATGGCTCCGATAAACACAGTTTATTTATTTTAAAACATTTATTTAACTTAATCTTATATCCAACTCTGGGTGGCTCCCAATCAGCAAAATCTTCCTAACACTTCTTCCTAATAAAATGGTTAACATTAAAAATCATTTTATATCAAACCTATTTTTCTCCTGAATTGATTTTCATTCTCTAACTAGGGTATATATAAAAAAAAAAAGACAGGACTCCTGTATGTACCATATTTGCATAGGGCAGTGATGGCGAACCTTTTAGAGAGTGAGTGCCCAAACTGGAACCCAAAACCCACATGTATCGTCGGGTGCCGGGTGGGCGTGGCCAATTGGTTGGGCATGGCTGCGGTGGTAACGGCAGACTGGTGGGACTAAACAGTTCAATCAATTCCAACTTTACGAGATTTTTTTTTCCCCGTGAGAAGTTGAAATTGATTAATTGAACCTTTTTTTTTTTTTGCACACGGCGGCACAGGCCTAAAGCGAAAAGATTTTATAAAACCCAGCTGAAGGCCTAGGACTGGGGCAATGGTGCGTGTGCCCACAGAGAGGGCTCTGCGTGCCACCTGTGGCACACGTGCCATAGGTTCGCCACCACAGGCATACAGGAAAAAAAAACCTTCAGCAGTAAGTATCTTGCTGAAATTCCAAAACATAACTTGTTCCATCCCAAAATCTAAATGTGTACTTTTTTCAAAGACAGAAAACAATAGCCACAAGGTATATCTATTCCCAATGCAAATGTGTTATATTAGGCTACTTTTTAAATTCTGCATTTAATTGGCACATTGAATTACAACTAATATGGATATGAACTGCAGCACAGTGCAAACTACTCAAGATCTGCTATAAATATGTGGGCCATTTAGGATCCAGTGGGAAGAGATCTCAAGGGATCTGCCCCCAGCCTTACTGAAATCCATGCAGAATTCATTCTTCCTACCTATCAACAACAGTCTTAAGGCAGTTTGGGGGTGGGGGGGGAGGACATTTCCCAAAGGCACACATGCAGGGAGGTTTGAACCTTGCCATGCCATTGTCTCACCTTTGTGGGGTCATAATAGTGTAAGAAAGCAGGATCAGACCTCAGGACAAAGCGCCTGACTTTCCAGTTCTTCCTCTTGTGCCCCTGAAAGTTGGGAAACAAATTTAATTTTCTTTCTCCAAAACACAGATCTCTCGTAATTGTCAATACTAGAGAAAAAATATTGCATTATCTGTTTACTCCCATTTATCATTGCAGAAGCAGCCACAGGTGTGAAGACAAGCTGAGAGATAATACAGGTAGTCCTCACTTAACAACCATTCATTCAGGAACCATTTAAATGATACTTATACCTGGACTCCAGAGTTAGGACTGTTAGAGTGCCTCTGTAGTCGCACGATAAAAATTCAGGCACTTGGTAGCCCCCTCCCCTTGCATCTGAGATTGCAGGATATGCTTCAGCAAGCCCCATCCACCTCTCCCCCCCCTCCTTTTGCTCCCCTACACTCCATGATCTTTGCCCTCTTGTCCCTGGCCTGGCTCTGTGAGGCAGCTGCTGGCACTCAAGGCCTTCTTCTGGAGGTTGGGTATAGCAGTTACCTTGTGAGACCACAAGAAGATAGCGAAGGTCTGTTAGGGGCAGTAGAGCACAGTTGATCTACTGATTTTACTATTACCGAGAAGCCGCCATAAATGAAATGGTTAAAAATATTTGATATATTGAAATGTGAGAGGAAACACCATAATCCTTAGAGTTGTTTGAATGAGTGTAGATCAGGGGTACCTAAAATATTTCAAGGGCCTTTGCATTCTCCTAACCGAAGACTGAATTCACAATAAGACTAGATTTTATTTAATTATGTTTAACAAAAAAATATATATATAATTAAATAAGATTATGCTCCAGCCATGTATTTGAATAATTTCCCCCGCCTGTCAGATTACAAATTACAATTTATAAATACGTTTTAGTGGCTTGTAAGGGCTACTCCTTAAGCTTTCAGGTGTTATGTGTGATCCTAGGGCCTGCCTTCTGGTGTAAACTGTGCTGTGTAGAAAAAACAATTTGCTATGCCAAAAATTAGACAATGATGCTTGGGTGTCATTTTCTGTATCAGGCTGAAAGAAAAACTACGTGTTCATTAAGTCACACATAATGGGTAGAAGATTGCTTCTCTGTATTCTCCATTTCTAACACTTCTTTTTAAAGAAACTTAGTGAGCGGAGTTTCAATTAGTTACCATCTAAGTCTTGTTCATGTGTTAGTTAATTTGATAACTGTACATTAATTAAATTGTGAGGGTTCCCTATTAAAATGCCATTTCAAAAAGAGTTTTAGAAGACAGCAATAAAAATTGCTTCATTCCCATCCTGTGATTAGTTTGAAAATATGAAGTCATATTTACCTGTTTTATCAAAAAGCCTTGCTTTAAAATTGTGCCACTCAGTTCAAGTATGTTAATACTGAGATGTTCTTTAGTATTAACTTTTTTCTTATAATTTTCAGCCTGTGGTAAAAACAAAAGCAACATGACTATGTTACTAAAGAGTTGATACTAGTTTTACAAACACTGATTTCATCCTTTAACATGATTGATTTTTCATTCATTTTTACAAGCTTTGATCTCAAAACTATTCTCCTCCTCCTCAGCCATTTTAATTATTTTTCATAGCACATCCTGGGAAATTAAAATGGCAAGGCAAACCCAGAGCTGGCCATTGCAGATACATGGCTGCTGTTGTTATCTTTATCCAAAGATAAAAAAATAGCTTACTAATATAAGATGGTGCCCACCAGGAGCAATTTTGCAGTGTTAGTTGGTGGGGTGTTATTCCTGAAGCACATCCTGACAAGCAATCACAGTAACAAAAATGCGCAATCCAAGAAGAGGTTTCATCCTTCTGAGCAGTGTTCTCCAGGGATATAGTTACATCCCAAGTCTTACTACGTACCGGTAGGCTTGTTCACACCTTTGCAAAGTCCAACTGATATCATAACCTTAGATAAAAGCATTGAAAGCTTTAGAAAGTACAAGTCTTTTATCAAGATCATTTGATCATTTGCTTGCCTATTTTTTTCTATTTGTCTGAACAAAGTAAATTCACACAACTAACTTTTGAACCTCATCTGTAAAAAGGAGATTCAGCTTTCAGAGTTTGCGTTACTTACAAATGCATACAAGGCAGTAGAGTCATCTAAAAATTGCTCAGTCAAATCTCCATTCCTCATGGCTTCAGTGCTGCGAGCTCCCATAGGTTTAATGAAATTTTCATCCATCAGCACAGAAGCCAGCGTGACTGCTTCAAGCCGGGAAGCTGCAAAGCTATTGGAAATCAACCAGTCTACTAGTATGGAACCTGGAAGGAAGAAATGGAGTTAGTCAGACAAGCAAGAATTATGCATAGTTGTCTGATCTCTAGGACAGATAGAAGGCAGAAACAGCAATACTGTGTCCTTCTAGTAAATTTTAAAAAGTTGATTCCTTTTGAAGATTTATTTATGTATTAAAATCTTTCTGGATAAATTTAAAAAAAATTGTTCCTGAAATACTTAAACTGAAGCAAACTAGGTAATAGTAGGGATATATGCTTGCTGCAACATTCATTTCCTAAAAAATATCTAGTAAAAAAATAACAACAGAAGTATCAGGCAGAGACTCTTAAAATTAACTTCTTGGCCCATTGTTCAAAAATATCCCTCAGTATATCCAGGGTTAAAATATGTTGCTCCATTCCGTTTTAATAAGTTAAATTTAAGTTTTCTCCTTTAATTATAATTTTTAGTTTTTTTCTAGTTCCCTCTATTGTCCATTTTTTAAAGTCTGATCATTAAAAAAAAGAATTAAAAACAAACATTTTTCCCATAGGAAGGATTCTTATAATTAATTCCAAAATTTATTTCAAATTGATATGGACCCTTAGTCCATTTGTAATTTTCAAAAAGCAACATTTTGGAAAACTTCACCCCTTTTTTGTTTATTAAAAAAGAGTTGTTTTACAAAAAAAACCATTAAACTTTATTCAAAATTTATTTTGCTAGGGACTGAAGGAAAATCACTTTTTTTCAGACTTATCAATCTAAAAATTCCTAATAGCTAAAAAGTTAACAATCAATCTCCGAAAGTGATTAGCAAAGAATGTACATGTTAACTCAGTATCCTTCTGAAAAGGCAGATTTTGGTTTGGGCAAGATGGCTGTTCTCTTATCTCCCAGAATTCTAAAACCACCACTATCTTGCAATCTCCTCTTGAGAAACAACTGTATGGTGTATAAATGTGCAATCTAAGTCTAAGTCCAGAGAAGAATTATGAAGAGCTGGTCTATTTGCGGACTCTTCTTTCTGCCCTGGTTATTAACTTAGTAGAGCTGTCTTCAGTTCTCCATTTTTTTCTGCAGAAGTTCCTAGTGAGTTTCATAACTGATTAGGGAGATGAATCTGAATCTGTCTGATTTAATTTAGCACTCTAATCACTAACATACTTCCTCTGATAGCTTCATCTTGTAAAGGATATTTCCACGCAATTTCTGAAATGTGCCACCTGGTTTTTTGCAAGCAGTGGAACAAAAGAAATTGAAAATGCATTTTTTATTATTTTTCACACGCCTGATAATTAAAACAGGTTCTGAAATGTTTTCTGGTATAAAATGTTTCTAAACAGGAAGAACAAAGAACAAAGTTAGCAACGTGTACCTGTAAAGCTTTCTTTATACAAGCTGCCTTGTCCTGTGTTGGGTGTTATCTTGATTCCGCTGCTGTTGTCATACATTTTGTCCACAATATGACTGGAGGAAAAAAAATCAAGAGAGGGTCAGTGATAAGCAAACTGAAGAACCAGTTTTGTGAATTTACCCACATTCCATTGTTTTCAGCTAATAACATGTTTTCAGTCCAAAAATATTCAGAAAATGTTTGGAATCCAGTTCTGCTTAAATGCAAATGGAATTCATACATTTCTCCCAAGTGATGGCCATCCTCCACTGCCAGTGGCCATTATCTGTGCTTTATTACATCACATTCCAAAATGTCATGATACAGTATGGAAGACTAGGTTGGATTCATGGATAAGTAATGCTGAGGAAATGCATCACAAAATTTTGAGTGCATGTACAGAGAAGTTGGGAAACCTATAGCCTTCCAGATGTGGATGAGCTACAATATCAAGCATCCCTTGCCACTGGCTTGGAAATCTGTGGCTGTGGAGATATTTGGCTTGATGTCAAGAACCACCGGCTTCTCATTCCTAATATACAGAAAGCAGTGCTTGTTGTTTTCAGTCCAAACCAGCAACATGTAAAAGCAGACTGAGAATTTATTTACCACGTACTTCAGACTGATGTTTGTAGGAAGTTTGAAGGAGTTTCTCATGAGGTGAAGTTGCTGAACTTGCACTGGATTGCCAGCATGAATAGCGCCAGTGATATCCAAAGCCCAAATGTCACGCTCTTCTCGAGAGCAACAGTCAAGGAAATAGTCGGTGTTGGTTTTTGTCCTTAGCTTAATAACTAACTGCAAAAGAATGGCAAAAGAAGCAGCATTTACAGGAATTGTCCCAAAAAGAAAGTGCCTTACAGCGCACATCTATTTTACTCCAACTGAGTTTCATTGCTAATGCACACCCCCCCCCCATTAAATAAATTAGCCAAATGAGCAAGAGAGAGGTCATAAAAAATAGATGGGATTCCATGCATTCAGAGATCAATACAATGAAAAGTTCATCAGATTCGAAGAACATCACTAGGTTAACATAAAAATTTCGGAATAGCTTTCAGCTGAATCTGAATGAGAAAAATATTTCAGTAGTTCCTTCTCTGCTCCTGATTTGCAGCCTTGAAAACAACCACCGATAAACTATTGAAAACTCATCAGGTTGTCTACCTATATCTTCCATTTTACTAATCATAAAATGTAAACCTAAATTACCCAACAGATCTGTGACATGTAGGAATTGCAAGGAAGCAATACAACAAGCCTAAACTAATAGACGACAGCCTGATTTTTTGTGTGGTTTGGGCGAGGATTGTTAGATTAGGATAAATTGGTTAGATTAGTTAGATTAGGCCATCAAATCCAATCACCTGAGTTAGTGTGAGAACCTAAATTAAAGCACATAGTGTCTAATGACTAAAGAGTGGCTGGTTACACAGCTTGGGTTCACTAGTTTAGAATTACAAAAATAATAGAATTGGAAGTGCTAGCTGGGGAAATCCCAGTTAAAGCTTCACAGAGAAACAGATGTCTGGCCTTTGCTTTAGTTCATTGCTGCTGTGAGTAACTGGTTTCTCAGTTGAACTGTTCCAACCTTTAGAAAGTTTTTTTTCCCCTGACTTGCCCGTTCACTTTTTTTTATCTGGCATAATATGCACTTCTTCTTAGAGCAGCGGTTCTCAACCTGTGGGTCGGGACCCCATTTGGGGACGAACGACCATTTCACGGGAGTCGCCAAACAATGCAGCCTGCCATTTTTTCCCCCCTTTTAGCTGTGCTACTCCCTTTTATTCTATTGGCTTTTGAAAGCCAATAGAATAGACTCTCTTGAATAGAGTCTAATTCTATTGGCTTTCAAATGCCAATAGGAATTGTCCAGGCTGTCTCTGCCCTGCTGAGCCTCCAAAAGTCCCATTCTGCAAACGGTGCTGCAAGTTGTCTGCAGCGAAGGCGAGCTGTCTGGAAGTTTCCACCCCTCCCTGCTGAGCAACTACTAAAAATGTAAGTAAAAGAGGGCCAGGGGTGGGAGGGGAGAGGCTGGTGGGCGCAGGGAGGATTGCTGGCGCGCGTGGGACCTGGCGGGTGCCTTACCTCCCTTGGGCTGGGCCAGCTGATGGCCCAGCTGGTGGTCGGCCTGCTCCGTCTCTGCCGCTTGCCAGCTATGCCTCGGCCGGCGCAGGGGGCGGCACCATCTATGCGCGGTGCTCCCGGGCAGGGACAGTCCTTGACTTACGACCGATTGGGTAGTCCTCAACTTACGACCGGTTGGGTAGTCCTCAACCTATGACCGGTTGGGGTCATGGCATTAAAAAGGTTGAGAACCACTGTCTTAGAGCTATAAAAGTCATCATGGAGTTATGAAGGATCTCCCTATGGTTTTTTGGGGGGGAGGGGAGTTCTATTTGAAAAGAAATTAGCTTTCTCAGAATATTATGCCAACTCATTCCCAGAACCTAGATTGTTCTCTTCCCTAATTGCTTTCTCTCATTTTAAAGTCAACACCGCAGTAAGAAAACTAAGCAAAGAATCCAACATGGGACTTACCGGCCTGTTCTCATATTCCAAACATGGGCAAGTAATCGTACAGCCATCCAGAAAAATCTTTCCCTTGGGAGAAGACTCCTGCTTTCCTCCCACAACTTTATAATAGAGCAGCCTGTCCTGGAGAAGAACAAACCACCTTGTTTTCCAATTGGGGACAACGTGACCCTGCAAGCAACAACAAAACAAAAAACAGTGGTTTTTGAAGCTGCTCAAAATCAGCTCTACCTGCTATGCTAAGGTACACAAAGGAACACGTTTATTAATTCCAACTCAAAACTTATTGCATTAATATATTTTTTACTGATAGAACTTTGAACAAAATCCTAGCCCCCCCCAGGTCTGTTACACTTATTTAAATTTTCCCCTGATGCTTCTATTAAAATAACTCATGGGTGCAGTATAAGAGCTGTATTTTAGAGCAGAACACAGATTCATAAAATTACAAAGTTCATTAAAACCATAGCATAAATATAACCAATATTGTCCTGCTCACATTTACAATCTATACTGCTATTTATTTTTTTTTTAAATGCCTTCAAGTTGAGTCTTGATTCCAGGTTACTGTCTGCACAAGTCTCTGCAGTTTTCTTGGCAACTGCATTTTTTGAGGAATGGTTTGCCATTTCCTTCTTCCTAAAGCTGAGACAACCAGCTGGCTTCCTGCCTACAGCGAGACTACAACTTACGGTCTCCCATTTTTTTCAATCGTGCATCTTTAACTGATATATCAGGTGATGTATATTATAATACAAACTAAAAGATTTTGAATAATAGAGGTATTACACTCTGAAAGAAAAAAAAGCAACAAGCCCACATTCACTGAAAATTAGGTGGAGAATTAGGTTTAATCTGTTAAAGAATACTTTCAGATAAAACGCTGATAGTGCACATGTCCTGCCCGCTTCATGGAATTTTACCAACAGTCCAGATGATAATATCATTTGTGGTATTAGCCCGCATTTCCTCATTGTTTTTCAAACTGCAACCGAACAAAAATCCCAAATTCTCTCCTTGTAAAAAATGTATTACGTTCTTATTTCTCCCAACACATCTGGACGGCAATAAGACTAGGTGTTTCCCTTTCTCTATTCCTTGCTGCGCGCTTCTTGTAGAATTTATAGGGACGTGTGAAAGGTGCCGAAGATGGGAGAGAAAGGAATTGCTTTGGAAGCAGAAACGGAAAATAAAGAAGATAAGAAAGGAGTGGCACCTTCAGACTCTCATCCACCATCATCAGGAACAGCTCCTCCCACCGTACTTCAGGCATGCATTTTCCTGTATATACCTGTTAAAAAATGGCACTTTTGTCCCGGTACATGTGCTGCTACCCTTCCTTAGCCGTAAGACTGCATGCAGAATTGTCATACATTTTCTTTTTTTTCTCTTTTACAAGGTATATCTATTTAAAGGAAAGGCAGCATGACTGTCTGAGGTCTGTTTGATTAGTAGGAACAGAAGTCCTCTTAATTCTCACTGGATGATTTATGGCTGAAAACCATGCAGCAGTGGGAAAAGCCAGCCTGTTTATGAATGGATCACAATGTTGTTTGGACTTTCCATAAAGCTCTGAGAAATCATTGAAGTCTTAGAAAATATCACCATGTGTGATTTCAGAGAAGGCCCCTATTGAATAATCATTCTGTGTAGTTGACAGAATTTTATTTTGAGGTGGAAGATGTTCAGGTTCAGATCATCCTTCAGATGTAACCTTTTCTTATTTTCTTTTTTCTTTTCTCAAAAAGGTGCTATGGATAAAAAAAAATGCTATAACTCTTCAGTGTCTCTCATTAGGCACCATCTGCACTATCTGCATAGCTCAAACTGTAGGAATCTAAAGCATTATGCTGTTAGAGTGAAAAACTATTTTCATGCCAGAAATCAATAATGACAAAATGTCATAAAAAGTCACTATTAAAAAAAAAAACCTCTCAGGAGATTATATTGCAGGTCTGAAAGTGACCATTTTGGAAAAACAAAACAAAATGAGACTTTAAGTGAGGAGTTAACTCCTCACTTAACTCATCTTTTTAACTCAAAAGATCTCAACAAACACAATGCACTTTGAATACATTACAATTGTTGATTGATTAGGTACTTCTGATCCTTCTCTCATGTAACCTTCATTTGCATAATCAACCTGCTCTTCCCTCTCCAATTCATTCCAGCATTTTAATTTAAATCCTATATCAGTTTGGTTGCACTTTGCATTTGATGAAGTTAGCTGACAAAAGTTTGCCTTTTATAAAATGTGTTAGTTGGAAAACATGTTGCCACACTCTTTATGAATTTTTGCTACCAAAGATCAACACAGCTGTCCTCCTACCACACCTACTGAAATATGTACTGAGCTTCAAACAGCTCATCAAAATACTTGCTACTTCATGCCCATTGGTGATTAAAACAAAAAGCCAGGATATTAAAAAAAAAGTTACATTTCTAAAAATGTAAAAACCAACTTGAACATCACTTACAATGGATCTACAATAATTCAAAAGCAGCAAGCCCAAAGATCATTCATCCAGAGGCATGAATTTGAAAAAGGAGGCTGGACTAGAGATGAAATTAGAACTGTTAGCTAGAAGGGCTAGAGATAAATTTTTCAAAGCATGTTATCCAGTTCAATTCCTTCATCCTTGAGGTTTTCCAGGGAGCTTTTTGTTATTTCTAAGATTTATGACTTTCTTTCTAATCAATTGAACATTACTATTTTTTTAATCATTTAAAAAATAATAAATAATATTTAAACAAGATCTTATAGTTAAGTATCCCAGTCAGAGATCAGTGGGAGGGAGTCTTACCTTTTTAACTAGAAAGCCCTCTTTCAGAATCCCCCTCCCTTCCTCCATGCTGGACAAGAGAAGAATGTGCCTGTGGAGAATCTTGCAAACAGCTGCAAACCGGTTTCCTCTGAATGTGAGGTTTTAAGAGGCAGGCAGACTTTCTTCACCCCCACTTCAGAGTGACGTCTGATCCCCTCCCTACTCAAGATAAAGCAAATACTGAGCTGGCAATGAGAGAGCACCTGTCCCTATGGTGACCAAGGTTGTTCCTATTTATAATTGTAAAGGCTCACACTGATTGAGTGCCTCAGGTAAGGTGAATCAGCCATTTGATTACACATCGCAGGAAGACGTCCCTGTAGTATGTGGAAGCCAAGAACTTACCGGAGGCTACAACGTTTTGCTCACTGGGAGTTTCCAAGGTTTGATACAGAGTAAAATGTCCTGATTGTTAATACATTGCATGCACTTTTGAGTCGTGGGATGTGGGCAGCAATATATTGCTTTAGAAAACAGTTTCTTGGTTAAAGGTCCTGGCTTGTAAGGAATAGCATGAACAACATGCTTAGGATAAAACTAGGCTTTGGTTAAGTTGCTATAACAAAATTTGGCCAAAATATACCAAAACTGATAATATGGTCTTTAACAGGGAATAATATAAATGGTTTGGTTGATAATTAAATCCACACCTTCTCTATCTTGCTAAAAATATTATGTAAAAGCCTTGATCAAAACCAACCTGAGCAATGGAAATCAATTTCTAAGGATCTGTCTGATGATGAACATGGCATAGACGATTGCAATCTGGAATATAAAAGGAGTGAATGATAAAGAGCAAGAATGAGCAATGACATGAAAGGAAGAAAAATATGTTGTGTATGTTGTGACATCAAGAAAAAAAAGGATTTTATAAAGCTGAGTAAAGGTGTCCTAATGTTGTGGATAAAGATGATGAATATGTGCAGGAAAGTTATGAGTGACATGACTAGAATGAATGTCAAAAAGGAGAAAAATGGAAGAATCTAAGTTGTTGTGGAGCTATAGAAATGTAGAAAATTCTAGGTTGGTGATAGTTGCATGTTACCTCCAGTGAAGGGTAATAATGAAAGAATCAGAAATGTTTTGGGGAAAAAAACCAATGCAACATTTGAACAAGTGCAATTCAGGGGAAAAATATTGTGCTAGGTGTTTTGAATGTATGAGTGGAAATGAGATGAGACAATACAGAAAAATGTATTGGGTGATTTAGAAACACAAGAATGAAAGAGAACAATAAGTATCTATTAGAAATATATATATATTTATTCCAAATATTTTGAATCATGGAATTATAGGGTTGGAAGGGACCTTGGTTTAAACATGTCTCTTCATATGTACACGTGACAGAATAATGAATATAAATCTGAAAGCATTATTTGATTATTAAGAATTGTTGAGGAAATTAGTGAAACACAGAAAAAATTAATGAAAAGTTTTAAATAAAACAGACTATTTTTTGCAAGTGTAAACAGTGGATCTTGGGGAAAAATAGAACGGAAGAAATTGAAGTAAAACTACAGTGGAAGTAGAACAACTGCAGAATGGGAAAGCATGTAGTAATGTATGCAGAAATATTAGAAGACAGATTAATCACCCATTATAATGGATAGAAAATAGACATATGGAAAGAGGATGTGGAATTTGCTTGGAAAAAAGTAACAAGAATGATGTTACATAATATTACAGAAGTATGTCTATTTGACTAATGGGAAGTATGAAAAAGATGCTTTTACACGATGAAGTGAAAGAGGCTGTGGGTTTTTTTTTTAAAATGTATATAAGATACATGCACAAATGCTGCAAATGAGGTACTTGGTACTGTAGGGATGTCTTGGTTAGAAATATATTTATACTTTTATGTGCACATGATGCCATGTTATTGGCTGAGAATCCAGATTATTTGCAGTGAAACTTAAATTGCATAATGTAGTGAGATATATGGTTCTAAAAATTAACATATCAAAGATTAAGATAGTTCTGTGTCACAGGGAAAATAGAACCAATGATTGTAAAAGTGGAGAATATGGTGTACTGCACTTTGGTGTAGTGGATACTAGGCTACATACTGGGTGTCCATGAGTTCCACTCTCAACTTAGGCACAAAGCCAGCTGGGTAACCTAGGGCCAGTCATTCTTTCACTCCCAGGAAGGAGATAACCCACTTCTGAAAACTTGCCAAGAGAACTGTGAGGTCTTGTCTAGACAGTTGCGAAGAGTGAAGGCACCAAAATAACAACAAATAAAAGCAAACTAGTCCAATCTGTATTATAGCCAGACATTTTAATCCAGATTTAAAATTGAAATATATACAAGAAAGATCTTTAAAGCAAACCTGACATAGCCTTGTTACAAATAGTAACTGGATATTTCCAAAATTTCGGTTTGCTATTTATCCCAGGAATGGGAGACCTTTTTATGAGGCTGAACACTCCCTTCTGTGTCAGATAATGGGTAAATAATAAAAAACCCAAGAAGGGTAAAGATAGCATAAATTAAACAGGTAATGCATTAAATGTTCTCCTTCTGGCAATAGACAATCAGATGCTTCCAAGACATCCAGGAACTGTGAAAGGAAAGTGCATCTGAACAATATGACTGGATACAGGTAGTCCTTGACTTACGACCATTCATTCAAGAACTATTCAAAGTTAGAATGGCCCTGAACAAATGGTAGTTATGCCCAGTTTTCAGGCTTTTGACTGTCCCAGCACCCCTGCAGTCACATGATTACAATCTGGGTGTTTGGTAACTGGCTGGCACTTATGACTAAATGCAGCACCTCATAACCACGTGATCTCCATTTGGGACCTCCCTGTGGGGGTAAGCTTTTTCCAATCACACATTGTCCTCCAGCCCCTCTGGTCTCACCCCAAGCTGGCCACTTGGGTACTCCCCTGCACCCTCCCCAAGCCTTGCCACACCTCCCTTTTACCTTTGTGCATTCTCACGCATCCATTTTGTCCCAGTCACGTGGTTATGAGGTGCTGTACCTCCCTTGCACACTCCCGCATACTCTTCCCTATCTAGCAGCAGCCACTTATGCCTCCCTGTGCGCAAGCCACCTGGGACTTGCCAGATTCCCCCAGCCAAGTCAATGGTAGCAAGAAGTTGCTTTATCATGTCAGCCATGAGATTTTCTTAACGAAGGCATTGCTAAGTGATAGAAATTCCAGTTCCAACTGCCATCATAAGTTGTACACTACTTGCACACCAATTTTGCATGGGAATAAAAACCATTTGTACTTGAGCCTACTTCTAGTTAAGAATGCATAGGAATGTGCTGTAACTTTCCAGAACAGTTAAGCCTACATTAATATATAAATTTATCTGGGTATTATTAA